AAAAAAATTATATCTTTATGTTTGAAGCCTGAAATGTGGCAAAAGGTTGAAAAGTTCAAGGGGGCCGAATACTTTCGCAAGGCACTGTACCTGTTAACTCTGCATGCAGATCACTTTGGAACATTTCTGCAATTAAATGTCTGCTGTACAACCTGTATTTATACGTTTGTACATCCCATTACAATATTCATTGTGGAGACTAGTGAGCAGGAAGGGCCGCATCACATGGCAATTTGTGGGAACTCTTGCTCCCTCCCCCTGGAGATACTGGGGGGTTGCCACACCATGGCAACTATCCAGCACTTTCTTAAAGTTCACAATTTTGTGCTTGTTTCAGAACTGGTCAAATTTTGCAAACACAGTCAATTTATTTTGTTACTGAGGTTCAATTACCAGTCCTGAGGAATGGGGACTTCAGTTCCCGTCTAAGTTTGTAGCTCTGCAGAAAGCTGTCTGGTATCTGTTGTGTTTATTTCCATCTTTATTCCTTAGGAAGTCAAAATGGTGCCGCCCGACCTCCCCAAACACAGTACACGTCATCACGTCAGACCTGTACCGTTCCCTGGGGGACGTGCTGAGGGACGTCGATGCCAAGTCTCTCGTCCGTGGTGACTTCCTTCTTGTTTATGGGGACGTGGTGTCCAACATCGATGTCACCCAAGCCCTGCAGGAACACAGGTAGAGCCCCTGAACTCCTGAGGGTGTATGTAGCTTCGTGTAGAGCTGCTGTATGGATGGATTGTAGGCCAGGGCTCTCCATGTCTGGTTCTGGAGGGCAGGTGTCTGTACTGGTTTTCTCTGCGTACGGTAGCGTCACCTGAAGCACTGCGAGAAGTTGTTAAATTGGCCAATGATGAGATGCTTGAGGCATTTGCTAGTTGAGCTGGAATGAAGAGCTGCTGACATGCTAGACTTCCAGGAGCCGGATTGTTGTAGGTTCATAGCAAGTTGGCTGTTGCATAAAAAAGTGAGTTTCATTCCGCTTTTCCTCACTCAAGAGGGATGCACGGTTCTTGCGTTCCAGAACTGCATTAGTTATGATGTGTTTTCTTCCGTTCTATTTTGTGGATCACAAGTCACAAATGAACCACAATCATTCTTCTGCGTAGGAATCGTCGCAAGGCAGAAAAGAACGTGTCTGTGATGACCATGATTTTCAAGGAGTCGTCGCCTGGTCACAAGTCACGCTGTGAGGAAGACGATGTTATTGTAGCTGTGGACAGCAAGAGCAAGCGGGTTCTTCACTACCAGAAGACTCATGGGCTAAAGAAACTCCGTTTCCCAATGGTAAGCAGTTGTTAGCAGTGCTAATAAGGTGATGAAGAAAAAGAGTCTGAAGCTTCACTTCCAGTCTTCTAAAAGTAAAAATTTAAAACTGTATCCTATAATATATAAATTGCAGAATATTGAAAATATATTTTTTAAACAAAATGATAGTTAACAGTATGTTGTTTTAATTGATTACTTAAACATAAAATGTTACAGTGCAGAAGTCAGAGTGTTTCATCCACCCTGTATTTTGTTTTCCAAGAATCTGTTCCACGGTGGAAGTGATGAGATTGAAATTCGTCATGATCTGCTCAACTGCCACATTAGTATCTGCTCCCCACAGGTTTGTACATTTCTAGAAAAGACAGAGAACTAGAGACGTGTTCCATGCAGGTGACATCACTCGCAAAAGTCAAATTTGTTTGATTTGCTCCAAATCAGCATTCATTTCCAGGTTGCAGAGCTGTTCACTGACAATTTTGACTACCAGACAAGAAACGACTTTGTCCGTGGAATCCTGGTCAACGAAGAGGTATGATTCAAAGACTAGTGATCATCTCAAGTGTTAGCCAGGGAAAAGTATAACAGGTGCCAGGTTGGAAGTAAAAACATTTTTTATTTTTTTAATTGATGACATTGTGCAAAAGTTTCCTATGAAATACTAATGAGTTGATTTTTATGTAGCCTCCATCAGGTAACATTTTTAATAATAATAACTTTTTTAATTAGCCTGTTCTCAAAGTGCTTTACAGAAAAGAAAAAATTAAAACAACAAAAACTGTAATGAAGATAGGAGAAACAGGAGGCTTTGGAGTTCAGCAAAAGGTTAGACACAGACATCAGTTAAATAAAAGCTCAGGACACACCTTTCCTGCACCTGAAGTTGCAAGGTTCCTAGTCCTGCTCTGACACGCAAACACACAGTTGGCTGTTCTATAACTAGATTAACAAAATACTTGGTGCTTCTAAATTTAAGAAAACAATTTTTTATAAAGTTGAAATTAATTTGGAAACCAAACATGTTTTAATTTTTGATATCCAGTAATTGACCAGAAGGGATAGAAGCATTGGGGAAAATTATCGCTCTCACATCAGTTTGTACAACAATTTTTGTTTCAGTTTGATCATGCATAATCATTTTATCCCGGAAGCAGACGCAATACACTGCATGTGAGACAGATGAGCTGCCACTTTCACCCCACTGTAAATTCCTTGATATGCAAATCTGCCGAGTGATGGCCTTGTTCCAGTCTGTGCCTCTCTGGCATTCCAGATTTTGGGAAACCAGATCCACATGCACGTGACCGGGGATGAGTACGGAGCCCGAGTGTCCAACCTGCTGATGTACGACACCGTCTCCTCGGACATCGTGCGGCGCTGGGTTTTCCCGCTCACCCCCGAGGTGAACTTCGCCGACCAGGAGGGGCAGGCCTGCACTCACTCCCGGCACAACGTGTACCGCGGCGCAGGGGTCAGCCTGGGCCACGGCAGCCACATGGAAGAGAACGTGCTGATCGGCCAGGGCACGAGCATCGGCACCAACTGCCACATCTCCAACAGCGTCATCGGGAACGGCTGCACCATCGGTACGGCGCCGACTGCAAACCCCCCCCTTCCGGGCCGGGCTGCTACCAGAAACGCTGGCTTGAACTGATCAAAGTTAGATATATTCCGGCACCCAGAGAAGTTTTAAACAACGTGGCTGTGAGCGAAGGAAGCTGCCGTTATTGGACCTGCAGTTCAAAGCCGACCTGCGGTCCCAGTTTCTCAGACCAGTTTTTAAATCTTGGTCACAAAATAAATTCATTGCCATTATAGAAAAACAAAATGAGAAAAAAATGAATTAAGCACAAAATCGTGAACTTTGTGAAGGTACTGTAAGTCGCCTTCGAGTTCCCACGAATTGTGACGTGAAGCTGCCCTTCCTGCTCACTACATTTTACTTTTATTGCCTCTTGAAATGTACTCATCAATGCTGATTCTTTCTAACCCCGAAATATTACAATGGCATTGCAGTTCCCCTTTAATTATTTTAAATGTAGCACTATGTCTGCCTGAAGTACCCCCCACGTAAATTTGATGCGAGAATAGATTGGGTTTGGTCCCAAAATCTTCAAGGATAGTTTCAAGTTTTTAATATGGGCGACTCAATCAGTAAATGCTCTGTGTTCCAAGCATTTTGGGCTCGAATCTGGGTCATGTCACTAGCCAAATGTGACTTCACAAGCAGAGCCGTGTAACTGAGCTACTGATAACACTCTGCATTCTCAGTTACTTATAAATGAAATACCCGTCTGTGTTGGTGTTGAAGCTTGCCTACTGTGTTTATTATTTCATGTAAGAGCACCACCTTATAGTCTAATCCATATCTTGCCCTTTTCTAGGGAACAATGTGGTATTGGACAGGGCCTACATCTGGAATAACGTCTGCATCGCCAGCAACTCAGAAATCAAGCAGTCGGTTCTTTGCGATAACGTGGAAGTGAAGGAAAATGTCATTTTGAATCGTCAGTGTGTCCTTGCTTTTAATGTGAGTCTACACCTGCATCTTAGTTGAGTAGTTGCCAGCAGTTACTGTGTCTGTAGGTCTTTAAGATACTGAATGCCTAGATCTGACAAAATATTGGAAGATCTTTCAAGTGCAGCTCTTCTTGAGTCAGGGAGAGGCGCTATTTCACTTTGGCTTGATATTCTTAATCTTGATTGTCATGATGGAGTATGTGAAAATGTAGCTCTAAGAAAATGCCAGTTTTTTACTTATTGTTTTCAATGGAAGTAACATAGTGGATTATAATATGCTGGGGAGATCTAATTCTTATTGGTGAGCCTTTTGGGTTGTGATTTTCGTTGTGGTAGGTGGTCATTGGGCCCAGTGTGACACTCCCAGAAGGCACAGTTGTGTCAATGCACCATCCTGACGAGGAGGATGAGGAGGATGAAGACGAGTTCCTGAGTGATGAAGCAGAGGTCAGCAGCAGCCAAGCCAAAGCAAAGTTAAAAGGTAATCTTTTTCCTTTGGTGATCTTGGTTGAAGTTTTTTTTTATTTAGAAATGCATATGTATAGTATGTATGCATAACCTTGGGCTCTTTAATTGTGTGGATAATGGAGAGAGACACAAAATAGGTGTGCTTATTTATTTCCTAGAATGTATTTTCAGAAATCCTGTGCCTTAGAAGTTGTCAGAAAGATTTGTACATAAAGTCTTGGTTAAATAGATGGGCTGTATTGCGGGCTAGCTTGGTTTTTAAGTTTGTCCTGTTTGTGGCAGGAGATAAAGGCTGGCTAGGAAAGTGTGATTTTACTTTTGTAATACCCTTACACATCGTTACACTCTGCCCTTGTAAAGCCTAAGGTAACACTGAAAGATTCAGAACTGCACCTCCATAGCTATTGTTGTTTTAGCCAGCATGGTAATAGAATACCTAACCTGTATACACCAGTTCCTGTTTTTATGAATGTTCTTTTTATGAAAATGCAATATTATGAATTATAGGAATTTTCACCCGCATTTCGAATAACAAAAGTCAATTTCAAAACTACAAAGAAGCATTACAAAGAAAATTTTCAAAACCTCCACCAAATGTTGAGAGTGACGAGGAAGGCATCATATAGACTCATTTCGTATTGAGTGTTCGGATCACATTGGACTGACTAGTATCTATGAGAACTGGCACAGAGTGGCATGAGAGACATGTTTGATACAGTTCACAGCTTCTTGCTTCATGCATTGTTCATTATTGTGTGAGCTCTTACTTTTTGTGTTAAAAACATTGTGATTTAGACTTTATCATAGACCCTAAAGGTGTTAAGAAAATTTTGAGTGTGTAATAATACATAAAGCAAACAAAGTGGTTACTGTACAGTACTGTACCTAGGTATGATTAATGATGTCTAACTACGTAAGCATTGTTTTTTTAATACAAAAAACACAAAACAAAGTATGAATGGTAGTTATTGTTTTTTTTGTCATGTGTTTGGTGAAGAAAGTAAGAGTAAGGGTGACATTTTGGGTTCCATAATATTTGGAAATGATAAATAATTGCAAATAATGGAAAAAGGTTTTTCTTCGTACACATTTTTGCTGTACGATAGGGTTTCTGAGAACTAATTGCATTCATAAAAAGAGGTATGGGTGCATATTGCTTTTGAAAAGTAGATAATTCCAAAATACAAATTTACAAAACCTACTAGGGAATTGAACTTTTGGGCACTTTGAGAATGAATGTGTTTCTGATATGTATGATTGTTTTTTCTTCAAAAAGAAAACCTACTAGCTTTAAACATAATTTACATTAAGCTTTCAGTGCTGCCGAGGTTGGGTCAGAAGGCAAAGGTTACATTTGGAGATCAAGCAACCTGACAGAGGCAGAAGAAGATGAGTTGTCCCAGTCTTTGTGGGGTAGGAATTCATATTTCACATAAAAACAGTAAACTATTGAGTTACTCAGTGTTCCATGACATTATCTACAGTGAATACTTGAACATGCAGAATAATCCCATTACCAAATAACTTAATCACTAAAAAGTAAACGTGTTGTTGCATATGCCAGCCTCACTACTTTTCAGAATCTGTGAAAAGCAGTATTTTCATCTTAAATTTATGGTGGGCTGCTTGTTAAAAAAGAAACCTTCAGTCGTTAATCATTACATTAACTGCTGAGTGTTTTGGAGCTGTGCTTCATCAGGAGTGTCTTGGCAGGTATGGTGCTGAACCCCGACCCGGAGAGTGAGAGTGACAGTGAGGTCAGTGAGGGCTCTCACGACCTGGACAGCCGGGGTGCATCTCCTGAGCTGGATGATGTCAAAGGTGAGAGGCCACAGAAAGGTCATAGTTCACAGTGGGCAGCTTTGAGATTTTGTATTTGTTTTACATCTCGGAAGATGTGTTTGATTTTATTATGTTTCCCCTTGAATAACGTCTTAAGTTTAATCGCCTAAATTGCTCCAGTAAAAAAAAAATTATACAACTGTATAATCTTTGAACATCTCTAAAGTTAACAGATTTGGATTAATAGGTACTGTATATATTTGAAAGTTCTATTCAGCCTATTCTATAATATTGTGAAACTAAAACTTTATTTTTAAAAAAATGAGATCTCACCTTCTGTTGAAACTTAAATAACTTAAATAATAACATAAAAAAAACTTTCTCTTCCAACAGTTTATCATCTTCTCATCCATCAGATAATGGACTACATTTCCATGCACATCTTATGTAGGATTATCACTGGATAAGGTTATTTAATACCATTTGCAAAGTAATTCTGGGAACAATGGTAGCTCTGTTCCCTGTGTCATTCAAGTTTTTAAAGTTGCCAAGGTCCGGTTTTAATTTAAGTCATTGTGATATGTTTTACGTGTTCTTTCATTTTAAAATGATGATATACTGGAGGTCTGAAATCCAGTGATGTTAGCAGGTGATTGAAAATGGTTCTGATGATGTGAGCTGGTCTGCTCAAACAGCAGCATTGAGAAAATGTGGTCATGTGGTTTTTGATGGCAGTTTTCCAGGCAGAGGTGCAGGGAACTCTTCAGAGAGGAATAGAAGAGAACATCAGCTGTGACAACCTGGTTCTGGAGATCAACTCTCTAAAGTAAGACAGTTTCCCTTCCTCCCCAGTCCCTTTCAGATCTCAGATATAACAGATAATTCATGAAACAGTGTACGTTCCTCATCTTAGATGTGAAATAAAGGGGGTAATATTTAATATTCTTGGAGATACACATTTCATTGAACTCCTGTGACATAACAGAATCCTTTTTACACTTACGGTGCTGTCAAAATTAGAGATATACTGCATTGCCAATGGTCATGTAAAGTTTTCTGTTTATGTGTTTAGAATTGAGTATAGGGTTATAGCTTTAAAAAAATGGTAAAGCATTAGATAGTATACAGTCTAAAGGATGTAACCAAATCACACTTACCTGAAATCATGTCTCAAGTAGTGGAGTTATCTTTTTAACAACTAATGGCCACCTTTTTTTCTATTCCACAGATACGCCTATAACATCACCTTGAAGGAGGTGATGCAAATCCTCACTAAAGTGGTCTTGGAATTTCCCTTCCAGCAGGAAGGGCAGCAGCTAACCACCTCTCAGTATGGCTCTCGGCTCATTCCTGTAGGTGACCAACACTGAACATCCGCAAATGTCACAAACTGAATCATGGCGTGCCTGTCTGCAACATGTATAGCTGCAAAGGAAAATTGTGAAAAATGAAATAAATTAGTTGGCTTTTACAATTTTAAGAATTTTCTGAATTCTTAAACTTTTAGTGTTTGGTTCCATCAAAAACCCTTCTTTTAAGTCATTCAGGTGTGTTTCTTTAATATTGTTGTCAGGATACAATTTAATTCATCCCTGACTTTGGACGGACCTAACCTTTGTACAAGAAGTTGTGAATGATCGAATCAGGCTTTCATTTTGTAAGCATTTGTCAGGTTGAGGTATCAAGGTGTCAAGAGAACTTAAAAGCTTTAAGTGTGATATATAGCTGAAAACAGATTTGTGTTGAAAACTGAAGTCATTTGATCTGATGGCACTGTGCACAGTGCTATAAAATAGTATATGCTAGGGTTCAGGGGCTATTAAGTGGCAGGTTGCCTATAACCCCATGAGTCATTAACTGCTTTGCAGCTAAGTGAAGAATTCAATCAACCTATAACCATCCTCCAACAATTTTAAGATGCTTACCTAGGTGCTGGATTTCAGACCCTAAAAGCTGAGCAAGGAACCCCAAAGGAATCCAAGCAGTCCCCTTTTAATTGTAGTCTGTAGCAAGATGTGCTTTGAGATTTGTTTTTATCTTTTCAGCTCTTAAAGAGATGGGCCCTTGTCTTTAAAAACTACGTCAAAAGAGCTCAAGACCACCTGGACTGCTTGGCTGCCATTGAGGAATTTTTCCTGGAGTATGATACTCACTGGGGAGCGATGCTTAAAGTGAGTCTGTTGACTCTTAATATTATTCTTTTTTTAGAACACCCTTGTGCTTTCTTTTATCATTAATACTTTTTTTATACAGTTTGAGCTGGAATTGTTTCTTTGTATTAATTCCCTGAACTTGCTGCAGTTTCCTGTTAAGATCATGAAATTCCATCAGATGTATTTCTTCAGTCATTTTTTTACACCATAAAGGATCTATATTGCATTACTGCATTCATATAGTATGCTGTAATCTGGAAAAGAATGAATTTCACACTGAAACCTATCACTGGTTGTATGTCTCTGTGCAAATGTTTTCCTCTGTCTGACTAGTAAAACATGCCTGCATGCTACCTTATAAGAATAAGGTATAAGAGGAAAAGCTTTTTGCATAAAATCTTACTATTACAATATTTACATTTGAAAATTTCAAGTACATATCACATTCAGACAGAAAATATTATCATGTACAATTCACCTGGGTTATGATGATTTTATATGACTGTAAATTGTTAAGCAAAAGTTCAGGCTCATTATGTTACTGGGTGGAGATTTATCTGAACTGCATGCATGTTTAGATTCACATTCAGTTGCAATGCAAATTCTATTCCATTTTTGTTGTTTATCTTTGTTGATCCATTGGTAATGCATTTTTCTTTAGGTCATTTTCTTTTGCACTTTTTTTACTCCCAGGTTCTGATGAATGCCTACCAGCAGGAAATTCTAGCTGAGGAAGCCATACTGCACTGGTTCTCCAAAGGTGTGAGTTCAGAAAAGGGCAGGCAGCTGCGCAAGAACCAGGGGGTGAGTCAGCTGGCAAAGGAAATAGCAGGTCTAGTGCCACCATGGGAGCAAAGGTTTCAGGTTGAAAAACAATCTTCATCCTGATCAGGGATGTGCAGTTGAAATGCAAGGGGGCTGGGGTTGGAGAGTAACACAGGCATCACAGTTGAATTTTACAGCGCATATGAGAGAGTCAACAGTTCATGTTTGCATTGAAGCAAATGAGTGATGTTTTAACAGAAACAAACAGTGATAGGTATTTGGGTGCTAACTTAAGAGCACCCTTTTAGTAATAAAAAATTCTGATCAACAATGTTAAATAATTGCTATTCTAAAAACCATGGTGATGAAATAACTTGGAAGTCATTTTAGTAAATGCAAATAGAATATATTTGTATGGGGAAAAATAAAACTTTTTGTAATTCTAGAACAATCCCCTAATATTGCTAGAAGATATAGTTCTGTTCTGAAACTCAATGCCTCAGTGGGTACAGCAAGTGGTACAGTTATGATCCTTTGTCATCACAGTTGTTGAAGTTCATCAAGTGGCTGGAAGAAGCAGAGGATGAATCTTCTGAAGAGGACGGGGAGTGAAGTCATTCCTACCGCCAGAAGCTGTGTCCTGTCCGGACCAGCATAATGTCTCTGTGTCTGTGTGGTCACAGGTGACAGAGTGGAGGAGAGCAGTCAAAGGAATGCTTGGCCTGTGGTCTTGAATGAAAATAGCTCTTCACTCAGTGCTTCATGAATTAATTTATTTATTATGAAATATAGTTCTTCCAATCTGCTCCATTTGTATAGGAAAGTGGATTGAGAGTTTCAGCTTTGCTCTCAGGAGAAGTGTACATTATAATTTTAATGAAGGGACATTTTTCAACTTCTCCTTTCTAATGAGACCATATCCGTGAATGTAAAAGAAATAAAAGATATGCCGCAAAGGTAATGCATTATAAAAACACATGCATGCTAAAAATACTCAAGTTAAAGTGGAGGCCTCCCATGCACAAGTTGAGCTCTGTGGTCCAGCAACGCGGGTTCAAGCCTGGTCATGTCACCAGCCAGCAGTGACTGGGATTTCCCAAGCAGCGGTGCACTATGGCAGTACTGAGGGTAGGGTGGGAGTCGCCAGGGTGCCCTGGATTCTCGGCAATGTCAGCTACCCCTGTGGCCCCCCTGGGAGGTTTGCAGTGCACTGTGTGAGGGAGGAGCTTCTCCACAGTTCAGCTCTGACCCTCTGGCATGGGGGTATGGGGCTGTGCTGCCTGCGATGCGTTACAAGCAAACAGCTCGGAGGTGGGCAGCTCAGAAGAGTCTCCCTACTGATTTCTCTTGTTCTCTGAGACCTGAAAAACAAAATTGATCATTTCAAAATCGGATGGATGTATCGAGTAAATGGCAAAATTCTGAAAACCACATACTAAGTATATTCTTTGGCACTGGGTCATGCATTTATAGATTATTTTCAAACATTCTTACTTGAATTTTGTGTTTGCCATTGCTTTGTGGTAAAAATACTATATATTAAACTTCACTATTAAAACCCTTTTGCAAAGTACTCGTGTGTCATTTTCGAGTTGTACACAGCATCAAGTGACTTGTTCTTTTCACTGCAACGGTCTGGTGTAGAATAATAACTTACTTTTTGATGCTCATTATCACCACAGATTGGACATACCTTGAATGCAGACATTTATTCCACATTGATCATGTTGTCTGAGCTGCTGGGAGATCTGAAAGATGTCTCCTGATGAATTGCATGAATGAGAGATCAAAAATACTCTGCAGAGCCAGTAAATAGGTGATACTAGGTGAACCAATAAAAGGGCAAATGGATAATGGCTTGTTCCATAGAAACGGACTGAGGTAAAAATGACTAAATCTAATAGTGAAGGAACAGAATTTACAGCAGACTTGTTTTAACTTTTAACTGTATTTACAGTTAATAATTTCCAATGATAGAGTTAACTTACATTAGATCTAATGTAAACAACTGTTTAACAGAATTTAAATCTATTATAATTATGCATTAGGGATATCTCACTATGTTTACAGTGGTCTGTTTTGTCAAATGATTTGTAGCACCAATATCTTGTACTACAACAAAAGAAAAGAAGGGTGGCACAATGTACAATTTTAATAACGTCCTGATCAATGCTCGCTCTTTTCTATATATCAACTAGGTGCAGAAGAAAGACCGGGTTTGCTTTCCATTCTGAAAGAGATTTGCTAAAAACAGAAGCCTCCAACATTAAGATTTGTTGAACAAAGTGACAGTGCCCCTGACCTACTTTCTCACTTTCCTCTGCCTTGTTGTAGTCATTGTTGAAACCAACTTATGCCTTGTTTCCATTTTCACATGGGCTCTTCAGTGTTTCCTGAGCTGCCAGTCAGGACATGAAGAGAAAAACTCTCAGGGGAAAAATACATTGAAAATGCAAATAGTTACATAAAACAATGCATTTCTTTGTTATCCATTTTGTGGTAGGTGGGAATAAAGTCAAAAAGCCTTTTTTTTACCGCTACCCTGATGTAAGAAAAGGTCAGACTCTTGAACTTTTGATTGACGTGTTTGGTTTTTGATTCAAGTTTTATAAGATGGGAGAACAATTAGCACCACATGGTCTTTGAGGCTCACGCAAATGTAGTATTTGATGGCAAAGAAGATAATTTTTCTATCTTGGCCATAATGATTAGTTTACTTTCCAGATCCTTAGACTAAGCACAGAGATAATGATTAAAATTACTCAGTGTTGGCAGCATTTGTTTAAAATACAGTATTTGACAAAGACAGTACTAACATGCTCCAGTACATGCATGAGAAAAACCTATCGGATAATAAATCCTTTTTAGAACAGCTCACAACAATGTTTCTCAATTACCTGTGCCCAGTAGAAGCAGTACTCAATCTATAAAACGACAACAAATAAATACTGGTGCCAATAGCATTTGGTGTGTTTTCTATGCCTCATTATATTTTAGCTTGAATTTAAATCCTGAAACGGGACTGCCTATACTACAAAGTTATTACAAAATGTTTAAGGGGACGTTCCAGGAGGAAATTGCCTCTGGAAGTCTCTGACTCATGGGAGCACTGAAAGGTTAAATGACTATAAACAAAGAAACTCTTTTAAGTTCTCATCAAGTCAAAAGGTCCTATCACTCATCCTGGCTTTTATGGGGCTGATGAAATACACTGGGCTGATAAGATCCCAAGAAACTATCAAATAAAGGAAAAGGTGAGCTGCTGAGGCTTCACTCCCTGTGACTCAATGATGGCAAAGCAGAACTGACAAAGCACTGAGCCCTTTAACGGACAGCTGGTCGAGGAAGGAGTCTGGAAACTAGGTAAGGCAAGGATAAAGACCAGATAGCAGAATAGCTGATAAATGTTTTTATTGGAAAAAACACTTTTAAGTTTTCTTAGAATTTTAATTTGTGAGTTTCCTTTAAAAAACACTTTGCATGATCTTTTTTGATCGCTTAAATGCATAAAAAGTGTAAACATAACAGTTTTTGTGAGTTCAGGTTTAGATTGAGTTGCATACGTTACCCCTATTCTGCTGTGACCGTTTTTCAGAATCACAAGTGTCTTAAAGCTTAATGTCTGATTTTGAACACCCATCTTTTCACTAAAATCCAACTTGATTTGCAGCCTTGTCAATCAGCACAAGTTCAATGAGGGATTAGGATAGTGACCGTATGAGGCAGTTACCAGAAAAAAAAAATTATATCCAGACCCTCAAAAAGCAGTGAGTAATCAGTGATAATTAATTTTTTGATTTCTCTTATAAGCAATGACTGGGAAGTTCTTAGAGAGTTGCAAGTGACTCCAGACATGTGAAACACCCAATGCACCAATATTCTTGAGCTCTTCTGTCTTAACAGGTGTTATCCACTCAGACAGGCTCCGTTGAATGGCTCACCAAGTACATCACTACCTCTCGGAAAACCCTTAATTTTACAATGATGATTATAAGCATTTAACTTTTCACTGTTTTCTATTTCAGGGTCCTGATCTAGTCCAGCATTGATGCTGCTTCTCCTGACTATATACTGTATTGTAATGACAGGAAGAGATCTAGAATAGAGGTATTTAAAATACAGGGCCTTACAATCCATATACTTACAGCAGTTTGTTTTGATCATCTCTGTAATGGCTTGATTAACCATACTGATTAGAAGCTCTTTTTCATTAGCAAAATTGGAAGGTCTGGGGTTTAACTGCCCCTTGCCAAGAAGATTAGGAGATCACTGCAACTCTCACAGGTGTCTCTCTCAAGACGAGACCCCCCCGGAAGAACTAATCAGCCCTCCTGTCTTTCTGCTTCCAGTAGGCCTTATAAATGGCCAGGGCCAGGAGGACAGCTCCTGCAATCCCAAAGGCAGCGGTCAGCACTTTCCACATTGAAGCCGACCCCTCATGCTTCTGCAAAAAGCCTCTGTAGTCCGTGGCAACCAGGATGTACTCCCTCCCGTCCCGCGGAGGGATAAGCTTCAGCACTCGGCCCTGTTCCAGGACCAGCTCCCCGAACCCTGTCGCCATGGCGCCGACGCGCAGCAGCTCCTCGCTCTCCTCCAGCCCGGCGGGCTTCTCCCCGGACAGCCCCTGCACCACGAGGCCCACAAGGCCCTCCTGGGGCTCGCGCACGCGCTGGTGCACCGTCTCCAGGTGCAGGCCCGAGGCCTGCAGCGGAGACGTCACCCTCACCGCCACCGCGCTGCTGGAGGACGCCAGGCTGAAGGGCACGGTGTTCGTTGACTCCTTGCGGTTCTTCCTCGTGTGAGCCCTAAAAGAGGAGCAGCGGTAAGCCCAGGGCGCCAAAACGTCAGAACAAAGCTTTTTTTTTTACAAGGCTCCACCTGCTATATTTTCAATTCAGTTCTCAATCTGACTTTTAAAGCCGTATCATTCACCTCTCAAAGCTTTTTAATTCGTGGTCTAATAGTTTTACGCCATAAACTGAGCAAGGTTCTGTTTCAATCTAACACTGGGAAAACTACAACTGTTTATTTATTAGTATCACAAATTGCACCTGCAGTAACATTAGATGTTTGATTCCTGGGGATACAAATCTAAAAAAAAAGAGGACAAACAAGTGATAAAACTTTCGCCGTATTTGTTTTTATTTGCAGAATTTAATATTTAAATTAATCTCAGATAACCAGACATTTTATCTTCAGGTTTTTGAAAAATATTTATGGGAAGTGGCACATTTTCACTCAAATTTTCAGTTATTTTTTCCCCTTTTTCCTGAAAGTGGTCCTAAATGTTTATAGAAAGCATGTGAAGGAACAAGACTAATTTGTGTCATCTGAACCTGGTTTCTGGTAATTAGCTGGCTTGCAAAAACTGGAATAAAGCTTGCAATACAGCAAAAATAGAAAGAACTGGAAGAGGAAGAACCATTTTCACACAGAAAGGAGGCTGTAGTGGACATTGCTGAAACTGAAAGGGCCTGACGGGTGGATTATTTTCCCTGTGTACTGACCATGTCTTCATGATGGAGTTCCACACTTTCCAGTGTTCTTGCACAGCGACCCTCTGAATCACCCCAAAGCACCGTGGGACATACTGGCTGGCCAGAGGCTCACCATCTGGTTGAACGTGTCCTGGAACACAAACAGCAGCCCTTACTGCCACTAGGCCGATAAGGAAGGCCAGTGTTACACAATACTGTGCGGCTTTCATCAGGGGTGCTGTGTTCTCACCACCTTTGCCTTGTGATTCCGCATTGAAAATTATTGGATGTATTTTTTGGTACAGTCATGAGTGTCTTCAGCTTCAAATTTATCTTCCCACAGTGCTACATTACGCTATACTATACCAATGTTTCCAAAATCAAATCTTCCAAGTGTGATACCAACCAGCTTCAGCAGGGTTCCTTGTGTTTAAAGAGAGTGGATAAAATACATACCAACAAGAGCAAAGGTAAATAGGCCATGACATTAAAAACTCAATGTTAATTAAGTCTGAAGTCAGATAAAAGGGAAGCCAGAACTGGGATTGAGGGTTTCAATGTTTTAGGTCTAGATCTTATACTTGGGAATTAATGAAAATACTAAATTGGTCTTGTTACAATATCAGCACGGACAAAAAAAATAATTGAAGGAAATGTGGTCGCAGACTAAAGCTAGTATGGTTCAGCAATAAAATAAATTACCTTCAATTGCAACATACTGGAGATATTTGTGCTGTGAGGATTTAACAATCTTTAGTAACTCTTCATTAGGCTGAAACTTCGGTATCGCCTTATAAAGAAAGAAAAATTGATTAATGAATATCTTTTATGTAGTACTGCCACGCCAATTTCAAATTCAGGCTACGTAAGATAGAGCATATGCATAACAACGATTTTCCAAATTAAATCTATTTTGTGGGAAATTAATGCAACACATATAAACACCCATTTCTCCAGTCACTGTTAAATCTACTTTTAAATGTCATATTGTTCTGTGCATGAAGACAACGCGGGGTTTGGCACAATCGTAAATTAAAAGCACTTTGCTACTTTACCTTAAGCTTTTGAATTTCTTCTCTCTTTTGCTTGTATAAGTGATAAAAGAGCGCGGAGAAAGCGAAACTCGATCCCACACAGATCACGGTGAACGGACTGATATCACTGTCACTCATTGTCTAACTGGAAGAATGGTATATGAAATGTTTTGACAAAGTGTTAACAAGACAGTAAATGTACTTTTAAAAATTGCAGTGCAGTGAGACATACATAAAACTGGTCTTAATTGATGTTCGAAATATTCTGAGCTACTCAAACAAGTAAGCAAAGCAAACAAGTAAACAAGTAGCTCCGACAAGGGCCGTCAGCAGTGAAGTACCAAACTATCAAACAGAAAACCAGTAGCTGTACACGTATGTACAAATGCAGAGATAACACTCTGCGATATCTCGCTTTCTAACGAGCATGAATTTAAATCATTCCCTTCATTAAATCCCGCATTACGGTATTTACACAAGACTACAATTTCCAGATGAAAACGAATCCAAAAGAGAGCCAGTATTGTTGTGAACTAAAACGTTTCATTATTATGATCTTAAATACAAACTTCTGGAGTTTAAATCGTACCTGAGTATCTACCTTTCTGGTGCAATTAAAAAAAACAATGCCTTTCCTGGCCTTGATCCGAAAGCAAAAGTATAACAATAATGACCTTTTGTGTTTTCGCTTCCTTGTGTTTCTTGCAAGTAATTCAGCCGCACGTTGTGTAAACGCTGGTTTCTCGTCCCTGGAGGGCGCCGAATACAAACTTGTATTTTGGAAAAGTGGTAACGTTGTTTTAATCAATATCAAACGTTATAGTACTTCGTTAATTGCTTCAATAACACAAGGCATTGAGATAACTTCATTATTTATTATTAGTAATAGTTACAGTAAAATCAATTATCAGAATTGCTTAGGAGGTGGTTTGCAAACTGTAGTTAACGGTGATATTGAAATACGTATTGTTTTGTTATCATTGATGGTTCTTAATTGACAAGAACAAAACAAGTAAGCTTTATAAAAACATTTTGCTCCTTATCTATATTTATAAGAAAGCTTGCCACCACAACAAATAACAGCAATAATGTATTTACAGTACACACAGTATCTAATTGGTATATTTTGATTTTTGGGAAGCTTTTGACAAATATTCTTCACACTAGATTAATTTTCAAATTACAGGCATGTTGCAAAATATGTGTTTGGACTGCGAATTGGTTGATAGGAAACAGATAAGTACAGATAATTGGTGAATACCTCAATTAGGGTGATATAATTTGTGGAGTACAATAAGTGATACTCTGTAACCCTTTTTTTTATCCAGTGCTTATTTTTTAGGCACTGAGTCTGAAGGTTAAAAAAAAGTATCAAGTTATGTTGACGTAAACATAATTTCATTCAGCAAGAAAAAAGGAAGGCCTTTTCTGCCAGCTGTCTTGTGAGGCCGAAGTATGGACAACTGAACCAAACTGATGAGCACTCTCCAGAAACATGAAAAAATCAATTCTGTGCTTTGTCTTTAATTTTAATTTATTTGGGAAATGTTTTTATCCAATATAACTTAAAGAGGCAGTAATTTTCTAAGTTGTACAAAACGTGGTACCCGTTTCCACAGCTGGGTTTGCTGGGGCAGTGTGGGCGAAGGGCCCTGCTCAAGTTCTCAGCAGTGATGTTCTCTGTTGGACCCAGGGCCTGCAGTCCTAATCACAACTCCACACTGCCACCCCAATTCCTCGTCTTACACATCAAGAGTTTGTTCTTTACATTTTATTAGTCTCTAATAAATGAATAATTCCTTACACTTACATAGCGCTTTTGTGGACACTTGGCAATCAGGACTCCACATCCACCTGGATGATGCGACAGCAGCCAAAGTGCACCAATGTGCTCCCCACACACCAACTCCCAGTGGGGAGGAGAACAGAGTGATCAAGCCAATTCATAGATGGGGATTACTAGGAGGCCATGATTGGAATGATTGGTATGATTGGCAGGGATGCCAGGACACATCTACTCTTTCTAAGAAATGCCCTGGGATTTTTAATGACTATATCCAGGACCTATGTTGTAGGTCTCATCCAAAGGACAGTGCCTTTTTTACAGTGCACTGTCCCCATCATTTTACTGGGGCATTAGGACTCACACAGACCGCAGGGTGAGTGACCCCTACTAACACCTCTCCCAGTAGCAACTTTAGCTTTCCCAGGAAGTCTCCCATCTTGGCCTGGCTCACACCAGTTCAGCTTTAACTTTATATGATGACTGAGCCATCATTTTGCTTGATTTGTTACTTTTTCACCTCCCAGGACAATCTGGAGAGCAAGGTAAGAGTAGCAGTTACTACTCCTTTAAACACATGCAGGTGGGGCTGCACACTGGTGGTGGTGGAGGGGAGTCTCCATTACCTGTAAAGCGCTTCGTGTGGAGTGTCAAGAAAAGCACTAGATAAGTGTAAGCAATTAATAATTATAATTATTACATCACATAAGCAGGGTGAAAGCTGTTCAAATACGTACGCAAATTCGGTGATTAAATTCCATTGTTAAATTAGTTGACGTTGTTTCACTTCACATTGTACGAAAAGTGTCTTCAGACAATTTAGCAATTCATTAAATTGCTAATTGAATGGGCATCAAGCAATGGAATTGTAATGAGGGATATCCAATCCTGTTTTTTTCACGACAAAAATGACGTTACTGCTTAAATGTATCTTTTTAAAAGCACACATTTGCAGACATTAAGGTAGTACTGCGTCTAAAATAGTTGTCCAATTACCGTGTCCTTCTTATGGCTAATATGTTTCCTGTTGTTTATACAAGATACACAGGTATGTTTAACAAACAGTAAATGCAAACAGTGGGGTATTTCTATTTGTCAACCTAGTGTAGAGAAAAATCGTGGTGTGATAGGCAGACGTGTACAGTATATATAACACGGGAAAGGAAATCCTGATTAGAAATGATGTTCCCTAACGTTTAAGTATTTCAGACTCTCTTTGCTCTCTTATAATTGATTCATAAACCTATCGGCAGAAGAAAAGCAAGGGATTTTGTTAAATATGAACATGATTACCGTTTTAAGTAAGATCTAACAGTCTGTAATGTGTTGAAATTCATTTTGTTGGAAGGGCTATTCGGAAATACCCGCTCCACCTTTTCCGTCAGCTTTTCTGGAGGCAGCAGACATAAGATCGACAGATTTCAGCCTATTTCTATCTGTATTTTTATAAACGACTGCGAAAATAATAAAGTAATAAAATATTCAGCACAATTTAAAAGTGTCAGTTATTCGTATCGAATTCTGTCGACAAAGAACGTGTCATATTATTAGTACGTGAAGAACATCGCTTTACGCTCGAAAATTATATTGTAGCGAAATCTAATATTACAAAAATGGTTCTGTGTGAAGGATTTACAAAGATCCATTATTTGTATATTTCTAAATACATTCGCCACTTTTTTTGGAAGCACGGAGCGCAAGACAGGAATACGCCCTGGACTAGATGCATACATAGTTGTAATTCATTTAAAAACATAGTTTTTCTTTGTCAAACTCCTTCTGTTTTATAAAGTAGCCCATTGATAAAATGTATGTATATAAATCAAATGTAGACGCTGTTTGAAACACAGTGGGTCCTTTTCGATAATCGTATCTTTTCTATTTTAAAATATTACATGCTCTTGTGGTCTATCTCTTCACTCTTAATATAGATGCGCATTTCATATTGCATTTTTTTTTTATTGCCACGGGCAACGTCACGCGTTGTGTAGCTAAAAAGTCTTCCAGTTTACCACGAATCCGCCTCTTCTTAATACGGCCAATGGTATCAAGTCTTGCAACACCGCCCACCCCTTTTCCCCTAGGTAATGAGGTCTAAGAGGTTGTCTTGTGGACGGATTCATCTAATGGGAGAAGTGTTCTTTAAATTAAAAGATCCGCTAGAATTTACTCTTTTTTTGGAGCCAAACTTTTATTTCACCTCCTGCTGACGGATAGTGATCATTGTTTGCCCGCTTGTGGCGAGGTTATCAACTTCAGAATGTCGGCACGGAAAGACTTTGCAAATCAAGATGCACAACAGCAGATGGAAGAAACTGAGTTTCAGCACATTTTGGGCGAAATTGGGGGTAGAGAGAGGATTTTCCTGGTAAGTGATGTTTGTCAGCAAGGAATGTCTTCGGTGCTGGAAGAGTTTTTAAATGACATGTTTCCTTCTGCTTATAAGCCACCTATGCGTAGATGCGGAGCTGACAGCATACCTGACAATAACAGTAATGGTACGGTTAGTAACGCTACAAGAAACGACCGTGCAGCTTGTTTTAGGTCCCAAAAACACGTTCCCGAAAAGGACGAAACATCTCTTACTGGGAGGCCGGAAGGATCGGAGTTCAATCGCATGACCCCTGGGGTGGATAGCGACCGGACTCAGCAGGGCAGAAAGGCACGCTGGAAAATTGGCAAAGCCTGTCAGGCCAAAGAGCGGGCCATAGACTCGCCTGTTATAATCTTTATTTTCAGGCACGAGTTTGTGTCTTGCAAAGCAAACCGAATCTGCCTGAAGGAGATCCTGAAGGACGTGAAAGCTCGTAGCCGGAGAGCGGACGACTTGCCAGCTGTGCTCGGCTTGATTCACTCGAGGAGCGAGACCGCAGAGACCAGCGAGTCGGTCCGGATTCTGGAGCGCTCAATGCGGACGGTGTTCCGAAAACAGTCCCCCGATTCGGTGTGGGTCGGGCACTTCATACCCAACAAAGGGGACGGAATGCTGGAGATCAAGAGAAACGTCTGCAAAGCAGTGCAAGCGTCTCCTCGCACAGGTATTAAGTTTTTGTCTTGGGTGTATTGCAAACAGTGCAGTATTCAATTCGGGTTAAAAATAGCATGAGTATAGTAATATGTTGAGGATAATAATATATCCTTATTGGTACCGGCTGATGTAGTGCCAGGGAATGCATGAAATATGTATGAGGGATGTAAGGAAAAAGACTCTCGAAAGAAAAAAAAATAGATATTACTGTTCTAAACGGATGAATCTTAAAGGGAAAATCTTTTTTTTTTCTTGGAACATGAACTGTGCCAATGTGGTTTACTCTTCCGGAGAACGTGAAAGTTTTATACAAATCTCCGCTAACCACTCAGGTTTAATTTGCACTCGACTCTAGCTTTGTACTGTATTAAATGTGATTTACTGCATACAAAATACACATATAACAAATATTGTATATTGCTTCCAAAAAGAAATGAATAACACTTGATTTAAGACAATTCATTATTAATAATGTTTCAAGAATAAAGCGATACGAGCTTTTTTCGTTGTCGGGGACGTAAAAGAAGGAAATTGTACTTGATATTCATTATATTTCAGTTGATACATGTGTCAAAATTTAAAAACAGGGTGCCGTGTAAAAATCGAATAAGAATGAAAGGAATTTGGCATTATCTTGCTTAGAGGAGTGTTCTTCCTTAGTCTACTCTTACAACATTTACTCACAAGTGCCTTTTAAATTCTAGCCATAGACTGCAGAGTGCAGCTTGTGTTTTCTTTTATATTTCTCTAAATTGTATACCAACCACGCTACATTTGTAGTGTTTTAGGGCCACAGAAAAGTTCACAATGCCAATGTACTGTACTTCTTTTAAAATGCAGAGGCGAGCTAGAGTCGAGGTCTGTGATTTAGATCATTCCTTGTTTTTTTTCTTCATATCCAGGCATTTGCAGTTTGCTCAAGAAGAATGGACATTCCTGAATTATTTGTCTTTCTGGATTTTCCTTTAGGTAAACTAAGGGATACGGAAGAAGGAATCCCACTGACAAGTTCCATCTCTGACCTCCGACAGATTGATTCCATGGTGAACAGTCTTGAGAGCCAGGCCTGAAGAAAACTGAGCCAATGAGCAATCTTTTGTGACTTGGGGTAAAAGTGTTGACCTCAGCTTAAGATACTAACGTTTACAAGGCATTCACTGCCAGTTTACAGACAAAATAGCTGCAGTTCTCAGAAAATTGTAACTGGAAACTGATTTCTTGGCATGACAGTCTTATAAGACCTTAGTGAGCGGTTGATTGTTTATATTTCTTCTTATCAGGAGAAGTTGAAGAAAAAGACCAACTCAAATGAATCAGGCTGGATATAAAGGACAAATACAAGGTTAATGCTGTCCTTCAAGTGTGTGTAAGATCAGGAGAGTCCTCAGCAGATATATTGTCTGCAGCTCCCTGGTCTGTTACAAATGCATCATCACATCCGTCTTCATGAAGAGGAGACTTGTTGAGTTTCTCCACATCTCCTGGAGTAATCACACATGCCAGTGTGTTATGTAGAAATATTAATGAAGGATTGGGAAATCTCTGGCAATCACAAAGGGCAGGAGCCCCTTTAGAAATGAGCTTTCATTTCTGTGGTTCATCTGTGTCCCTGTCAACATTGTCCATATTTACAAAATGTTGAATTTTTAATTTATTTGGTTGACACTTATACCCAAAGCAACTTTCCCAGCTGGAAATGTATTTTTACTGGAGCAATTTAGGTGAAGTACGTCTCTCCTGGGATCTGAAGCCACAACTTTCCAATTACTCCAGAACCCTGACCACTGCTCCACACTGCTGTCTTAGTCTATATTACACGATACAGTATTTTACTTACTGTTGTTTTAAGCAGTAAATAAAGTACTGTACAACTTAAATATTGAAATCTTAAAATGCAAAGAAGATTTGGATTCAAACAGATGTTAGTCCTTAGTAGGAAAGCGATAAACCTGTGAAACCGTCAAGGACTAGTTTCTAGGGATTTGTTCTGCAGCTTTCTTAACACATTGGTACTGTATCTCAATTTCTCTAACAAGGTCAATTAATTGAAACTGAGATACCTGTAGGAAAGATGTTGAGTTTAATTTAATTTCTCTGATATCAGCTGAAAGACTGATTCATCTCAAAGTTAGTTTACAATGATCGCTGGTGCAAATTGCAAATTGCTGTCAGATAAGTAAAATACTGAAAATAAATTTTCAATTTTTACAGTATATTAATGAATTTGAACATCATGTATTTAGAAAATGGATGTAATTGTTTTTGCACAGTTATGGAAATGACATATTCAGTTCTCCCTTTCATACATTATCATTTTAATTTTTAAATATTGAAATATTGGTAGACCTGCACTTTTCCTTGTTAAATGAAGTTTTAGTTATGGTTTATCAAGAGCGTGAATCCATTAGGATTAATGTATTTAGCACCTAAAGTAATTTTATGTACTCTTAGATAATACTCAGGGCTTTTTAGATACATTTTCATTTTGATATATATGGAACCTAATGGCCTTTGAACCTAATGAACCTTTGTAACCTTTATTTTGTTCTTACCTATTGTAAATATTTATGTATCTTTAAAAATATATAGACAAAAAAATGATGAAGTTTAAGATAACTAAATCTTATTTTACAAATATAAACACAGTAAAAGTACTATATATTTGATTAGGTTTTAATTACTGATGCTTCTATACTTGAAGAACATTGTATATTGTCATTTGTATTTTTTAATCTTTAGTAATCTTACAGTACGATATAATGCTAACCCAGTAATATGTAACACCAGTGAAGTTTATGCTAGCATTGCATTCTAAAATAATAATCAGTGCTATAAAAACAGACAATCTTTTTTATTAGCTCCAAATTATTGTGAACATTTCCTTTTTATTTTGCTTTTTGTCAATCTATGTGGGGAAGTATAGAAGTAATGGATTCAACTAATAAAAGATTATATAGCTATTTTGCAGTTTTTTATTTTTACTTGCATAGTCTCAAGATTTATTATTTTGTGTTGTTTTAATAAAATTGTTTTAATATTTGATCAATTTGTTTTAAATAATTTATAAAATGCTGCTAATGGTGTAATTAAATGAAATTCACATTTTAAAGGTGTCTTGTTTGTTCCTTTTCAAACTTGTGATAAATTAAAAGTTCACCAGCTTTGCTCCTGCTATGCTTTTAATGCTGGAAATCAGTTATCCTGAGTGCTATACCCATGTCACTTCACTGTTCATTGCTTAGCACTTCTAAACATACAACCTATAACAATTTACAACAGGTTTAATGGCTTAAGACATAACTTTGGCTTTCTTTAGCCTTAGCAGCTTTAAGGTATCAGTTAATTTCCATGTCATTAGTACTAGAAGCTCCCTTTACATTTTGTGCTTTATTCAACTTTCTACAATGAAAATGTTTCACTGACAGAAATTTCCCAATGTATTTCTTAATATTTGAAGTGTTTGAATTCATCAGTTAATCTTCAGAAATATGTCTTATAAGGACGATAAAATCCATTTGAACAGCGAGAAATTAGGTGCCTTATAGGGTCTGTTAATGTTAAGCTAGTCATACTTTTCAGGCAGTTGAAAATGAGTCATTATTGTATGACTCTGCTATTTTATCTCCATTTTCTAAAGGGGAAAGTGTTAAACAATGAAGCATTCCAAGGTACATTGTCAAATGCTAATTTAGTACTGATATAAAAAAGATATGCAACGGGTATAGTGAAACAGATATACGTGTCATTTTACCAAACATTTACTTTATTCTAAAGGAGGAACTGGAGATTCTAAATTAGTTTTTTTTGGCTACAAATTGAACTGGGTATGTTTGTCAAATTCCGGTGAAATGTACTTCTCTTTGAGAAAAGATTTCATAACTGAAAGAGAATTTAAGAGCTGAATATTGTAAATAGTGCGTGTAAACACCGGACTACTTACTACTAATATGTCAAACGTTAAATTCTAGAGCTGTTTTTATGTAGCGTATTCTACTTGATGTATTTTTGTTTACATGCAGGATAAACAATAACCAAGAACAGCTTTATACCTTACTTTTGGAACAGATACCCTCCTTTGTGTAGGGGGCGATGTTAAGAATTCATCACCGCTAGTAAAAAAAAGTCGTTAAGCTATTGGTCAGCAGTATTCGGAAGTGAAAAGAATATGCCCGTTTTAAAAAATATAAAATGTCGTCTCTTAAAGTGTTAAATGTGATCTTAAAATGCTTATTCTTGCATTTTATGTGACTATTGTTAGAATAATATATTAATTTTGTATCAAACTCATTATTTTAAATGAGGTATATCTAATAATAATCAGGCACAGTTTTGGGCAGTCTTAACATATTGGAAGGCCCCCGGTTGTCAAAGGACTTTCTTTGTGAATCAAAAATTAGCAGGAAAAGTGTCGCACAGTAGGTAGCGGGAGGCGAGTAATTGCTGACTGAAAGTGTTTCTTTTTTTCTTCGAAGACATTTTATTGTTTGAAGAGTCGAGACCGGAGGAGTAATAAGGGATTTTCAGCAAACATGATAACTTCAGCGGGTAAGGAGAGGATGCAGATGTGACTTAAGCAGTTGATTGCGACCCGGTAGATTTAGCTGAGTCACAGAGTCAAAAGACTGAGCGATGCAAATAAGTGTGTTTTGCCTTTTAAGTTGTACAGTATCTCATTATGAAACGTAGTACAACAATGTAAAATATTTTTATTGGACCCCCTAACCCTTAATGGGACATTTTACAAACAATCAGTTGTTGCTGATCTCGTTATAACACGGAACAAGTGAATAACAAGAAAAACAAACGTACCACGATTGTCCGCCGTGTGTCGGAAAAGTACCAATACGACCATCCGAGTTCACTACTAAAATGTTTTTTTTTCTAGTCTTTGTGTATTTGCGCGTGTTGTAAACAAACCTGTTTCAACACACATAACTGTGTTTCCCATTACAATGTTGGTCACTTTCCACATGGCAGCTGACGAGTTATTTTAGTAGCCTTGTAGTTGTGTTTGTTTACAGGAAATTCAGCGCGTCCCGCTGATTCTGTGGTTCCTATGTACCTTGTGTACAGATGTGCAACCAGAGTATATTCTAACTGTGGTAGATGTAGTCTACCATCCAACTTCATTCGTACGATCATAGGATGGCATTTCTAGACAATCGGTCAAAGGAGCTAAAAATATGTAGAGCAGTTGTCTCTTGCGTAACATTTGTAAGATTGTGTACAGACTTGTTTTCATACATTCGTTTGTCTTGTTCTTATAAATACAATTATTTGTTGTAAATATTGCATTTTTTCGTCTAGACATAATGAGGCTGGACCACCTTTTCCAGTAGTATTGCAGTGCTATCATTGGTAACTAATCTGTCGATGACCTTCTTACATGCCTTTACTGGAGCAGAAGATTGATTGTTTACTAACGTGGTATACTTAAAGGTCATTCATGTGTTCAGATCCACGTCTCTACAGTTTAGTGTTAAACATTTTGGTAGCTGTATTTGTCAACTCAGACACATTTCCTTTCCTTTTTTAGCTGGAATAATCTCTCTTTTGGATGAAGAGGAGCCTCAGCTCAAGGTGAACTGTTTGCCTTAAGTACACCTTATTTGCAGAAATAAGCTTGTGCATATACTGTAAAAAAACAGAGGTCCATTGATCTGAGAATCACAGAAACACACTGTTCTTGTTGATCTTTACACTTTGTGCATAATAGTTGTGTATAAGCAGGAGTACTGAACTTCATTTCTAGTACCTATGGGAATCGATCACATATATTAACCCTGGGACTGCATTGAACTTTAATGATGCCAACTTCTAATATAATTGTACTGTAATTTTTAATTTACTATGAATTTTATTTAATTCCTCAGGACTCTTATTTATATTGTATAGCACAGTTAAACTGTTCTCTTCCTGACTATAATAATCGTATGAGACGATAAACCTGCCAAAGGCAGTTCTGTGAAATCTGCAGTGTGTTGTGCATGTCATGAAAGTATCCTATGTTGTTTTCCTGAATATTTCTGATACAGGAGTTTGCTCTGCACAAGCTGAATTCCATTGTCAATGATTTCTGGGCTGAGATTTCAGAATCTGTTGGTAAAATGTAAGAATCTTTTTTTTTTTGGTCTCATCTACCTTTGTTATTCACAGATTAACTTGTCTCTTCTCTAAATGTCATTTCCTTGCCATATCAAGAATGGTTAAATACATAAATCATTCTGCACGCTTAGCCTTTCCAATTATCAATAGGTTTTATATAAAAATACATCTGAAATTATTTGCCGTGAATATTACATTATACAAGCTTGGAGCTGGTTTCCTTGTTACATAATTAAACCTTCCTCTGAGCTAACTGTTTCTATCCCGTTGATGTCTGATTAGTTAATTGTGCCTTGGGTGTAAACTAGGGTACTTATCACTAGATATGTTGTTTGTTACAGCTACAGTAATAATTAAAATAGACATTTCTTGGTCTGATCATTTTATGTTACTCTTTAAGTGAGGTTCTCTATGAAGATGAGACGTTCCGTAGCAGGGAGTTTGCAGCACTGGTAGCGTCCAAAGTTTTCTACCATCTGGGTGCGTTTGAAGAGTCTCTGAATTACGCTCTGGGAGCTGGAGACCTGTTCAATGTCAATGACGATTCTGAGTATGTGGAGACTATCATCGGTGAGTTCAGAAGTGTTAATGATAGTGATCGAAGTGTGTGATGAACCAGACTGTAAATGTTTAGAAAATGTTGAAGTGTCCTATTATTACTCTTTCTTTCTGCATATTTGATTTACCTCTGTCTCTTTTGAAAAGGTGGTGGAATTTCAGAATTAATTCTAATTAGTTGTAACACCAGGACAGTTGTTTTGAATTGTTAAATTGTTTCCTGCCCTGTAACTGTTATGTCAAAGTGGGCCACTTTGAATATTTCCAGAAACAAGATAAAATATTAAGACAAAAAAGAAACACTTGTACAAAGGAATCCCTCCACTTAACGCTTATACATTACAAGTGTATAACTGCATTTGGCGGTCATAGCTGAAGTGCTGGGAAGTGGCAGTTCAATCCATTGCTTCTTCTTTCATGCAGCAAAATGTATTGACTACTACACAAAGCAGCGTGTGGAGAATGCAGAGCTGCCGGATGATGAGAGGAAAAGCATTGACCCCCGACTGGAGGGCATTGTTAACAAAATGTTTCTGCGCTGCCTGGGTGACCATAAGTACAAACAGGCAATTGGCATTGCCCTTGAGACTCGTCGGCTGGACATCTTCGAGAAGACCATCCTGGAGTCTGTAAGCATTGACTGCGCTTGGCTGAACTGTAGCATCCTACACTTTTTAGTCTCTCTAACGTAGGACACACAACGTTATTACAGCTTTGTTTCCTAGTGATCGTTTATGGAGTACAATCTGTAATTTCTTATTGTTTTGTTGCATTGGAGTTCTATGGTAAACTATATTAATAAGTTCTAATATTTTAATTGTTGCATTTCCAGTGGTATTGATATGTGTATTCCCTGCACTTCTCCCAACATTTTCTAGTAAAGATGTGCATGGGATGGGAAAGGAAATTTTTTTTCCTCTTGGTAGTAGTGGTAGTTCATATCATGATGCAAAATTAACAAAATCACGACTAGCCATGTAAATGATGCCCAAACAGACATCTTTTGAAGGCTCTACAATTTACCTGAAATAAATTTACTTCAAACCAGTGCATAATCTAACTTTGTTTGCCCTTTTCTTTATATAGTTAGTTTTAAATTATGCTTATTTTAGAAGACTGTTTTAATTTGCTTACATCTTTTGATACTTCACTGCTACAACACAGATTTAAAGCTCAGATTTAACCCTTTTCTAAACTAACCATGTGTCTTTTGCCTTTTTCTGCAATTCAGAATGATGTCAGTGGCTTGCTGGCCTACAGCCTGAAGGTTTGCATGTCGCTGATGCAGAACAAACAGTTTCGCAATGAGGTGCTCAGAGTGCTAGTCAAGCTCTACATGAACTTGGAGAAACCTGACTTCATCAATGTTTGCCAGGTACTCCTTCTGAGAAGAGATTCTCATTTCAAAATCGAATGTCACCTACTTCTTCTAGATAATGTGCCTGTATTTCTTTTGAGGTTGATCGGGAGAGAAGTAATCCTCTGTAGTAACTTGCTCTATCTCCTTACAGTGTCTGATTTTCCTGGACGACCCCCAGGCAGTGAGTGATATCCTGGAGAAGCTGGTGAAGGAGGATAACTTGCTGATGGCCTATCAGATCTGCTTTGACTTGTATGAGAGTGCCAGCCAACAGTTCCTCTCCTCCGTCATTCAGAACCTGCGCACTGTGGGTACTCCCATCCCTGCTGTCCCTGGATCCACCAATACTGGCACCGTGCCCACAGCTGAAAAAGACAGGTGGGCAGTGAGAGAGTGGACCTTGTAACTGAGATGGTCTAACAGGAGATCGACTCCACCATGTCTTTTTCGGATATGTATTTTATTACACGGCAGTGGATCCGTACTCAAGCCATCTGCAAATGTGTTTTTTTTCCTCCTATTTGGTATTTATATCTGAGAGAAAAGTCATCTACTTTTAATCATTTCTGCTTTATGTACAGAGCATGATTGTGATTGTTAGTATACAGAAGCATCTGTTTTCAGTGGATAAACTTTCATTTTCACACCTTCTCAAAGATCATTAGATCCATGAGTTGCCTGACCACATTTCCCTTTAATTTCATGCTTGATGTCTGTAGACCATGCATTGTTCTCTTTTGTTTTCCAGCGATGCCATGGAAACAGATGATAAAGCTGGTAGTTCTCCTGCTGGAAAGCTGGCAGAATCTGTGAGTAAACTTACCATGGTTAAGGTTTTGAGTATTAATGTAATGCATTCAGTATACAATCCTGTGGTTTTTATCATATTTAGGCCCACCTATTTGTAAACTTTTATTGACAATTAAAACTGACTTTCTGCTGTGTAGCTGGTGACAGAATTGTCTCTTGTAGAAGGAAGAACCGAAAGACCAGAACTCAAAGATGATTAAAATACTCAGTGGGGAAATGGCAATTGAACTGCACCTTCAGTTCCTCATCAGGAACAACAACACAGACCTGATGATTCTAAAAAACACAAAGGTAAGGATTGTAATAATATCCTAAAACTTCTTGTGCTTTTTGAGTTATAGGTTGATGCTCTGTTGTACTCAAGAAGCTAGATGTAGTTGGAAAGCTTCAACAGAAAGTTCAGACATGTAACATAGACACTACGTTTGCCATAGACATATAATCTTTTCAGTATTACCTTCTTTTTTTCTAGAATATTATTTTGTAGAAGGGAGTATGATATTCCCCTGTGTTGTGTGCTTGATTGTATAACATCTGAAAATCTTCAAACATCTCTATAACAGGATGCGGTCCGAAATTCTGTGTGCCACACGGCAACAGTTATAGCCAACTCCTTCATGCATACGGGAACCACCAGCGACCAGTTCCTCAGGTATGAGAATGTATCATTGCTTAATGTATCAGTACCTTTAGTGTACAATAGCATATCAAGTCCTCATTTCACTGGGAAGTCAACCAGATTTGACTATCTGTCTTGACTATCTGTCTTTAATGGCAGCCTTTTTTGTAAGATATTGCAATTAAGAAAATCAGTTGATCTTACAAAGATAAGTCCAGTTATGGATGCATATCAGGCTAATTCCACTCCATTAAACTTGGCTGCAATTCTACTGTACTCAAAGGCTCTTGATGCCTTATTTTCAGGTGCATGAGCTTGCAGACATTTTGCTTTTAGGTTGAGGTTTTTCCACAGTTTGTCTTGATGGTGTCTTTTCTACAGACCTACTCTGGATTGTTATATTTTCAGACAGGCAAAGACATGTAGACAGCGGATTTTTTTTTTTACATTAATTTCTGCAAAGAATATGTATGCTTTGTTTCTTGGGTTCTTGGAAGAACTGAAGCCATCCATCTTTTAGTATGATATCAGTTTTTATGAGGTAAATTCGCAAAGCATTGGTCTTCTGACTTTGAATCATGTGATTTTATTTCTTCTGTTGATTTAGAGAGAATTTGGAGTGGTTAGCCAGAGCCACCAACTGGGCCAAGTTTACTGCCACAGCCAGCCTAGGAGTCATCCACAGGGCAAGTGACATTTTTCTAGCATTCATGAGTCTTCACAGATATTTTTTTATATGTGTTTTATGAGAAGCTATTTCCATCAGCAGTCTACAAGATCTTCCCTGGCAGATACATTTTAAATCTCAAACACTCTGATTCACTTCCTGCACACTCCATACTCTTGTACAACTGACACAATTTTATTTTATCTTTATGAAGACAGAGATCATTAGGACTTTCAGGACTTTCATATCATGATACAAAATAAAAAAAAAAAATCAAGACCAGCCAAGCAAATGGTACTTGTAATTCAGAATAATCTTCGTGGCTTTCTGGCCTTTTACTATGCACTTTTAATGCTCTTTCAGGAGTGGCCCTGTTTATTTTTGAGCACCAATAGTAGTCGATAATAATCAAGTCAGGTTTATTTAAAAAAATCTAAAAACAAATAACTGCTTTTGCAGCAATTACCATGTATTGCGCTACACTTCTGCTTTTTATTTATTATTGTGTAGTGCATTGTTGCTTATTTTTAAAAGCTGTGTGTGTTGTGTACTCAGGGTCATGAAAAGGAGGCGCTGCAGTTAATGGCCACTTACCTGCCTAAGGACACCTCCCCAGGTTCAGCCTACCAGGAGGGGGGGGGCCTGTATGCACTGGGGCTAATCCATGCCAATCACGGGGGTGACATCATCGACTACCTGCTCAGCCAGCTGAAGAATGCCAGCAATGATGTGAGTGTCGGGGGGGGGAGTCAAAGAATATGTTCCTTCGAAGCGTTTTGTGCTGTTCAAGAATAAAATGTGAAAGGAACAACCTGCTGCACCGTAGCCTTAGCCTTGACGTTTGTTGCCCTGTTGGTCGTACTGTTAATTCTCAGTCCTTTTCTCTCTCCCCTCAGATTGTCCGTCATGGGGGCAGCCTGGGACTGGGCTTGGCAGCTCTTGGCACTGCTCGCCAGGATGTCTATGATCTGCTCAAGTCCAACCTGTACCAAGATGATGCTGTTACAGGTATTCAGTGCCAGCCAGAACTGAAGACAAAACTATGCTACCGTGTTGATTGTGTCATTAAATGGTTTTAGCATTTCCCATGTTCTTACTCAGAAAGGTTGATTAGGATGATCATACCCGTAGTTAATGAGAAGATAAACCAACATGCCTAAAAAAACTGGAAAGAAATGTATAGATCTGTCCATACATTCCTCTACTGGACATAGTCACACCAGGTTATTAGAAAATATTAATATAATTAAATCATACAATTTCTTAATACATGTGCTACTTGATTAAGAATCTTTCAAAAGAGAAACACATTCTCTGCTTCTATATTAATATATATTTGTATGAGACTCAGGGATGTGATTTTTATATAGAAATAGGTTTAAAAAGCCAAAGAATACATTTAATTAATGCCACAGTGTTGATCACCAAAATCACACCTCAGTGTGGACTCCTTGATTAATATTTTTTGCCGGATTTCCCCCTTCAAATATTATATATCACAAAAAAATTTACGTTTTTGATGCATCCTAGAAAGAAAACATTAATGCGGAGGTGTGTCAAAGGTCAAAGGTGTACCTTTCTTCAGATTGTTTTTTTTTCTGTCCCTTGATAAAACAAATACAAGTTCTATTCTACCTTTGTAAATATTTGTCAAAGTGATGTTGCTTTCTATTAGTATGGGACCTCCTATTGCACTGCATTCACTTCTAATTTGAGAAGCACTGCCTGATTCATATTGTATACTCATTTATAATGAAAAATGATATTACCATTATCTGAAATATGTTAGATTTGCCAAACGTTTGTAAGATTTAAAAGATTAGTTTTGATTATCCCTTATAACTTTTTTCTGTAAGTATTATTATTTAGGTATTGGGCATTGTTAGTATCATTATTTAGTACAGTTAAAGCAGAATTATGACCCAAAGGAAAACCAAGTAGAAGAGAGCCATAGAAGAGTAAAACTAATAAGGAATTTTTAGCTGATCCTGCTTTTTGACTGCATGCGTGCTGTGTAGGAGAGGCGGCCGGCCTGGCTCTGGGGCTCGTGATGCTGGGCTCGAAATCGGCCCAGGCCATCGAGGACATGGTGGGGTACGCCCAGGAGACGCAGCACGAGAAGATCCTGCGCGGCCTGGCGGTGGGCATTGCGATGGTGATGTACGGCAGGATGGAGGAGGCCGACACGCTCATCGAGAGCCTGTGCAGGGATAAGGTACACGTGGCTCCTGTGACGGCCATGTTTGTATATAGACAGACTGGCCTGGAGGCCTCCAGATCAGCTCCAGTATGCAGTCTGGCTTTGAGCTCTCAAGTTGCACTTGCTGCTGTAGACTTCATCCTGCTGCCTGATCTAGAGTGAAGTGAAACTGCTATGAAACTTATTCTTATTCCTTACACGATATACTTTTGAGTTACAATCAAATGTAAAGTTATAGTTATATGTCATCTATATTTATAATATAAAATTTAGCCTTTCAAAGTTTTTTTTTTTTCCTCATTGTTAAGTTCAACTATAACAAATTAAATATTCTTTTCGGCCTTTTTAATTGGTTTTCCACGGACCACCTTAACGGTTTTTCTTCATTAAAAATAATTCGAACTACTGCATAGAAGGCAATAATGTTACCATTTTTTTCCCAGGACCCTATCCTTCGACGTTCAGGAATGTACACCGTGGGCATGGCGTACTGTGGCTCTGGAAACAACAAAGCCATTAGACGTCTGCTTCATGTTGCTGTGAGTCTGCAGTTATTGTTTAGGAAAAATATGCGTATTTGTAATGCAATTGTTGGCTGTGATAATACTGGGGATCAAAGCATAAAGCCATACCAGGAACACTGATCAAAGTAGCAGATGCAGTGTTGATGAAAATAATCCATTCCTTCATGCCAACTATTAATTGTCGCCTTTTAATCAGTGATTATTCTTCTCTGTTGAACGCTGTCTGATATCCTGTCCTTTTCTCAGCACTAATTTCATTCTAAACGTTGGAAATTTCATGTTGTAGTAATAGAATGGAACAATGTAGCTACAGTCCAGTTAACTGTAAATACAAATAGCCTTTTGGTTCTTTCTGCTCTCCACAAGCTCTAGGCCTTCAAGGTAAAATTAGCTCCAGTTTTAGTGCTGCTAGTGCTAATGTAGTAAAGCACAGAACAATGTTGTATCATGAACGCATATCCAGTATGTTGATTTCTGAACTTATCACATTCACCTTTTCTTTTTAATGAATGTGTATTCTTATGATTTGAGATTTGTCCTCAAATTAATCATTTTTCTCTCTTGGGCTAATATTTAACGATTATTTGCAGATATTTGTATAATATGGTGTGTGATTCTTTACTAGTGAAAATAGAAACCAAAGAACATTTTAGAATTTTCACAGCTATATAATTACCGCACTATAGAAATAGGAGTGTTTCGTTGCTTTCCTCACATGGGGTATAGTGATTCTGCCTTTGAATTATTTCTACAATAACAAATAGGTCATTATTTAGTGTCAGTGAAATTTCTGCTTTTCCATAGTCTTGGTATACAGAGAGAGTATGCCTTTCTTTTCTCTCTCTGTAGATGGCAGTGTTTGGAAGTCAAATCAAGGGAAGAGTCTGATTCTTACGTGTACTAAATCTCAGATTTTATTTGTGAAGATGTGATTATTTGCCTTTGTATTTTAATTTGTAAAACGACCTGTTTCGGATTGAACTATTCCTTTGTGTTTCTGGTAGGTGAGCGATGTGAACGATGATGTCAGAAGGGCGGCAGTGGAGTCCATTGGTTTTATTATGTTCAGGTACAGTCTTGTTTTTCCTTTTGCTGTCATTCTCATTGTGCCCACGGAGCGTCTCTGCTAAGTCAATATTCGGACTCGTACCGTGTCAGGTTTGATGAATTGGCCCATCTGTGTATACACAAAGGGAAAATTCCTCCCATGGTTTTGGAATATTTTCCAAATACGTTTTGACAGTGTGTCTTCACATGGTTTTGTACCACAGTTTATATTCTTGTCTTTCTTTTAACACCCAAAACAAACAGCTGAATTGATCACTTCCTCTCAGGGGAGTGATTTATGGATATGGATTTTCCAGTGCCGAGTGCCAGTCGTACTGTACCCACCTTTGGCTGCCATAAACATGCAGTTTTCCTTCTGCCCGCTCTGTGATTTCTTTTGAAACTGTCGTTTTCATTTGTGACATTCTTTCTGGCAATCTGTTCTAACATGCGGAGCTGAACAAGTAAACGTTTGGGCTTTGCTGCCCAGTAATTTTTATTGGCATCTTTAACGTGTTTGTGTTTGATAAAAGCTGGATTGGCAGTGCTTATTTCTAACCAAAACAGACCACGTTCGTTGCAATTTATAGTATTGGCCCAGATGGAAACAGGTCTGTGCGGTACCAGAATGGGTTAGTAGTTTTTGAGAAACGTTAAAAATGTTTTACAAAATGAGCTAATTAAGGGACTCTCAGTGCTGTTCCTGGATTCCTGTGTGTTTACAGCTTTTCATTCCAGCTGGCCTCTTAACATCTTCACCTGTCAACAGCTTAATAGGACCAGTTTAACAGCTTTCCCATCTCTTTGGGTTCTGGGGCTTTAAAAAGACTTGGAATACCTGGAGACACACGAGCCCTCCAGCACCAGGATTGAGAATCCCTGGACTAGTGAAAATAGGGACTGACATTCTGCCTAATAATTGTGCTCCTATGAGCAGAATATGAATGTTGGTCTTTGTCTTCAATTTGATTATTGTTTATGAGTTACTCTTCATTTTACTCACAAATATTTTAGTCATTGTTGAAATTTTCAATTTTTTACATTTCCTTCTACTAAAATATTAAGTCCCTTCCTATTGAATAAACTCTTCATGGACAAAAACAGATGTCCTTTATGACAGCTGTACTTAACATGAATGAGTGGTATGTTCATTGCATTTGTATACACTATTCACAGTACCTTAATAGTAGACATCAGCAGTTTTCAAAAACGGAAAATTGTCAAATGCCATTAGTCTTGCAAAACTGAGGATACTAAATGTCTTAACTTACAACAGCATGGGAGTTTAGAAAAGCTACTGATGGAAAGTCTCCAGTATATGTTTTGATAGTAAAAACTTTGACAGGTTTATATACAAAAAATTGTTTTTTTTGTGTGGAGTTTGGTAGATTTAGATTGAAACATTGCTTCAGTTTCTTTTATGCTCATTTCCACTCTGTCTTTGTCTTGCGTGTGTTGCTTAGTTGAAGTTAATGCTGTGTTTTTGTGACCTTCTTGTATAGTGAAATCAGAAAAGAAACTGACTCGCTCAACTGACAAGATCAGATTTGAACCCTATGGCTTGTATCCGCAAGTCATGCCTGAGTCATCATGCCACTGGCTGGCTGTATTCAGGATTCCTCAAGTGGTAGGATAGGGTTGATGGTAGTCTGCCAGGGTCCTTTCAGAAGAACATTGACTCTTTTGACTTTCTGGACTTCTAAGGGATTGCACTGATGTCATGGTGACACCTGCTGCTCCTCTGTTTTGTGAGGATTACCTTTCCACATTCTCCTTTTCAAAAGGTTTTGAAAAACTATTGGGGTTTCTAAATTAGGCATATCTATAATGAAAATACTTTTATGTTAAAAAAAATCCTTCCATGCACTGTTATGTTATTTTTTGCGAAATGCAATTAGCTTTTTTTGTCATTTTCATGTCAATCTTGACATGAAAAGTAGTCTGTTTTGTTTTCGTGTTCAAAATATTACTAATGAAAAATATTCATTAAATTCATTTAGCACTGGAGGTTTGCATAATTTGAATAATTGGTCAAAAGGTCAGGTCTTTTCTTTGGAACAACAAAACTTCCATGTCTGTACCGAACCAGTGCATTCCTTTTTCCTCTGTTCTTTTGTAATGCTTCCTTGTATGTAAAGCATCTCATTGTTGCTTAAATGAATCAGTTACTACTGTTACAATTAAAAGCTATAAAATAGTTAAAGTATATCAGTAGTCTTTTATCATTTTATATTGATCTCTGTTGATATCTTATGGTGTTTTAGTTAATTTTCTTAGAATGTGAGATGCTTCTTGTCTCTTGATCAATATGGCAGTAGGTCTTTTTGCCAATGTTTAGTACTATTTTTTTTTCTTTTGCCTGTACAGGAAAGCTACAAAATGATCATTTTAGCCCCCACAATATACTGTATAAATGCTACCACAAAGCTATGCTGTTTTATGGCAGTAGTTTGTTGCATCATATGTTTGAAGATGCATACTTCATGCTCTTTGAAGTAAGTCTTAGTTTTTTCAAATACATTTTTCATTGGATAAACCTGTAATAGAGCTCACAGTGAACCTTTGTTTTTCAAGCTCAGTTAAATTGTAGTGCTTTACCTCTGTTACTGAGACATTAGAAATGTGGTTTGGATTACTGTGGTAAAGGGGTGGAAACCACACCTGCTTTGAAATGTTGCCTAGAAAAAAAAACTTGCACAGATTTTGGAAGTTTTCTTTGTGTAGGATTAGGCTTCCATAGAAAGTCAACATCAGCTGACATGAGAATACTGTTTCTTTGCAAGAGCAATATTTCTCTCCCATTATGGCCACAGCAGTATGTAGTGTCTTGACGTTTGCCTCATAATCATTTCAATACCTACAAACTGTTTTACTATGGCTTTTTCAATTACTGTACATAGAAATTAGAAAAAAGTGTCTTGACTGCTGGAGCACTTTCTTATGAAAAGGAACATTCTTGCTTCTTATTTCTGTTTGGCAAAAATGGCCTGTCGAGATGCCAGTATACAAGATTAAATGATACATACATTTCATACTGTGAAAGATCATATTGACTGTTCCAGAATCTGTAAGGGTAAAGAAACTCAATTTGCTTTTTGTTATATATTCAAATACAGGGTCAGTCATACAATGGAAGACAAAACTAAAACATTTAAAAGTGATCATTAAGGCACTAAACTCCCTGTTATGCTTTTCTTACTCTGTATTTGCCTTGTTTTCAATACTCTTAGAATTTAGGGTTATTCATAAAAGAGTTCAAGACCCTTTCAGAAGAACCAAAGGACTAAATAGGTGGCTTATTTTCATCTTTGATTTGTTGTTAATGTTTACATTCAAGTTCTTCTAAAGGTTGAAAAACATGCAAAAGAAATAATGGAAATTGCTTTTCTCAGCATGCCTTGTATCCTTGTTCAACTACAGTATAATCCAATAACTAGCATTAAATAAATGCCTTGAGAGTGACCTAAAAGATTAAGGTAATTAATATGTTACGTTTAGATTTTAAAACAGTAGAGTCTTACAGCTGCTATTCATTATTGAACTTTACTATATGAAGGGCATTTTATAGGGTGTCTAGTCTTGTAGCAACGGACCACACATGGAAGTAAAAACAGGCTTGTAATCCCTGATTCAGAGAAAATTGAATAGACCGGATTTCTTTCCATGTCATTTTCCTCAGCTTGGCACATCATGCTTTCAAGTGAGTGCTGAAAGGTAGTGAAGCAGTGAAATGCATTGTGCTTCTGGTTAACCTCTGAGTCACGCGTTCCTCTTTTTATCTGTTTATAAAACCCCATCCTTCATCATCTTCCTATGTAAATGTACCCCTTCAGCAGTACAGGAATACTAAACAATGCACTGGGCCAAGTGGAGGAACTGGGGGACTTTTTAAGTCCAAAAAAGGGCATGCGATATTCATATGATCAATGGGCTGTAAGATAAACCTGCTCTAAATCATCCCAGTGTTTAGAGAGCCTCCTGGACTGCGGGAATGAGGAACTTCCCCTGGGTTCAGGCTCCTTACAGTTCTGCAGGGTGCTGGAGTCCTTTCATGTTGACTGCCAAGGTGGCGATAGTTTTTGAAGGAGAAGGGGGGAGGTCAGTCAGAGGACTGTTTTTGTAACTCCTCTTTTTTGCTTCCTGGCCTTAGTGGTGGCACTAGATCTTCCTTCTCACCTTCTGCTTTACACATCTTTGGACCAGTTTCATTTGGCAGTGAGAACCGTTTCCGGAAAGTCAAACACTTATAATAAAAAGAAATAACTTTTCAGCTGTCAGTTTCTCAAACAGTACATGCTAGTATTTGTTCATCATGTGCAAGTTTTGCCTTAACTGAGATTTGATAGTTAATATTGAGCTGCTGCCTTATCCTGAATCATACTCGTTGAATAAATACTATAATACTTCAGTTTTGCTCCCATTTTGATTTCCATTTTTTTTTTTAATATTTGATACTCACCTGTTTTTGGGATTGCTCACCATTTAGCCTGGAGTCTGAAAAATTACAGATGCTGTTTAAAAGATGTTTTTTGTGTTTGTGGGATTATGGAATCTCTCTGCAAATGGTCCCATTAGTGTGCTTTTGCTCTCCATTATTCACACAGATGGCTTGATCAAAGTTCAAAGAATGGTTAATGAGTGTGGTAATGTTATCATCCTCACTTTTTAAAGCATTTCTCATTTTCATTAGTGCAAAAAAAGGCCTTAAGGTTAAAGACTGGGTTAATAACTGTCCAATCTTGGCCATAGACCTTATGTATAAAATGTATAATTTTACGTGAGTTTCCTGACCTGTTTTCTGATTGATATTGAAAGCTAACACATGACATTGTTTATGAAAAAAGTATAGTATTCATTTTTTAGAACAGCTGTTAAGTATAGCAGTTTCAAATTAAAATGTACTATTTGGATTTGTGCTGATTCATAATCGTGATCTAAAGCATGCAGCAGACACATTTTCTGTGGAGCTCTGCTGTGTTTCACCCGGACTTGTTTATAAGGAGGCCCTGGGTCCAGTTTTGGAGAACTGAGATTGTTGCTGTAAGTTGATTTGGTAAGAGTGACTTGGTAAAAGGGTTTGTGTAAAGAGCTGGCAAAAAATGTGATTTTTGACTAACATTACTTGCAGTACTTAAGCAGCCAAAAATATGTAATCCTAGGCACAGTAATTACAGAGTGTCTAGTTATTTTTGTGTGCTTTAACAATCAACAGGATTGCACCATTAAAACACGGTCCCAAATCTAAGTCTATAATTACTGTAAATAATCATACAATAACTGCATGTCAGCAGATCTTCTATATGATCTCTTAGAGCAGATCAATTATCTGTGAATGTTGATTACACACACTACAAGACTTGGGGTGAAACATTTCCTTTTTGCCCTTCATCTCTGCTGTCTTGAAATTCCTCATTCCTAATGAAATTGGCTACAATAAACTAATCGCCTATGTGAGTGTTCTGGCATTGAATTGGGACAGACAAAATAAAACGCAGAATCTGGTTTTCGACATTGCCACATTTTATGTGTAATTTTGAATCGATATCTCCTCTACACAGAATATTTATATTTATAATGTTACTAAAGCATTATTTTCAGACAAGTATGTCTATAAAAGTTGACTTTTAGTCAAATATGAAAAAATGTTGGCATTATTCCTTGTATGGAAATTGGAAACATCTGCTTTTGATCATATTTGTATAACAGTATCTCAGTAAAAAGCAAAGATAAGAAGGGGTCATCTAACTACTGTTGATGTTTTCCAGCATTTAAGAAAACATGTTCACAAAGGCACGTAAACTTTTTTGAAAATCTTATTACAACAGGAGGAGTGCACTGGAAAGGCAAATTCTTGTGGTTGAGTCTTCCTTGCAATCATTAGCCTGTTGGTGTCCTGTGATTGTTGAAAGGATTTGTATCGAAAGATCTATCAGATTGTGACATACAGTATAGATAGATACATTTAGGCGAATACCTATTCTTTGTCTTGTTCAGATATAAAATCTCAACCAGGTAAATACTGAATATTATGGGAATTATGCAGTTTGAACCATGTAGAGTTCCAAGTTTCATTTTAATACCTTGCTTCGATTGCTACTAAAATGCAACCTTGTTTCTTAATAGTAAAGAGCTCTTCTTAAGGCTCTTCGTTTTGGCTGTTTCTTGTCTACAGAAACCTGTGACATTAAGTTAAAGCTCCATCACATTAGCTTAAGTGCCGCTTGTCCTTAGAATGTCGTGACAAGTAACACTGAGACTGACATCCATAATGTATTCATGCAGTTCTTTTGATATATGGAGTGCACAAACCGACAAGAATGCTTTCACTCTAAAGGACTTTAGCCTTTCCTTCTTTTAAGCCTAAAAGACACTACATCTTGAGCTACACATAGCTGACCTGCTCCTGTTTGCCACCTTCATTCTCAGTTAGAAGCAGCGTGTCTAAAAGAATGGCCGCAGAAGACTGCATAGGTGGAGACCGCAGCCGTAATGGACTCTGGTATGTCACAGGACTGATCCCATTTCTCATTCCGTGCTTCATGAAAAATTTTGAGTTCTCTGTCACAGATGAGCGAAAGGAAATCCGGGCCAGTGTCCTGCGATGCACTTTAGGAGGCCTAGTCCCACCATAGTTACAAGTAATGTAGCGACTAAAAGCCTTCCGGAATGTCTTGTTAAAGAGCGTGTACACCAGAGGGTTGATACCAGAGGAGATGTAGCCAACCCATACAAAGATATCCATCAGCCTGCCAGCAATAGCAGTGCATGAGTTGCAAAGAACTGAAGTAACATTGGTGATGAAGAATGGGCACCACATGACCACAAAGAGGAAGAAGACAATGCCCAAGACTTTGGATGCCCGTTGCTCATTGCTGATATTCTGCATGGACTTCTTGCCCATTGCAGACATTCTTCTGATGGGAATTTCCTCCCCCGTCACAGCATTTGTGTTGGTTGGAATCTGATTATTTCTGGAGCCATCAAGCATGGCTACATTCTCCTTCTCTGGGGATGAGCTTGCTGGTAGCTCTCTTTGGAAGACAGTAGACACTGTTGATTTGGAGAAGCGCTGGGATGCCCTGGACTTGAGCAGATAGGCTTTCTTCTGCAGCACCTGAATGGTCAGCAGATAAATAATCATCATGATGGTCAGGGGAACAAAGAAGGCTGCCAAAGAGCCAAAGAGGATGAATTCCCTGAAACAGTCAATCCTCAGTAGACAGGTGTCGTTGTTGAAGGTGTTATGATCATTTTTAAGGCCTTTGATTGGAATGGGTAAGGCAATACCTAGGAGAAAGCAAATAAGATTTATTTTGATTTTTACAAAGCCTTTTCGTTATCTTAGTTCTCTCATTTCTTTAAAGCCCATGGACAAGACAGATATGTCTGAATGGAATTATGTGGGATTAAAATAGAACCTTATGTAAATTTCACTTTTTATCATATGAAACCATTGTAGCTTCTTCCTTTTTTGTACTGTGGACTGGAACTGGTGTCTGGTTACAAATAGTTTGCCTTGTAGGTGGGGTTTTTGTGCAGTCAAAAACCGAAGGACTTATGGCATGCTCATAAACTGTCACAGAAAGTTTATTTTCCTATCTGAAAGCATTTTAATTAATTGTTTATATGAACATAATGGCTACTAACCAAGATTTTGCTTTCATCAAACATGAAAGAGAAATTTGTTAGTGATCGTTTTTTGTATCTGGGATCCTACTCAGCCTATGCCAGCAATATTTGAATTGGGGGAAAGCAGTGTGTAATTAATTATTTGGTTAATTGCTTACCATTAATGAGAGTTAAAAAACATTTCAAAAGGTCACTCAAAGACAGTATGGTTAAGACTGTTTAAAAAGGTGAAAAGACAAAGGACATTAATTATGTTGATCAAGATTTAATTGATTAAAATACAATTTGTTCCAGAACTCCTTTGGCTTTATAGAATGTATTGTACTAGAACATGTGGCCGATGCCAAGACGAACAACAGCTTTTTAGAGTACTGTGAAATCTTGCAGCCACAGGACAGTTTTCACCTTGTTCTCCTCCAATTCCCTGCCAGTAGCACTGCCTGGCTTGTTATTGTCACATAAAACGTGCAGTGTGTTTTATATGTTGCTATATGTTTTTATATGTTGCTGTAGAAGCTAATATTTAAAAATTAAATTAAAAGTAATTGTTTAGAAATACTCAGTGCTCAGCCAGTGCTGAAGAGTAATGAAGAATGCCAGTTCCTTTTTTTGCTTATAGAATTGTATTAATTATCACCAGGGGCTATAGTAAAACGTCTTTTGGAGTCAGGCCTATATGCGTGCTTAACTTAATATTTTATTTTCTTTATGAGTGATGGGTGTCATTCTTGAATTCAGAGTGAGTGGCTTGGAGAGAATAGGAAGATTTGATCTGTAGAAATAAAAGCTTAATTTCTGTCTTGTGTTAATTCAGCTCTAACATGGAAAAGCAAATTTACCGTCTGCCTTATTTCTTTACTGTTGGAAGTCACATATTGTATGTCCATATTTTTCCATGCAGATTTTGGTACCCATATATTTAGCTGGGTTAGCTGAAGTAATCTGGGTAGCTCAGTCATACAACAGCAGTGACTAGTATTGGTATTTTAACCTCCCACCTGTTACGAGTGCAGAGACCTAACCACTAACTTTCCAAACTAAAATGTCAAGTTTTTTTTGTTAATTGCTTGGTTCAGCAATAAGTCTTACCCACTTATCTTTATATGCAGTTCTCACATTTCGTAGTGTTTGTGTTGGAATTTGGTTGTTCTTACGATAAGCATGGCATGGCTTGAAACTTGCATTTATCCTGAAAGGCTGACGTGTACTTTGATTTTAGTATTGCTTTCTTTTCCTCATTTCTTTTAACTTTGTTATACTATTAGTGAGTGAAAAACACTCCTTACAGATATGCATTTTTTGTGCATCTTGAGTATTCACAATATTTGAAACTATAATGCTTCCCGTGATTTCACAAAGATGGCTTTGTAATAGTGAGATGAAGTGAAGCTGCCTTGTCTTTTGTGGAAGTTGCTCTTTGCTGTGTGCATACCCTCAGTAGCCTCGCCATAAACACCACTGTGTAGATACAGGCACGTCTGGTCCAACGCGATACTGTTCGCGTGTTCCTGGAAAACGCGCCGTCTACCTTTGGTTCAGTAAGAATAGGGTGAGGGAATCGAGAGTTCCGATTCACAAGAAAGAAGGTGTTTTTTCTGTATGGGTCATATTATTAGCTTGAATGTATTACTTCTGCAGAATTTGTTTTTCTGATCATTTTAAACGGCGGAAAAAATAGATCACACATAATAAGCCTTAGTATTTATATCACCAAGCAATAAGAATTCTGCAGCAGAGGAGGATGAGACCACGTTTTTCTTTAACATTTTTAACAATACACACTACTGTCATTTTTTAACTTAACATAAAGAACGTGGAATAAATTTTAAATAAAACTTTAAACAATAACCACAAGAAGATGCAGTTCAACATAAACAGTGAAAAATAGACAAAATAAGGCATAAAATGCTAAGCAATAAGAAATTCTGCAGTGCAGGAGGGTGAGAAAGTTTTGCTAAAAAATACATTACAATGCGCATTACTAAGCCTAACCCAGTTTAATGCTTAGAAAATGCTTGAGCCAATTCATATGTTACTGTCAAAAATAAGTTTTTCAAGCAAGGCTTGTGCAGTTAGGGGAGTGGAAGGCATTCTGATTTTGTTGCACAAAGAAAAGCTGTGGGATTTACTTGTGTGCACAGATGAAAGAACCACCTTGTGTGTGATCTTGTGAAATGCATCGGAACCCGGAATCTGGTCCAATCAACTAATGCCTAGAACTACTGTATAAGAGTGCACAAGTGCTTTCTTTTCATCAAATAAAAAATGAAGGAACAGTAACTTAACAGTATTTCTATACAGTATTTTAAGTGCACTAAAATCTGTAGGAAGCTGAACTCTTTAACTGCTGTTGAACTTTGCAGTTCTGCTGTGAGTGAACCTCATGATTATGTGCATGCCTGAGTAAGACTAATGCTAGAACCAGATTTAATTCTGATTTAAGAACTGTGGAGGTGATGCTGCATGCAACTCTCTGGATTGTAAAATGACCTTTTCTAAACCACAGAGGCAGGAGCTTCATCTTGACATTGATAATCGGTTTACGAACAGAAACTTTATAGTTGGTAAGCATAACTTTTTCTTGGAGTTCTGGATGTAAACTAGCCCTGACAAGTTAACTGTGTTGTAGTTTTTCCAAATATCCAATTTTGAAATGTAGAATTACTTTGTATTTGTTTTTCTGAGAAAGCACTACTACCAAGCTGTGTTCTTGGCAGAATTTTGTGTTCTTCTCAGATGGAAAGAAGACTGAATGGGAATTACTTTCTACAGGTAATGTGCCTCTGTATTTCAGTGACTTCTCATCCTCATTGGTGTTTTCTGGTGCTTTTTAATCTTTTTATTTGAAAAGCAATCACTTCAGTTGTTTTCTGTTATGAGGTCAACTCTCCTTCCTAAGAAGTTTCATATGCAGAGCTGCTGCAAAGATTTTACTGCCATACCAAGTCCAACTCCAGCCATGGCAACTGTGCCAATGTTTTCTCGTAATGGCTTCAACATGAGCTTAGATTGAATGGTCAGGAAATGACTGGCAGGAAGCTTGGAATAGTACGAATAGTATGATATGTCATTGATGTCTTCCACAAAAATGTTGTTTTCTATTTGCCAAAGGGAAGAGTGTTGTGACTTCACTGAGCAGGGATGAAAAACGTGTTTTCTTTTTCTTTACTGATAAACTACGTCTGGTTTGACACGAGCTCAAGAATGCATTCAGCCTTGTCGGTCTGCTTACCAATGGATATGAGCCAAACGGCTGCAATTTTTGCCATAGCTTTTGCTCTGGATTTATATTGGCTGTGTTGGATGGGTTTCTTGATGGCAATGTAGCGATCCAACGAGATGGCACAGAGGTGCATTATGGAGGCTGTGGAGAACAGAACATCCAGGAATAACCAGATGGGACAGAGGAACCTGGGTAGGGGCCAGCTGGAGTCTGAAAGAGAGAAAGAGAGCATTGCTTTGTTGCAGAGTCCTAAATTAGCAGTAAGCTCCTAGCCAGATTTACGTTTGGTTCATTCTAAGGTTGGAGAAATGCAAAAGGTCCACAATCAGTATGTTAACAGTACAGAGAAAAAACACTTTTTTTTAATTGCCGTAAACTGCTTGTAGACATTCACACCCTAAATACTGACTTTTGAGGGTTTTTTTTTTTTGGTAGTATAAAAACAGTTGTATCATGAACCATCTTGTTCTTCGTTATTTAAATGTAGTAACAGTTTATATTTGGCTTTATTGCCCCAGCTAAATTATTGACAGTTTTATTGCTGTTTAGATCACAACATTCAAAGCAGGAGCCGTTACGATTTCTGTTGTCTAGACATGTACTGCACCCAGCTTCTGTGGGTTTGTGACAGCAAATATTGGTTTATCATAGAAACTATAATTACCACTCCTAAAAATATTAGCATTCATATTACCTCTCACCTTACCTCTCACCCATGATCTGAACCTCACAGTGCCTTCTTTCTTACCAAAAACCCAAACACACATTGAAATCTACCTCTACCTCACATGTCAAGAAGCTCACTCCCCATAGTTTTCTATCCTTTATTTCATTCTGTTGATGCATGTTTTTGCACATCATGTTATGCATATTACCTGTTACCTTTTGTTGTTTTTGCACACTGCCTGTTGTCTCTGTCTTTCTTTTATTATACAATTGTATTGTTGTTTTTTTGTACTACTAGCTAAATAGCAATTCGTTATACCTGTATATGAGTATAAAGACAATAAACTTGAACTTGAACTAATTCAAATTGTATAATGGAAATCCATGTCAGTCTCCCTGTTGTAGGAGTTTAACTATTGTAATGTTTCATATCTTCTAATTATTTTGCTTGACTTTTTTAATCACCATCCTATGTTTAATAAAAAATAAGCTGGTTTATTTTGGAATTTTCCAAAATGGAAAAATATGGTAAATTCTTCTGACTGTTCTGCTTGTTTTGTGTAACTGTCTTTAAGGCTCTTTGCAGAACATGTTGTGAATGTTTCTTCTGCATGCCAACTATGTGAATAGATTAACTTCAATACCCAAGGCTTAAGACTGCTGTATTGTTAATACACTGTTTATTTTATAAGTCGTGTGTTCAAAGAATGAATTTACTGGAAATCAACCTCTGTTATTACTTCTTATTACTTTTTAAGGAGCTGAAAGCTCAGTAGATGCCAAACTTGATTATTGGTCGCTTACCAAAGTTCTCAGAGAGCATTGTTTATTTAGGGTCACAGAAGTAACATTAGTGGGTAAAATGGGTAGGACCAATTGATAGGAGCAAATGAATGAAGAAAGAGTTTGTAAAAAATGTTAGAAACACTCTCCTTCAAGACATGAGGCATTCGGAATAGTACTAATGTTTTTTTTTTATTTCCTAATTCTTGTGAGTATGAATTAAATGTTCAAGGGTAAAGAGAAGAAAACAATAGTCTATGGAAATGCTTTACAAATTCAGCTAAATTTATTTCATCTAACATTACATTGGGATTAGCCTTTGTCCTAGCGAGAAACAGCCAGTGGTGAGGAAGCTTATCTAACTACGAACTCCAAGGCTTTCACCCTCAATACAATAATGTGTACAGTGGAATTTTTAAAATAAACTCTGAAACGTACTGTATTTTCCTAAGTATATATTTTGTGGAGCCTCCTTAATTAGAGACATCTGTGTGTATTGAACAAAAGCTGGCACATCAGTGTTGCAGAAGCAGTGTTTTTTTACTTCAGCGTGTTTTTTTTATTTTAAATTTATTTTGGTGTTTTGTGGGGGGGACATTGTCTGACAAAGCCTTAGGAAATAATCTGTTCATTTTAACACATTAAGGTCAGACCTAGTCTGGGGGATAGTACAGCTGGCAACCTTTCCTTCCAGGAATTGCTTTTATCTAGATCCTGTTCTGTTTACATCTTCCGTGCTTAATACCTGAGGAGTAATGTTTTTTAACCTGCTCCTAATTAGCAAGTTGTAGCAGGTTACATAGTGACAGTTTTGAGGGGGTGGAGTTAGAAAATGGGAAGATTAACATTTGAAGCGAGGGAGCTCTGAATGATCATTTCCAGATTATGAAATATCTTAATTAAGATCTCACGAGTGACAGCTCGCTACAAGACTGCAGTCAGATTCTGTAGCAAATACAGTACTGAGGGTGTGACCTGAAGTCATTTACATCAACCATAAGAAGTAGTGTTTGGCTCTCTTACGTTTTTAACTTTGTACAAATTGTAGCCTTTGAGAGGAAACCTCTGGTTTCCTAATTAGAGTGCACCGTTCTTGCTGTACAGTAAATGTAGCAAAATAGGCAAGGACTGTGTTTTATCATCTTTGAAGTTAAATAATTGTAATTTTTTTAAAGTAATCTGGCTTTACAGGACACTTTAATTAGTTTCAGCCGCTGGGCTAATGTGAGATACAATGTGCAGGGCCTTGTGTGTATAGTAATGCCACTAATGGCCTAATGTATAAGAACTGATTATTTTTTAGTTTTAATAGGAAGTAGCAGATTCTGTACTAGCAGCTTATTCCTAGAACAAAAACGTATTCCAAATTTCCAGTATTAAATCTTAATGCAGTGCGATGTTACTCATAAAAAAAAAAAATTGATAGAAGCTTCTAATATGGTCTAAGCTTCATAAAATGAGGATCTATTCAAATAATCTGCAGCTCCTGGCTCCTTCAGTAAAGGCAGCATGTCAAATCCAATGTCAGAAATATGCACTAACTTACATTTATTTTTAATAGAAACATCGTTCTCTAAGAATGTAAATTTGTTTAGACAGCCAAAAAATAAAATCATTGAAAGATTTTTCTTTTTTATCTCTTTTATTATAAAAAAATTCAGGGAAAATTTTGTTTCCCAAGTTACCTTTTGCTCCCACAACCAAATTGGTTTTACTAAATTCAAGAATGTACTGAGGGACAATCACAATGATTATTTATCACCAGTCTTTAGGGAGTGCCAAAATATTGTGAGATATTTGCCATGTCAGTGCTCGGGGTTTCTCCGAAGCTGACAGATTTATAAAGCATTCAAAACATTCCTTCAGTTCATAAATATCTTCTGAAAAAATTGGGCTGAAAAGCTTGCATCTTGATTTTTTTTTTGTTCTTTATTGGTATAGTTCTTTATTATCTGGGTTTCCTAAAGTACATTTTCGTGGCAAACACCAAAGAAATCGTATTTTCATTGTGAAAAGATGACTTCTCTTTCCGATACCTCTTTAAATAGGAAAAAATCTGGTGGCATCCCCGTTCTATTTTGATGTGGTAATAGGGAGAGTTACTACAGAGAACAGCTTTCTCTTGGGGTGGCAGTGCAGCAAGCCAGGTGGCCAGCACTCTGCTTTACTGTTACAGGATGACTGTCATTTAACCTCACTCTCTAGCAGGTTTCTGTGGTACATCAAAATGACAATGAAGCACTACACTAGAGCTCTCCAGGACATTTACATGACAAGTTCCAGAGAGGTGTGCATCTTCAAATTAAGAAAAGAATAGCTTTTGTATTGGGTGTGTTGAAACAGGTTGACGCTTCATTGCATTTTCTTATTGTTAAATTATTCAGCCTGTTTACATTGAAGTCCACATCACAGATCTTGGCACACGTGAAACCTGAGGGCATTTCTTGGAATCAGGAAGTACGGTCACACACTGGAGCAGTGTTTTTCTCTGTGTATTCTTACTGCGTCTACTTGTAAGAGTGTGCCACACTCTTTTGTGCACTTTGTTAAATTAGAAGGTAGAGAGTATTTTTGTTTAAGGTGCATGTGGCTGTTGTGGCAGTTTCAGGAGCATTTAAAGGGGCTGCTTGCAATAGCGTTTTACAGTTTTTGCCCAGTTCAGGGTTGCATGGGAGCCAGGGCCTATCCCAGGAAGCAAGGCAGTGTTCTGCCTGGACAGGACTCCAGTCCATTGCAGGGCAGACTCACATACTCACACCAGGGCTTGTTTTCCTAGAAGTCAATTAACACACCAGTGTGTTTTTGTACAGTGGGAACATGTGAAGAACATACAAATCCACGCAGAGAGCAGCCCATGTCCTGATTTTAACCCAGATCCCCTGCGCTGCTTGGCAACAATGCTGACCACTGCACCACCATGCCACCTACAGTAGATGGAGTGTTCATGGGTGTAAAAGCCTTTGTGTTCTTCAGATAAGCATAAAGTAGGATGTGGTCATTTGGGGGAAATGGTTCTATCATTTACATATTTCCAAAGACCCATCTGTGTGTAGTAATATTGAAAAGACATTGTCTAAAGCCACTGTTGGTTTTGGATATGGGAGATTCATTAAGGTGGCTCCACCCGAGCCAGAAATGCCGCATGCGCGACTCTCAGTCCTGGAGCACCCCAAATCCGTCTTCACTATCATCGTACTTTTCAAGGTACTGACAAAACGTTTTAACTAGCCAGCAAGCCAGATCACCATGTGCCTTACAGATGTTCAAGGTAATTCAGTTTCTTAAAGTTATGAGAGGGTTTTAGACAAATGTTTGTGCCAAAAAACATATACGCCTTAACTAATTTGCAGAGACACAAGAATGGAGTAAAGATGCTATTTGGAATCTAGTTTCTGTGCCGAAAAGTTTTTGGTGCTTATGCTTGCTTTTGACTCTTGAAATCGTAATTGCACTGGCTTTGAAATATTTTATATTTATATTTTATGTATTTTTAAACAGGAAATGGGGATTTTCAACACTTATTTAAAACAGCATACTTAAGTCATCTTAAACCGTGATGATAAAGTTTTAATAAAAGAATGCATGTTAAGAAAACTCTAAAACCAGGAAAATATTCAAGACATCCAGTAGAAGTTAAAACAGGCAATTCTGAAATATAAATTGCAAAAGAAGTTATGTAGATTTTCACTGTGTACAAGAACAATTTAAATTATTGAGATTAGTCATAAATTATGTATAATTTTTAATTATCTATAATTATATAAAATGTAAACCATGTTTGCATCTACATGTTTTGATTACCATTTTATCTGACAAAAAATACTGATCTGTCTCGGGACGTTTTGTTGTGATGTTGTTGATCCAGAAATACGTGACTATAATAGTAATGAGCCATTAATGAACAGAAATATTTCAGAAATAATGTAAATTATATTTACAAGTCTGTTTAAAAACTACAATATTAATCAGCACTAGATGACTGATCATCACTGTTCCTTATTTGATTAAAAATGTCAGTATATAAAGCTGCTCTTTTGTTTTTTCTCTTAAAAGAATTGTTAAAGTCTCAGCTTATTTTTCCACCATAGTATGTTTCATTCAGGAAAGAATTTGTTTTCTTAAGAGACCGTTAGCACATTGGGATGGGCTGTGCCTTTACAAATATACAGTATGTCACATTTTTATATGTTGCAAAATGTATATGGCAAGTACTGATAGTCATTAAAATGCACAAAAATGGGGTGTTTGACCTAATAGCATTTTAATACTTCTCAGTAGGTACTACAGTTTTGTTCTGATGAAGGTTTATGTACTCTTGCCTGTAACATTATTAAAATTTTTTGATGTAGTGCGTTCAGTGGACAGACCTCATGCCACATTTTTAAGCAGATTTTCTTAACAGTGGACAATATCTAAAAATATTCACAAGGAAATGTACATTAATATGATGTAATAAAACAACTTTTCTGCCTCAGTATTTCTCCAAGACTGGGGCAGTGTAGGTCCGTTGTTATACTGACGGCACTATATATATGGCGAGTTATACATTGGCAGAAAGGTTATTCAAAAAGATAGACTGGCATTACGTGTGATTATTAATGTATGAAAATATATCTGCTTAAATCCATTTCAGCGTACAACTTTTTTGCCGTGTCGTCTTTCCTCAGTCTTCGGTCTGTTTCTCCAGCCTAGTGATAACCACTAACACTGTTTAATTGATCCTAATGGATATTTTACCTCTTCAAAGTACTGATTAATGACAAAAAAACTGACTGAACTGGTTTTGTAACTGTATGTAAATTTATTTTTTAAGCTTAAAATTTTTAGTGCAAAATTATAGTAATCATAATGAGTAATGCATTGGCTAATTAAAGCTTTGTTAAGTGAAGATGGGGTATATATATTACTTTAGCTCTCTGCTCTATAGCTTCTGCACAGCCTACATTAAGCTAATAAGGGAAAATCACACATTTTCTTTATTCATCTGCCCTTTTTTATAATTGAGGCAAAGACTTCCGAAAAGTCTTAATACGCTGCCACTGTAAGAAAATCATGGTTTAATAGGTTTGTGCTCAGTGGGTGAATTGATTAAAAGTTGATGTCATTTTCAGTTATTAGTTTTATACAGTGCTCAGGAAGTTCGACATTTAATTAAAATGTCAAACAGGCATGTGAATTATCTGCTGTACTGTCTGTTGGTTTAGCCCTTGCTTCATGTAAAAGAAGTTATTTGTTTACTGTGGTAGTGGGTGGGGCCTGAGGGGTTCGTGAAGACAGTATCTCTTTTGTTTTTACAAATAGTATATTTTATTTGGGTTCTCTTACATAATGTCATTTTCTTTCACTTTTATGCTTTGTCTTTTCTCATAGAATCCTTTGCCATGTGTCAACAATCTGCATTATCTGATCTCGGATATCTTCAAATCTATTTCTGTCTTTGTTCATATTAAATTTCAGATCTCCTTCAACATTATGGTTCAATACTTATAATATTTATGATCTCACCGCTTGAGTAAATTTCATTCATTTTGTTCTTACTACTTGATTTTTAACATTTAAAAGGTGATGTTTTGCTTAATTTTGTTTTCTATAAATTTGATAATTTGAAAAAATATAGAAGATCTCCTTTTTAGTTCTTAAGAGTTTGCGTTTGCCTGTGGTTTCCTGGGTCCTTCATTACAATGGGTTAATTATTATATATCCTTGCCAACGATGGATTCTGAAATCCCCACTAGGTCTGACTTGATTAAAGGGAATTCAAGAGGTATCGGGGAAGAAAATATTACTGATACTGATCTTTAGGCTTATCGAGGCTGCCTGCCTTGGTTTGTTACAGTCCAACAGGGGGTGATATTAAGGAGGGTTACTTACTGAAAAGCACTGTGACAAGGGCGATGGGCATCACAAAGAGCCCCACCAGCAAGTCGGCCACTGCCAGAGACATCAGGAAGAAGTTGGTGGCATTCTGTAGCTTCCTCTCCAGAGAGACAGCCAGGATGACCAGGATGTTGCCCCCTATTGTGGGGATGATGAGCATGATGATGAGCAAAGAGGGCCAGCGCAACTGCAACTGCCTGGAGCCCTCTCCCATGTCAGGCAGAGAGCTGTTGGCTAGCCCTGAAGTGTTCAGTGCCAACAGGTAGGGACTCTGCACATGCGTGCCTTGTAGAGGAGCAATGCAGTCTTGGTCAGGCATGTCGATGTTCCGCGTGTGTTTCCTCGTCTTAGCTGGTGCGACAGTAACCTGGAGCTTGGCCAGCATGGTCACAGGGTCCCACGGGCAGATGGAGAGACAGGGTCGCTACAACTCCAGCAATAAGGAACCCATGATTTTTTATCATGTGACTATAGAATAGGGTGGTGATGTGGAAAACAGGTTGTTCTTCTGGTTATCGTGTTATTTTCTTAATCAGTAGCCCTCTTCTTCAACATGTAGCTCCATGGCGCTCAATAATAATCCTTCGCTGTACTGTACTTCCACAGGCAAGAGCTCTGAAACGTCTTCTCATTTAGACAGTGTTTAAAAATAAGGCACGGACAAGTTGTGTACTGCCTGTGACAAAATGATTAAATTCCTTTTATTCCAGGTGCCTTCATGTACAGTGCTGAACAGTATATGGAAGGTGTTTCTTGATCAGGCAGTTTTCCTAAATAGAAATGGACAGTATTAGTACATGGAGTAGCCACGTCAGCATTTCTTCACCGTATGTACTGAAGCTTGACAAAATCGTTCACTCTAGTTAGAGCTAAATATGTTAAATCCAAACAAAATATTCATGTAATTGTTAAAAATTGCTTGTGTGATATGAACCTGGGATACCTAATTTGAATTCAGTTTTCAAGTCCTTCAGTGTTATTTTTTTCTATCTGAACAATGTGTTCAAGCTAATTAGCACTTTAAAAAAAGCTGAGGTGGTGCTGGTAATAAATAATGAGCAGTACTGCAAAAAAAAACATTTTAGAACAGCTCAAGAACAAAATGCGCTGTGCGTTGTTTTCTTCACAATTCCACAATTTAATTCAGAACCATGGAACACAAAAAATGTGCTTAAAATGTGGTAGGTCATTTTTAGTAATATCTAACTTGAAAGCAAGGCATCCTTTTTTGTTCATTTAAATTAAACTTTTGGTTTTGGTCGTCCCATTAAATTATGTGTAATGTCGGAAGGCATTTTATTGCAGTCTTTACAGTCTTGTTTTCATTGGTGATTTATTCTTTTTAGATTAACATTATTAAAAAATATACATTTTATCTTAAACATTGTTTCAGAAAAAGAATCAGCCCATCTAACAGCATGGTTATTTAATTTTTTACCTTAATTTCTTTCCCTACTCACAGAATCCTTTGGCATTCTTTTAGACTTTCACCCCCCAGAGTAAACTACTATAATAGTTGATTTAATCAGAATACAATGTGTCAGAATACAATTTTTCAGTTATTTAATGTAAGTTTCAGTTATAACCTAATTGTTTTTTTAAGAACAGGTGTGCTGAAATATACAGTATGTACAGATTTACTTTTTAAGTGATTTTCCTTTTTTGTTTGATATCTGAAAACGAATGTTTTTTCCACCCAATCCAGAATTTATTGTAAGAAATATCTTACTCTGCAGGGTGAGAATGAATTTGGGCTCTTTAAGCCCTTGACCCATTAATATAATATAGTAATTTTCTCTTCACAGAAGTTAATCCTATGTGATTTACAGTCTAATATACCATTCCATCAACTTTATTGTGTGTATTTATAGTTGCCTGCTTTCTGCATGTAAAATTACTTGCCCTGATGGGGAAATAAGTAATGTCTTTAAGAGTGCTTGTGACCAAACCAGAAAATCTTGAGTCGAACATAATGTACTATATGTAGTTGCTGAGAATTTTTTTCTCTTACTGATTCACTTTCTTTGTTTCAAGAATATGCAATTTAAAGAATTATACTTTATCCCCTTTTTATTTTGGGGTGTTACTCAAAAGATTTTAGAAACACAAATCATTTCACTCTCCAGTTAATTACGTAATTGACTTCCATTGCATTTTCACCTGGCAATAGAGAGCAGTTTTGCAAGTGATTTGCAAAGCAAATTGATTTATTCAGAATAGAAACAGGGCTGTCTGTATTTTTGCAGTTGTTTTGAAGCTGTTTCTAAAAAAAATACAATGGTTCTCATTACACATAATTACTGCTTTATATAATCTACCTTTTTAACTGTAGAGGTTGGAATTCCTTTCTGGAAATGATGTAAGAATACAGCACAAATATTTTTTAAAACATCAAAGTTTAATAAATCAGTTGCATTATAATTTTTCATTGAGCAAAGGTATTTATTTGGTCAAAAAAATGTCCTTACCGTTACCATTATTGCTTCAGTACCTTTCATACATTCCTCATTGGTCAATGGCCATTCCTTAAAATTCATTAAGAGGTGCTGTACAGTAGAATCTGTTTTGACTTAATCACTCCAGAGTTTCCCTCGTCACTGCCTGGATTGCCTCTTTACCTCTGGCTTCCCTGTATCAGTCAAGACGGTAACTCCTTGTGTTTTTGAAATCCATGAAGCCATCAGCTTTTTTTAATGAAAAGAATCCAAGTTCTAAGAGCTTTTTTTCTTCACCTTTTTTTTTTTTTTTAAAAGCGGGGTCTCCTCTCTGTACATTCCATCCTTAAAGGGCTACTTTCGGTCCTTGCTTGCGTAAATGATCGTGGTCTGACTTTGCATCACCTATGGCGGGCTCAGGTTTAAAACTTGCGGCGGTCTGTCTGTGGTCCTTTCTCTCTCTCCCTCTTCATTCCCTCACTCGCCCTCTCTCTCTCTCTGTCTCCAGTTCACTCGCGCTTTCTCTTTGCCCTCCCTCTCGTTCTTTAGTTTGCCTGTGACTCAGGCTGCAAGAAAACAGATGAGTGTCTCTTAGCTGGATGCGTGCCAGCAGCTCTGGGAGGTAATTTCCTTCGGCGCAGCAGACCTGCTGTGTATACTTGTCACTCTCTGCTCCGTACGCTCTTGGGATAAGCAAGGGTGGAGGTGGTGGTCTGGGGAGGAAAGAGGGTTAAGGGGGGCAAGAGGGCACAGATTACCCCGGTAGTGACTGGCCACAACACAGCTTGTAAGATATCAATGGAAAGGTGAGAGTCCCTACATCCTGGTTATTGGATAATGTCATGAAGTGGAACAGTTTTTTTGTCCTGCTAGATATGTTTACAAGCTAATCCTTGCTCTCTTATTGTTTAAGTTTTTTTTTTTTTATCCAGTCTGAAGAGTTGTAGGTAACTTGGTTCGTGTTCGAGGGACCTGAGATAGTAAGTTTGACAGTAAGAGTCACGTGCTCTGTTTGACAATAGAGGATGTCTCTGAAACTGTCTCAATCCCACTTTGCTTATAAAATATCCCAATTTAGATTTTGACAAAGGTACAGACTCCTATTGAATTAGAAGATTCTTTAGATCTGGAGATTTTAAACTTTCATTTTGTCTCACTTTTTATTTTCTCTGATGTGAGTTAAATGCAAAGGAAAAATAATTTGAGATCTCAGTTTAAACTTTGATAATATATTGTAAGTGTATTACAAATGAGCAGTATTCATAGAAAAGGGTAGCATTAGGCAATGAGTAAAGATTGATGTAAAAAGGCCATTTGATACATTGGATTGGCTGGTGATTACAGAAGTTATTAAGTAATTCCTTGTTTTCTTAATGGATAGTGAACATTCAGGTGAATTACCTTGTCTGGAAAAAATGTTTTCATGTGCTTTCTATATCAAATAGCCAAGGGCAGTGTACTTGGTACATGAGCTCAGTTCCTTCATACTAAGTCATTTGTTTGTAATGCTTCCTTACAGTGCTGGGTGAACGAGTTCTGATACCTGGAAAGCTGATGGATCTAAATCTGACAAAATAATTTATAGTCAGACTCGCATACAACATTTATAAAGAAATTTTCAAATATATAATGTTAACATTTGAAGAATGTTTTTATGTCCGGTGCTTCTTTTCAATTCATTATTCTCTGTTATTCTTCATAGTTATTCTTTGTATAATAATGTATATATTTTTAATTCACATAGTTAAGAACTGCCCTTGCTATTATTTCTTTTAAAACAAGAACATTCCAAATCTAGTGGGCTGTGTTACAGTTTTTTTAGATGGTGGGTAGAAAACCCCTATACACAGAAACTGATCAAATCTGCCTAATTGGTAAAGTCAAAACCTTCACACAACAAAATTAAACATTAGGCTGTGTTGTGAAAATACTGTGAACTCAAAAATGGTAAAGTTCTTAATGCAGTAGACATTATCTAGTAGACAAATCCAGCGAAGTCTTTCTTTGGTTTCATCTCTTCATGTTTATCAGCATGTAACTTCTACTTATTTTGGTGGGTAATTGAAAATAGACACTAATGGCTAAAAGGCAGTTTCTAAATGTGTGTATGCTACATTAAAAGAGATTAATTGATGGTGAATTATCTAATGCTATTGATGTTCATCATTATTTTCATAATTACATAATATGCTTCAGTAACTTCTGTTTTTATGTATATAGTGTTTGACAGATTTGTTAGGAGATAGGTATGTCATTCACTTAGTTATGGTTCTGGAGATTGTTAGCCTTTTTATTGTTGTTGAAAGTTTTGTACAGAAAAGTAAACAAAAAAAATAACATAATGGAGAAATGATGAGATTATCCAGATACAGAATGGATTTGGCTTGGAGTTACACAGAAAAAAAAATGCAAGATGACTAATATTTAACTAACCTGCTGTTCTTGATGACTGTAATACATTTCTTTAAGGATAACTCAATGCCCGGGATTGCACAGATTACAAAGATTCCTAAGCATCTGACATCAAGGACATAAGATGAATATCACCATCTCCTGGGAGTCATCCAAATTATCCATTGTTAAACAGCTCTGTCCTGGTACTGTCTTCTGAAATTGTAAAGCCCTGCTTTGCGTTCCACTTATTAGTAACAGTATTACCGTGCTCTTAGTGTTTCTTAATGAATTTGTCTCTTATTTAGGAGCAGCAAAAGAAAAACAATTACTTCTCCCTATTTACATAGTGCTAATGGCGAGTTTACTTCTCTCTCCTCTTTAGATGTTATCAAAGTAAATGTTCTCTGTAAATATATTCTATGCTTTTAAACTCAGACATTATGAGTTATATTCTCTGCTTTTTTTCCTTTTCTCACTTATAACTACTTAAATATACCGTCTCTATCCAAAGACAACCAATGGTATCATATTTAAACATCATCCTTTATGTTCAAATGTAGAGTTCACACGACCTATTGATGCAACAGCAAATGGTTTTGTGGATAAGACATGTGAAATGTTTGTCTGCTGTATCGACTTTCATGTTTCACAGTTGTTTTCAAGTTATTCAGATTATCCTATAACCTGCCTGATAATTTGTTCTGTGAAGAAATGCAAGTAATAAGTAAAGATAAGTAGCTTGGTTTTATCTACACAGCAGGACTGTATTTTCTTTATATTTTCTTAAATATTAGTGTCTTAAATCCCCCCCCCTTCTCCACAGTTGGATTGAAAAGGTCAAGCATGCGGTTTAAGCCATTATTCTGGTTTGCAGCATCTCAGAAACACTTTCATTGACAATCATCTCCGTTTCCCTTTTTAATTTTTCCTGTCCAGAAAGAGAAGAGCTAGTGGCACTGTCAGACATCCGGTAGCAATACTTTTGTGTTCAGAGCAATTTTTAATTTCAGTTCTCATGCTTTTTTCCTTGGCTATTTAAATGTTGTGTTTACAACATGATAATTGTTAGTATATAGTAATTAGCTCTGTTTTTCTATGCTTTTACAACAGCTCGTTAATAACCCCAATCATTCTGTGGCCTCTGTTACTTTCTTGTTCAAAATGTATGTGCTGGAATAAAGGAACCAGACCACAGTGACCTGCATATTCCCTAAATCCTAACTTCCAAATCAGAGCTTACAAAGAAACCACATTAAATTCACTTTGAATTCAGATAATTCACTTGTGGGTTTTGCTCTAGACTGCGCCTCTCTTAAATTGCAAGTCATCATGAAGCAAACCCAGTGCCAGCTGTATTTCTCAATAACAAACCTGGCATAGCTGATTATCCGGCACGCATAGAAGATAAGTAAAATTCCCAAGAACTTATATATTCGTTTTTTTACCCCACTCCAGTATGCGTGTTTGAGCATGGAGCACATGGAGTATTAGCTAAATTCATTTTTGTTTTAAGTCCTCAAATGTTTTTTAATAAACGTTTCTATATAATATGCTAAACCAGCATAGGTTTATGCTTGGTTTATCTTATTTAAATCTCCGCTAGATTTGTGCACTAATGGCATTAGCCCTGCTACTTGGAAAGAGGTTACATGATAAATTCAGCACAGTACACCATAAATACACCATCTTGACAATTCTGCCTCGACCTGTGAAAATGTGGAAAATGTGTAAGCTTTCTGAACTGAGGCGAATAAATGAAGATGTGACTTTTTTTAAGTCTTGATTTAATTTAAACCGGGAAGATCTCGTATTGAAGGATTCCTGGCAGCTGGAAATGAATTCCAGATGCGTAGCGATATGGGGTAAGGGGAGTGGTGTTAGAGCCCTTAGAGGTCATGGTGGAATCGCTCTGCATGCAGTGCTGAAGGCCCATCCATGTGCTTCCGCTGTTCCACACCTTACCCAGCTGTCTGCTCACAGAGCTGCTTTGAGCAGATACTGTAACCTCCACTTTTCATATGGGGGTGAAGGTCTCCTTGTGTGTACAGGTGCCTTTTCTGTCCTTTTGATCTGGAGTGTGGTGTAGAATCCTTCAAAAGGCATGTGCTTATGTTGACTTTTGAGGTGCTAAATGAGTACAGAACAGGGGTGTATGGCATCTCATATCCTGGACAGCTTTACTTTTAAGTGCACCTAATATGCCCTTTTCCTATATACAGGATATCAGATTTAGAGGGATTTTAAAGAAGATACATGGAGATTGCTATGCTATTCTCTTTCAACATAGGAAATTGCTGTTTCCATTCATGTGGAAGTTTAGGTTTGGGGTTTTGTGCAATTAAACTTTGTAATTCAAAACCATTATTAAAGTCCCTAAGAAGGTACCCTTGGCTAACTGCATTTAAAGCAAGTTTTTTGTATATATATTAGCATATGGAAAAGAGGGAGGGATCCCACTGGAGTTTCTATCTGTCAGAAATGTGTTGGTGCATTTCAGCTGCGCAGAGGTGTAAGTGGACTTGCTTGTGAATGCTTGTGGTGTGTTTTGTTTCTTCTTGCAGGACTCCAGAGCAGTGCCCCAGCGTGGTCTCCCTGCTGTCAGAGAGCTATAACCCCCATGTGCGCTGTGGAGCAGCTATGGCCCTGGGCATCTGCTGTGCTGGGACAGGAAACAAGGTGAGCCCTTTCTCTTTCTCTTTATTGCCACAGTCTTGGTGGAGCAGTAAGTGGTGCTCTTCCCCCCGGATCAGAATTTCAAAAACAAGTGCCCCATTAAAAAGGAGTTAAACCGAGGTCCAGTTTATTGAGGATCACTTTAATACTTTTGGAAAGAGCAGGGGGAGCATTATCCCAGTATCTTTGCTGAATTCTGTTTTGATGCATTCTGGCCTTTAAGTTTATCTTCAATTCAATTGAAGCAACGTCTCACTTCTCTACCTGATCTGCTATGTGACGGAGTTGCTCGTATCTAATGGCTTCTGTGTAAATCCCAGGAGGGGGCTTTACCTCATTGGCGTTTAAAGTGGGTCACCTCCTACATGTCAAGGGCTCTGATCCTTGGAGAGGGAAAGTGCTACAGAAATGCAAGGAATTATTATTCTAATCATTATCTAAACAATGTGAAGATTCTGATTCTTTCATTTTCTCCTGCACAGTTGTGGCAAAGTCTTTTACCGCTGCAGCCACCATCCATATAACTTCTCATTGAAATAAGCAGAGTTTATTTTCGCAATCGGCAGAAAATTATTCTGAATTACAATCAGTTCTTAGAAGCAAGTGAGACAAAAAACTGCAATTCTTTCCACACCTCTACTTTTTGGTGTGAAAAAAATCTTTAGATGCTTGAACTCACTTGCTATATGTAGACCAGGGAGCTCAGGGGAGGAGATTTATTATATTTTGCAAACTTCCAGTCCACTTACCTGGATCCGTGCCACTGGGTCTCAGACCTCCACCACTTTCCCAGCCCCTAAGGAAAGAAACAATTGCCCTTCCAAGAAGCACCAGACATCTGGGTCTGGCACAGGCGTTTTTCCACACCAGCTGCTCTCATAGGTTTGAATGAGAATTTGCCAGCTGTGTCTTGCTAACTGCCAGGATGAAACTGATGATGAAGCCTGACCCTTCTCATCTCAGCCATAAAGAAGTCACAGAGTAAGAGTAATCTTATTATTGAGGACATGACAAGTCAATCTTCTCATTTTGGACATGACAGGCTGGATCATGGCCATACGCCATGGGTGCACTTGAGCCAAATCTTTCATGTCGCTCCTACTCTTCAGCCCTCTTCCTCTTCCTCTTCTTGCAGAGAACTCATTTGACATGTGCTGGCATTTTTGTCCAATTCTGCAGTCTGTTAATGAGAGGTGGGACTGTGTATGTAGTAATTTAGCAGCATCATAAGCAGTATTTGGGGATGTAAAATTGGAGATGAGAACACTCAGGGAGCCAGCATCACTAATTAATAAATGCCATGTCCGCGATTTCTATGAGATGCTATGTTATAAGACGCCTGCCTAGTTCAATCATATCTTATTATTGGTAGTACTGACCTTGATATAGACCATTCTTATTTATATTTGGGTGTTTTAAATGGCCATTAAATCCATTTACCATAAATCCCTGAGACACAAGGAAGACGACCCAGACGTTCTTAAAAAAATGGGAAATCCTTGGAAGACTCTTTATTTTATTGCTGCAGTCTCTTTCCTTGTGGCAAACCTTTGTGATGTTTGGAGAAGCTGATGGTTTAGGGATTAACCGTGTGTACATGGAACGGTTACCTTCTAAGAGAGCCTCAATCATAGTTTGTTTGATTTTGTTAAACCCGGCACTCCATCAGAATCTCATTGTAGTAGTTAAGAGCTGCTTGAGAGAGTTTAGTCCTGTAGCATGAAGACATCACAGAGTGAATGAAAAAAACACTCACCAACACTGAGAGGAAGTGTATTCTGCCAAGTCTGATCACAGGCGTGATCATTTTAAGATATCGGAGCCAAAGCAAGTATATGGATCACTTCACTTTGGATTGAAAAATATAGACACGGTTTTAGAACTAATCTGGTATTTTTTAATTTAAAATAGATTTATATAAAAGGAATGATGAGATGATTTTTTAAAAATTAAACCCAATATATGTCCTAAATAATGACAAATTGTGTTTTTAAGTTAATATTATTTAGACATCCACAATTTTCACATAAATGAAAATAATGAAAAACAGGCAGAAATCAGACTGAATGTCAATATTATTTTCTGCTAGAGATATAGCCCAATCTTATCACTTTTTTCCCCTGGTTGCCTTCCAATGTAATTTACAGAGGCTAAAACACTGTTTTTGGATACTATTATGTTCAAATGGGGGAAAGATGAATGTTGGAATGTGGAATCAAAATGTTTTTCATCGTCTTAAAGGCTATTGTATAAATGAATATTTAACAGCATTTTTTCTGTAATGGTTGGGAGTCCTGTGTTTTAAATTGCTCTGTAAGGTTCTATTCTTCCTGACCATGGGGTGTATGTGTGAGGCAGGCATATTCTCACCATGTTTAGGAATTTCCTCTCGATGCTCAGGTTCTCCCAAAAAGGCTGGAGAGCAGTCATGTTCCCTGCAGAGGGATGGATTTTTCTAGCCTCTCTCTTTTCTTTTCAGATATTCCATCCCTTATCCCCAAACCACATACCTATGACCCAAACCATCTAACTGTACGATACACAGTATTAAGTTTCTTTTATTCTCATGGATGGTTTTTAACTTGATCAACTTAAGCTCCCTTTTCATGTGTTCCTTATTTGTTACATTTTCCTTGCTGTGGTTTGATTAAAAATGTTCCTGCTATATCCTGTTGGCTTTCGAAACTGTTGCCTCGAATCAAAAGGACAGTAATCACCTGGGAAAAAATTGCTTCTGGACCCCTAGAGGCAACCAGAAATTTCTAAGAGCAAATCTGATTTATATTGCCCAGTACGGGGGCATTGCTTCTTAAAGAAGTTTGCAGTTCCAAATTTGGTAGACATTATAAAGATTAATTGGCAATTCAAAATTAAAAATAATATGAGGTTGTATCATGGTATTTTCTTAAATGATAAACCCTACTGGATTGATATATTGTAGAACAGCACACATGGGATTTTACAGCATTACTGTGAAACTGACACCTTTTATATATTTGTGGATGCCTTGTATTTTTTTTTACCTTTTTGAAACCTTTATTTTAATTCCTTTAACATAAGCAAAAGACTGCTTAGCAGTAACAGTTAACCAAAATAGATATAATGTTTCACATGAAAATGAATATGGGGTTAATAAGGCGCTACAAAAGTGCTGTATTCTTTTGCAAGGTGTGGGTCATACCACATAGCAAGGTGAGAAGTAGCTTTAGTGAGGCGAATCATTTAAAAGTGGAAATGTCTTTGTGGCATTTACTTGATCCAGAACGTGATGCAGCCTTTCAAAATTAAAACATGCATCTTTATATGTACTTCGGCATGTTGGGAATGTGTACTCTGGTTTTTAATACAAAGCACAGCTGAAACAGAAGTGATGTTTAGTAATCTTATTTTGTCTCAATTTTTCTTTTTAGGAAGCGATTAACCTCCTGGAGCCCATGACCAATGACCCAGTCAACTACGTCAGGCAGGGAGCTCTCATTGCTTCTGCTTTGATCATGATCCAGCAGACAGAAATCACATGTCCCAAGGTAAGTGACTGCCACTCACAGAAGAGAAGAGATGGGTCGATCTTTTCTATGAACAGTCTGCATACCAAGGAGATGCCAAGAAAAAAAAACAGGGTAAAGAAAATAGTGTAGCATTTTGGGAGGTAGTGAGAGGTGACTTTGTTTAAAAGAGATCTATTAAGACAACAGGCCTCTAAAATGCAAAACATGAATGTGATGTGCTGACTGGGACTGCAATTTTCATGGATCCTAGGATGGCGTTGTCACATGGTTGCCCTTTAGCCACCTCTCACTTGTTTTGGGGTGCTGTGTTTTCCAGTTGTGCAGTTCAACAACCCATAATGTGAATGACCATGAAAAATATGGGTGCTTAGTGGACCTGCATTGAAATGTAGCAGGGACCTGGGCTATGTGTTTATGAAACTGCTTTTAGAAGCTTTTCTAAAGCTGTTTTTTTTTTCATTCTTCTGCTTTTTGTTTGGACTTTTCTTGTATAAATCTAGATTCCATTTTAAATAAGAACTTGTGTCTTTTTGAAGTCTCATTCCTTAAAATACTTCAATTTCATACTTAAATGCTTTTAATCTTCTTGAGTAAATATTTTCATATTATCATGGTTTATTTATATGAAAATTCAATATTGTTATTAAAGACATTGATCTGCTATTGTTTTGCAGTGCAAAGGTACTCATAAGGCCTTTCTTTAAAAGTATTATATTTATGCGTGCCGGATGTTAGTGACAGCCTGATGGGTTTTGTTTCTTACTGTGGCACAAATATTTGGCATTAGGAGCAGGATTGCTTACACCCAATGCATGGAATGTGAAGCCGCCCGCTGTCTCTTGTCTGCAAGCTGTTTACATGATGGTCCAGTTGTAGTCCTTGAAGTGGGATTCTTGTCACCACACAATAAAACACGTCCAAGACACTACAGTAGACGTAGACAGACATCAGGCATTTGATGATAGTAACATCAAAGATAAATTATGAAACAGTTTGCTGCTGTTTGCGTACTACTAGAGATTTATGCAGTTAAGCACTTACGGCCCTAAATGTTTCATCACAATGTTGACAGTGCACTCCTCGAAGTCAGTGTCAGGAAACATGAGTGTTAGACAACCCATTCTTGCTGTGCTCCAAGCAGTTGATGCTTCGGTTCTGTGGCGCCTTTCAAAAAAAGAACACACTGATTGGCCTTAAAATGGTAGGTAACTCTATCAGCAGTTCTCACCATGAAGGAAAAGTCTGAAATAACTAAAAGCTGGGATAGCCACCAGCATGAGTGGTTTTGCTGGAATCCTTCCAAGTTTCAAGCTTTTCCTAAGATGGCTTTAAATAAGAATACAATGAATGTGAGTTAAATTACCGAATGGCAGCTCAGCCTTGTCCAACACATTGAAGCTAACCAGATTCACTTAATGGACATGACAGCAACTATCACTGTAAAACTATTTGCTGACAGAATGGATTCAAGAAGACTGACGAATAATAGCTAAAGAACCTGTAACAGAGGAATGTAGCCGAGTCGTTAAAGTGCACTTCAAAGGGATGTTTAGAAATAATTATTTGAAGAAATGTTTAAAGATTTGTTGTATGAAGCAATGCTATACATACAGAGTTCAAATTGTTAAAAATGGAGTGCCAAAGATATCTAGGTTTGATGGTATGGAAAAGGGAATGTTTTGGTCTGCATGCCTGTTAATGCTTTCTGTGTATGTCTGGATATTTTATAACCTGTAGACCAAAGAGAAAAAACATTGAAGGTTTTCCCTATTCTTTGCAAAACTATTGGCCTGAATTGTTCTAAGCCAAATTAAGGAAAATAAATGCTCTTTTAGCCATAGCTTGTTTTAATTTGCCAGAGTAGTTTGTTTTTTTAATAAAATGCATTGCAATTTTAACCCCAGACTTATGCCTGTCCTCTGTTCAGTTATGGTCCTACTGTGCTTTACCGGTCTCTCACTTAAGATCCTGTTATCTCCTCATAGGTCAACCAGTTCAGACAACTCTACGCAAAGGTCATCAACGACAAACACGACGATGTCATGGCCAAGTTTGGGGCAATCCTGGCACAGGGTATTCTGGATGCTGGTAAGTGTTTTTCCAGAGATTTTCGATGGGGAAAATAAAATCTATTTAATCCTTTTAATTTATTTAATTGTATTAATACAAATCCATAGTATTTTGTATATCCTGTATTACTTTGTAAATGTACCCCGGAAATTAAGAGGAGGTGTATTTAGGGCTGAGAATACAAAGCACTTCCTTGGAAGCATGGGGAATGATGTGCCCTGTCATATTGTTAAAGTTTATTTATTTGCCATTTGCCAAGAAACAAGCAGATGGGATAACAGGGTCAATTAAGCTTTTTAGTAACCAAATGAGAAACATTGGTGAAGTGGCATTTGTTTTTCTTAAAACTGCTTTGCCATTACTTGTGAATATCTCCTTAGTGATGTGTAACATACAGAAAGTGTTATTTCTCTGTGAACCTTCCTGGCTCAAGAAATCTATACTGTCATATCAGCAGTCATTCACACCACAAGGCTGGCCCCAGCACAGATGTGCACACACATATTCCAGACACTCTTCCATATTAATATGCATGTGACACCCAGCACGATAAGGTTAGGACATACACCTGTATGAAATCCTGAGAAAACCCAGGGGTATTGCAGTCCTTCATCACTCTTTCCATCAGTGACTTTCTGAATTTTGAGAAAAAAGCACATTTAAACAGTCATATGTGTATATATATATGTCCGGAAGCTTTTTTCTTCTCAGAGGCATTGAGCTAAAACTCTGTATTGCTGTGGATATCAAAGGATTAAAAAGATACATCTAAAAATAAAGCACATATCTTTGGTAATCAGTATCTCTATGATCTTAAGACTTGGTCATTGGAAAATTCAATCCTAAAACATAATCCACATTAATACTATGTATTTTGTAAATTTCTGCTCTTTTCTGATTAAAGTAATGATAAGTGGCAATATAGAACTACACATACCACTGTGCTATTTGAGAAGTAAGGCAAGATCTTAAAATAAGATTGCCTTTTGCTCTTTTCTTAGCTAAACAAGTGTTTTGGCTTGAGCACATAAATACACATTTGTGTCTGCAGAAGCCAGTAGCGGAGGGATGAGTGTGCCAACAGTCTCTGTTTGATCGAACGCTGCTTTTAGTTTGTCTTTTTGAGTTAGAACATGTTGCGTGGAACATGGAACAAGACCTTAAACAGTCAATGAACAGGTGTGACAAAAATCCAGCTGTGTATATCACTTAATATATTACATCTTAAAGCCCCATAGTATGGCACATACATGACATGGCGAACAGGATGAAACCATAAAAAAGACCCTTTTAAAAGAGAACTGGTATATCGCATTGGGCCCAGATTAAATGAAAACTTTGACAGCTAATTCCATGCTCTTTGCATAATGGCAGCTTTCAATTGGGTAGACATAACAAGCCTGCTAAATGGAAAGCAACCATCCATGAAAAAATGGAAAGCAACCAGTAATGTATTCAGAATTTGCAACTAGCAGGTAGATCATATTTTTGATTCATTTTGAGCCTTGGGTAGATATTGCTTTTGGGAAAGGCAGGTACAATCCTGTAGGCCTGTTAAATGGTTTACACCTTGTTTGAGTCGCACAATATTTTAAATTATTTGTTCTTTTCAATCTCAGAATCAATCACAATGAACATAATACTTTGTGCTGTATTTGCTGTTTCTTCAGCCAATTACATGACAGAACCATACATGAGAGACAATACGGTGCAGTGTATTTATCTGTGCCTCAGTAATCTGCAGGTTAGGCATTTCAGAAGCTTTAATTTACTGAAGCATAAGATATTCTGTAAAATTATGCGAATAGACTTACTATCAACATGCCAGAATGGCAAGACTTTGCTGTCTGTCAGTGTAGAAATAGAAATATCTGGCACCACAAAATGTAATTTTATATGAAAGAAATTCTATCACTTATGCTTTTAGTTAAGTAATGCATTTAAGTGGTTTGCTTCATTTTTGTTTTGTTTTTGCTAAAGTCTGCTGACTTTGTTGCATTCAGAAAGCCAGTGGGCTGGCTGTCTAGGGTGTGCTTTCAATTGGCTTATTTATTTTGCAGAGACAGCCATTTTGTATGGCTTGCAAGTTCTTAGTAGAGTACAGCAAGCATTTCACGGACACATTAGAAACTTTATTCTCATTAAGAAAAATAAGGTAAATTCCAGTTTAAAAGTATCTATAGTTCATGGTTTACACCAGGTGTTTCATGTTTTTTTTCTTGTGTCCTGTCTTTTGGTGCTCTGAAAAGTATGTGCCTCTTAGCCATTGGTGCCACAGAAAGTGAGACCTGATCAAAGTAGCACTGTGCAGTCAGGTTGCCAGCAGTCACTACAGGTTAAGTTCTCTAGTGACTAGAACTTACACTGCCACATTGATCTTGGCAAATGAGTCGTGATCTCCCAGATCGTTATCATTAACAGACTGTTGGGCTCTTATGTTTTGCCAGGTTAGAATTACTGGCTCTGATGCTGAGCAAAAGTGTACTGCATCAGTCTAGCCATCAATATACCAATAGCACAGAGGCATTTTTGTATTCATAATTGGAGCATATTGGCTCCTCATTGTTTTTATTTCTTGATTTTCTCCAGGCTTAATATTCAAAGTGTTAAATCACCTGTTTAACCCAATTGCCCAATTAACAACTCACTAATGAGGTGGTTTAGGGTTTGTGTCTTATGTATGCATCAAGGACAGTCATATATGATATGACTGTTAAATGCCAAACATTTAATCATGTTCCAAAATCTGTATTTCTATTTTTCATTAAATATGCATGCAAAGACTGTTATGTTTTTATGCTTTTTCTTTTTAGTTAATTATTATAGAAGTATACTGACAAGGAAATCGTTTTTCCTTTTCTTCCTGGACTAGTGCAATCTGTTTTTCTCAGTATTGAAAAAACTTTAATTATAATTTTATCTGTGTTTTTTATGGATAAAAAAGTCTCAAGCATACCAGTGGAAAGCATTGTAAGGGATGTATTAGTGTGTCTGATTTTACAGCAGCAGTAGGTTGACTGTAGAGAACTTAATATTGTCTAAATTTAAAAATGTAACAGATTCAAATGGTATGATTCAGAACAAAAATAAACAAAAAAAATGCACTTGCATATTAAGCATACCATTAATTAGGATAATAAACACTGTACATCTGGTATTTTTGTTTTTAAATAGTTTGAATCTGAAAGTATTTGTGACTATGAAACCAAGTGTAAACATCAAAACATATTTGCATCGACATTTCCTTCTCACACATATATTGAAGAAAACCACATTTGACTGCTAGTTTAGCTGTTGAGAACGTTGGATATTTATGCTGCATAAAACAAAGAATCGGTTGTCTGCTCACAAGCTGAAGAATATGGATTACAGGCTGGGAAATGATATGAAGTAATTTAAGTAGGGTCACAAATTAACATTGCCTATGACAGATTTGAATTATTTCCATTCATCTTCAGACAAGTAACTTTTAACAAAATATGCGACAGAAAAGATAAGCCCTGTTGTATTATCAGCTTCCTTGTTTTCTGGTGCTTAGTGACTTATTCACAATTAAAGGTATTCAAAAATAATAGAAATTGTCAGCCTGACAACTGGTAAATTAATGTTTTGGCTTCTGATCCATCTCATTCCTTGTTTTATATTCCTGGCTCCTGTCTCTCTTCTTTATGTTCACCCTGCACACCCCTTCCCTCCCTGAGTTGAGCCCATTTTCCCTTTTCCTCCCTTTTCCTAACGGAAGAGCTGCTATTATTTTTTTATCTCCCCCTTTTAACCTTCACTCTTGACGCATCCATGCATCCTTAAATGAAAAATTATCTTTGCTGTCTCAGAAATGAACAGGATAAGTAAAAGGGCTAAAATGAATTTGCAAAATGTCTTTGTTTTGTTTAACTAGAAACGGATAAATAATGGCTGGATAAGAGCTTTTTGATGGTTTGTGGCCGCCGCTGGGTAATCTGGTGAAACAAGGCCATTTCCAGGATTACCATAAAGTGAGGCGGCTTGGCCCTTTGCTCTCTTTACCATCCGTGAGGCCTAAGGTCTGCTGTCTGTTCCCCTGCAGGCGGGCGCAACGTGACCATCTCTCTGCAGTCTCGCACGGGGCACACTCACATGCCCTCTGTGGTGGGCATCCTGGTCTTCACCCAGTTCTGGTTCTGGTTCCCCCTCTCTCACTTCCTGTCCCTGGCCTTCACTCCGACTGCCATCATCGGCCTCAACAAAGACCTGAAGGTAGGGCCGAGGTTGCACTGACAGCCTGGATCTGTGAAGAAACATCCACCTTTTTTCCAGTTTGTTGAATAAGAAACAAATGGGGAATTCTCACCATGAAAGACTTCCATTAAAAAATCTAAAGTCTAATCACAGAGTGCTATACCGGTACAAATGAAGGCTTTGAAAACATTTTCAGATTGTCTGTATTGGCAGTAACTGATGGCAGCTCATCCTTTGAAATGTTTTTTTAGCTTTTTTCCCCTGCTGTGTCCAATTTGATACAATTTGTCCAATTTGATATTTGAAGCAACAGCGCCACATTTCCTCCTGTTGAAAGGTCACGTTGCGAGGCAATTGCTTTTTTCAGTAATACCTGTCTGGTGCCTTCTAAACTTTTTCAGGGTTATTTTGCTAGTTATTACCATCCTGTGTTAGGGGAAGGTCAATGTGGACATAAAAAATGACAATTTCAGCTGGCATTACAAGAAACCCATTTGCCCTAAAAATGGGACAACAAATGCAGTGAATATTTAAATGAAAGTTGTCGAGCAACTGCTGAAATGCTACTGGACTTTGTCACCCAGTCTATGAATATTTCCTAGTTCTATTGCAAATGTCTTCATATTCCTGTGATTATAGTAAAAGTAAAGCTGCAGCTGATTTATTGGAAGTAGTATGGTCTGGCCTGTTGAGGCAAGATATTGCTTTCTAACAATAAGCCCATTTTGTGTGCCGGTCTGTTTTATTGTTGTTGACGTCACTCTGGTGGCGTAGACTGAAACCATTTACAATCCTCTTTCTTTCGGCTGCAGAGACCACTTACAGGGCATTGAAAGGAAGGAAACGATTCTATCGTTTTGTACTGCAAACGGCGAAGAGTAATCAGGGCTAATAAAACTCTGCTGTCACTTCTAATAAAAAAGTTTGTGGTTTAACAATTTAATTCTGCATTTATTCTGTTGTACGCATCATCCGGTGTTTTGTTGTGCGGTGTTCTGCAGTGTAAATAAGAACACATATTTTGCAATTTAAAATAAAATACTTACAGATCTGAACATATTGACAGTTGAACTCTTTGATTACTTTTGGTGTATGTGAGTAATGAGTTATATTGCTGGATATGATAAAGATTCACATAAGTTGTCTCAATCTTACAGATGCCCAAAGTACAGTACAGATCCAACTGTAAACCATCTACGTTCGCATATCCTCCTGCTCTGGAAGTGCCCAAAGAGAAGGAAAAGGAGAAGGTGAGAGTATGACCGTCCTTCCTAGGGTTGTTGGACCATTTTCATATGCACACGTTGTAGCATTGCACAGAAGCAGAATTAGATCGATTTTATGCATTATATATTCCGGTATACTGTAAAAAGTTCTTTCTGTTAGCTGACGTTGACATTGTTTCCTTGCTGCATGGAACTCCAAAATATTTGTGAAAAGTTTTAAGAAAATCAAGCCAGTTTCACAATCGTGCCTGTTTGTACCTGAGTGTTTAAATGTGCTGCATTGGCCAGTTTCTCGTCTTTGACCCCTCGAGGACAGGGCCCGGGTGTGGTCCACCCTCCGCTGGCTGTTTGACTCTGTCGATCTCTCTCAGGTTTCCACTGCCGTGCTCTCCATCACAGCCAAAGCCAAGAAGAAGGAAAAGGAGAAGGAGAAGAAAGAGAAAGAGGAGGAGAAGATGGAAGTGGTACGTAATGGGTGTAGTTGGCCTCCCTTTAATAATATAGTCTGGTTTTCAGCATGAGTTATATCAAACAGACAACATATTCTTCACATAAACACACCTTCATGGCATTTTTTAATTTGTTCGAGGAGCTGAGATTAAAAGGCTCATAAACTTTACAAGCTTATGATAAAATTGTCTGTTTATAAGGATACCTGCTTGTTTTAATTGCCCCATTTTTTAATTACCAGATTGCATTCTGAAGTTCATTGGACAGTTGATATATAATTCTGAAGAGCTTGCCATGTAAAATGTCCTCTGGCACGTTTCCAGCACTCTAATGTGCGATGTGGCCAAGACATTCAAGAAATGCCAACGTAATTTGTTCTTCCCGTGACAAACAAAACCCATTTAAAATGTTATGCATCGGACTTGTTTTTCCTGGGGAACATGTTTTGTTTTCGTTTTGTAAAAAAAATAATTATAATGATGACATTTATTAAGTGTAACGTGATATAACCACGTTTCTTTGATGCAGTTCAGCAGGTTTATTAGAGAAATCGCATACCAGGCAGAAGATGCATAATGTTAAGGAACAGTTGGTGCACACTGCCCCTGATATTCACCCAGACTCAGTGAAAGTGGGAAGAATGCCTTCTAGGGGCTGTTACACTGGGAAAAGACCCCACTTGTCCCAGCTGAATCCCCTCATGAGGGGCTCTTCCCCCAGATGTCCCTCATGGAAGCTGCTTACTGTTGCGTGCCTCACCCAAGGCCCTGAGAAGGCCCATGCACTGTCTGCACCCTGCTGCAGCCCTGCCCCCCTGCACCCACAAAGTCTCTGGTCTTCTGGCTTTGTGGTCATTACAGTAAAATTGACTAAGATCAGATCTGTCACAAAATGACAGATCGATAAGAAGTATCATTTATTATTATTAAGCGGCTTTATTTTTCCTGGTGAGCATTTTAAATGTGGTATGTGCTTCCATGGAAGTGATGTGTTCTAATCACGTGGAGCATTTCAGAGTTAGCAGGCTGCTAGTGAACATTTTTACTCAGAGAGTTTTTTGAAAAGTCGAGCATTTAAATGGAACTGCAAAATCTATTTTCTAATTAAAAGTCATATATTATTAGGCATCTTGATCAGCAGAAGTGTTTTATATAAGCTATAAAGCAGTGTATAGGAGACCTTTACGTTTGTTGTGCATGTGCAAAATGTACTATTGAGGTGTCCAGCAGTCTGTACTGGAGTAATGCTTCAATTTGAAGCTTAAAAGATGTATTGCAATTAAATCTTCATTTCACATGTTTTAATGGAAGCTTTCCCTTTTCTTGATAAAATCTGTGAATGACACATTTAACAAACTGTAGGTCTTTTTATTGAAGTTGTTATATATAAACATTGCTTGCATGCGTTTTTATGTGAATATTTGCATGTTTTCTGTGTATATCCATCTTTCATCAGTTCAAGTCTGTACAGGTTGAGATTGGCATCTGGACATTACTTGTTGGTTCTGTTTTCTGGTAGGGAATTTGAAGTCCTCCTCCGATATGAACATTCCAACCATGACTTCAGAAAATGAACCCTTGAACTGAAAAACACATCAGGTTACAGCGAGCAGTTGTCAACTGCATTCAGCCATTCAGTCCTACTTAAATGCTTTTGAGATATAAAAATCAGATTAATACACACTTTAATTACTTGCATAAGCTCTGGTAAATGAGGGGCCAGTGACATTTTATATTTATTATACTGTTTAAATAAGTTATTCTTACACCTGTTACAAACATTAAATTCAGTATACTGCATAATGTCATGTCTGCATTTTAAATGAAGTAGTCAGATAGCTTTCATATTAAATATGACCTTTTCCATGCCTGGAGAGTTCGCTCTTTTCAGGAAGGCTGGTGTTGTATTTCAGTTACACGTAAGTTAAGAAACAAGCACCATGCCTTCTATCTCACAACAGCAATGTAAGAGTGCTGTGTGGTTGATATGGCACAATGATAATGCTGACCCGCTGTTTAATACATCTCATTAAAACTCCAAGCTTCTCCACACCACAGTCCTGCAGCCCAGTGAATGACATCACTGTCTCCACACCAGTGTGATCTGGCTGTTTCTTGTGGAAGATCAAGGGAAAAAATGAACACCTAGGCTTGTTCTCAGTGCAGTGCTATAGATACTCACAATCCACTGAAGCTGCACTAGTCTAGCATCCTTTACAGCAGCCTGCAGACTTGAGATCTCTGGGGTTGTATAACACAAGGTACTAGGAGACAATCTCTACCGCATTTTACTTTGATCTTGCATGGTTGTGATTCCTTCTATGGTGAGCTAAATTTTATCCATGCAAAAAAACGTGTTAAGCATTGTGCAGTTAAACCTGCCCTGCCTACATCTGTACATCCGCACAAATGCTAGAAACCCTTTCTGTGATTCGTATGCTTGTGAGCTTATTAAAGCAATTACACTGCTTCTCTTCAGACTTAATGCAGAGTGTAAGATTTTCTGTGTAGTTGGTACATTCTTGCATAATAGCCCAAAACTTAGTTCTCAATCCTGTGGCTCAGCCTGAAACTGAGGCTCTGCTTCAGTCTTGTTCTATGAAGCTTATTTTTTTTACTTCTGGCTTCACATTTTTGACATCTCTGACATGAAAAGAGTATTTTTGCCATATTTTCCTGATCTACGTAAATGCCAGGTTAAATGTTGACAGTTGTTTTGACCTCTGACACTAAGCCATCTGACATTGACATTATAATTGTATTATATTCCCCCCTCCAATTAGCTAAGAACATTGAAAGGCAGAACTGCGTTCCTGCTGGTCTTGTGGAATAACGTGGTGTAATTTGGGTGTCGGTATTACTGATGGACGTTTGCATAGAATGTAGGTATATAAATAACCTTCAAATTGCAGCTTTCGTGTTTCAAATTTGAAACAGATTTAAAAAAATATATATTATTTCAGAGATGTGAGCCAGACATGAAAAAGAAAATAGGGCCCCTCATTATTTCCATCTCTTATTTCCCTGACTGCTTTATTAGATTCCAGTTTGTGTCAGAGTCTTACTGTGCCGAATTGTAAAATACGTTTTAAATGGTAAGAAGTGCCGATGCTTCCTGATGAGCCCTGGTTCTCTGGAATTGCAGGAGACGGAAGCTGACAAGGAGAAGGAGAAGAAAGACGAGGAGAAAGAGAAGGAAAAGAAGAAAGAACCAGAGCCCAGTTTCCAGCTACTGGAGAACCCTGCCCGGGTCATGCCTGCTCAGCTTAAAGTGCTCACCATGCCTGAGACCTGCCGCTACCAGCCCTTCAAGCCTGTAGGTTTTTCCCAACACACGTTGTTAGTGCAGACAGGCACTAGGTCACGTAGGCACAGTAGGAACAACTTAATATATTTAGATATTGTATGCTTCTCAAGATTGGTCTGCCAGCAATCTATGTGCAGAAAAGTTTTATGCAGTGACGACTGGGGTCAGATAGAAGACATACTGTAGCATGAAAGTGGTCCACAAAGTTGTGTGCCTGTTATACAAGGCCGAGAATGGAGCAGCGGTGAAGCAGCCGTTATCACTGTGTATACCCAGAAGTAGTCATCTGCTTAGTGGTAAACGCCAAGTGCTGTAGCTGGTTCTGTATATAAACTTGGGTGTAACGGGGATGTGAAGTGATAACCTAAATAATTGCTGCAAGGGATGGGGAGGAAAGCATCTTGCAATGCTAATTACAATCATGAGATCTAAACTCTTTATTCTTGGCAGGGAAATGGGGGTCAGGACCCCTCAGCTAATGTTTCTTTTATGCATAAATTGGTGCTGTGTGAATGCCCAAATTTAGAACCTAATGTCAAAGAGGATTTTTTTTAATAGAGAATAGGGTTCATGGTTTCTGTTCCAGGGTATTAGCCTTTTAAAAGTGATTTGCATCTAAAGAGCCCCTTAAAAATGGTTTTGATTTAAATTTTAGCAAGTGACATAAAGAAACTAATTAGCTGAATAAAAATAATCTATTTCTGCTGTCTTTTAAGAATGCCTTTTAATGTGTAAAAAGTTAGACAGTTTAATTATGTTAAACTGGCAAGTGTTTTTGTAGGCTTAATAACCATACAAGAACTAAAATAGCTTTCTGAAATGGGAACAAAGCAGTTCCTTGAGAGACTCAGAAATTATAGACATTTCAAGTGTATGTTCATTGAATTAATTATTGAATCAAATTCTATATTGTAACGATGAAAGCAGAAGAAGTTTCATTTTCCTGCAGAACCTGGAGAGATTATTCCTGTTCTTTTTTTAATTTTGTGTATTCCACCCGCTTTTAAGTCCTTCAGTATGGGTTTACTCCATTCTGCTTATTCAGCTTAACCTTTAACATTTGTAATCACTTTAATTCCTTGAAGATGTTAAAACATTGTAAATTCTAAACAATAGCAGTCCATATGTGGCCTGAGAGGTTTGCAGTAAGGACATACTTGAGGCCTCTTGTCTGAAGACAAATTAGGTAACTGCTGAAACAAAAGGTCATTCAGCTGATCTTCAGCATTTTTCCCAAACTTGCATACTGCACTGAAGTCTCATTTGATAGAACCTCATCTAAACAGGGTATTGGGCTTGGTGTGCAATGAAACTGGCATTCTAACTTAAAATTAAAATACACCCTGTGCACAACAAGTGTTTGGGGGTTTTGTTTTGTGTATTTGCCCCTAACACTCTGTGCGTATCTCTTGTTTCCCACCAGCTGCACACTGGGGGGATCATCATCATGAAGGACACCAGTGAGGAAGATGAGGAGCTGGTGGAGCCAGTTGCTGCCCATGGCCCTAAGATTGAGGAGGAAGAGCAGGAACCAGAGGCTCCAGAGCCCTTTGAGTACATTGATGAATAACAGCTGCTTCTCAGGTACACTCTTTCACAGGATGATAGTCAGGTTGTTCTGCCAAGCCCACTGAACTGTTAGTGACAGCTGAGAGGTGCTGCAACTTCAGGGTGCTTCATTCTGAAAAACTGCCTTCTGTTACTATTGTAGAAGTGTTGGAGAAAACTAAAACCTCAAAGGGTTGATTTACTTTCAGTTGTGTGCCATTTAACTCATTCTGAGTTGTGTCTTGCCCGCGGTTTAGAATGTCAGCATTCATTTCTTGGATAAAAAAGATAGTTAAAGTGTATTTTACTAATGCAAAAAGATCCTGGAGCATATGTTTTATCTATGTCCGTGATGTAACTAGTCCAAAAGCTCCAGCCTCCACTTGAGTTTCATTTCTCAACTCCCTTAGAGAAACACGTACTATACCACAACAGTTTCCCTGCTTAAAAACCCTTAGAACCTGATTCTCTAATGATAACCACTTGTTTTTACAGTTAGATAGAGCATGTAAACGTCAATCAGGCTGCCAAGAAACACAGTATAATTCAAACCATGTTCTGAAAAACAGCATTTAAATTGATTGTCGGTAGGATCTACTCTTATTTCTTCTGGCAAAAAGTGCCAACACGTCAATCAGGAGAAGGGCTGCTTTGTCTCCATTATCTCATTTTGTCCCTAGATGGTATTGCAGGAGGTCTCAGAATACAGATCTTAATGCATGATCCCTTGGCTCTCTCTGCTCCACAGATAAATGACTGTGGAATATAAATAATGCTACTGGTTCTAAACATTCTTCAGTATAAGATAAAATTATTCATGATCTTGTTGCTAAAGTAAAAAAAACAACTGAAAGATTCATTATTGAAATGCAGGTTCATTCATTGGGTCCTTCCTTCTAAACTCTTTTTGGAATTATCAGCCTGTTTAAAGTGTTTTTTTCTTGGGATCTTACTTCTGAGTTTCCCCAGGACATCAAAGGTTCAAGTGCAGAAGTGCTGTTACTAAATTAGTCAATTTGTGTAGCTCGGAGGAAGAGAGGTTTTTGGTTATCTGTCAAACTTTTGGCATTCAAAGGCTCCAGTGTTGTTTTTGTAATCTTTAAGTCTTGGCTGTTGCAGCTAAGTAGAGAACAGTTTGTCAGCTTTTCAGCAGTCCTTGCCAAATACTTCACAGAATGCAAATGGTCATCATACTTTAGTTAAGATAGACTCCATGAGCAAAATATAGAAATAATTATTGCAATTGTAGAATTGAGAAATTTAAAATAATTTGAAATCTTTCATAATGGACAAACATCTGAGTAAAAGTATTATATCCTGGAAGCATACAAAATTAGGTGATTGAAAGGTAATCGATCTTAGCTATTTTAGTAATTTTTAGTTAAGCCAGTATATTTTATAAAAAATAAAGAATTTATAAGTAGTCCAGATATTATAGCCTAGGTTTTCTTAAGCTTTGTTGTGTTTTTCAATATGTCAACCAGAATCATCTATGTTGACATAGTCCTGTGCTATTAAAGTAATTCACTCCTGAATTGAAGTTTAGGTACAGTAGGCTTCTGGTGATCAGTCTGTTTAAAGCTGTGGTCTTTTGTTTCCACAGGGCACAAACAGAGCTGTCTTCTGCGAAACCAACACAGGAGACTCCAGTCTCCAAGCATGCACCTCCACCAGTCCAGTCGACTCTTTTACACTGTCCTTCCCCAGCCTCAACAGAAAGCTGTGTAGGGAATGTTTTACACTTATTGTTAAAGTCGGTTCAATAAAAAAAAAATCATACTGGATGTTGAAATGTTGTAGCTCTTATTTCTTCATATCAGTGCATAGTTTGACTTGAAAATGTCTTTTCAATGCGAATGTTTGAAAGAATTTATAATACAGCAAATCATTTTCAGGGGAATTCATGTACACTTTTTTTTGTGGGCTCATTTCTCATTTTCACTTTACTTTTTATAATTCAGTTGCCAGCACTGTTCTGGCAGCTGTTTAGGTTTGGTCTGTTGTCAGAATGATTGTTGTGATTACATATCTCTTTAAGGCAGAAATATGTGAACTGTGTTGATTATAATGAATAGTATAATGTTGCTTATCTTGGGGAAAAAAAGAATAGTTTATGTGCTTTATCACAGCTGCATCCCTAGCATAGTGAAGCGAGTCATGCACGTGTGCCTGGACTTCCAAAATACTTTTGCCCGACGGCCTGACAGATTGCCAGTCCTGTCTAGAATACCATTTGCTGCTACATCATCTAATTTTTCTCCAGGCTGTGAGCTTAAAGGCCAACACATTTGTGCCCTTCCCTGAAATTCTCTTGCCAAAACCTAATTCCCAGCTCCCAGAAAAACATGACAGATCTGTCGGCCCTGTAGCTGCAGGTGATGAGCAGCTTTCATGGTGTTCACAGGGTTCAGCACAGAATCTTGATTCTGTCTGGCTCCATGGCTGTTTGCCTACTTTTAGAAGAGATTTTTGATTTGAAAGTTAGAATAATCTTGATTATTTAAAAGAAAATGTGTGGGCCGGGGCAGGATTTTGGCTCTTATCGTCTTGAAGGTATAATCTCTTTTGACTTTTAACATACTGTCATGTAGCAACAGCTTCTCTTCTTCGGAAAAAAAAAGCGTCTTTAAAAATTCATCCTTAAAATACCTTTTCTTTTCATTTTCCATTTAGTGTAACAACATGCTTTCATTATGCAATAAAAAATAATTGCTGCATTAGTATAACAATAATCACATGCCAACAAGGAAAAGATTTAATTCTGTTTACAACCTACCTAGGTATTTCATCACATGATTTCTAACAATTTCCAGTATGTGAGTATTTAATGGATTGTATAAAGTTCTCAAACTGTTACACCTACATGATGTTAAACAGTATTACCATTCTTAAAATAATTTAGGCCTATGTAATACAAAAGGAAATTAAAGATGAGCTTGGCTTTTAAGTTAGATTGGCTGGAGATCTTGGCACTAAGACTCAAGTTTCTAAGAAGATTTGAGATAATTAATAACCTGTTAGAAAAGGGCAAATTGCAGACGTTGTAGTACATCTTGATAAAACCCATAGCCGCCTCTGTTCAGTAAAATAACACAACAGTCTTCACAGGGCAAGGTTGGGATGTACAGTGGGTTTTATAAAACAGACTGGTAAGAGCAGAAAAGGGCAGCAGTGTCCAACAGTGTTTAGGGTTCTGGCCTCACAACTGGAAGGTTTTCTGGAATAACAGAAAATAGGTGCTAAAATTTGCATTTTGTTACAGTGCTGTCTGTGTTAACCTTTCTTTGGTAACTAAAAGTACACTGCACATAACCAAACTGGCAAGAACTGAAAAAACGACCGATTTCGGCTTCACTGAAAATTTTGGGGCCTTTTTTTAAAACTTGATTGTTAGAAACGAGAACGCCAACATTTTATTTGAATTAAACCTTTACAGATTATAGCAGGGTCTTGGACAAAGTTCAGCTGAAGTTCAGCAATTTAGCGCTGGTGTCAGTGCCCTGCTTAGCTATGAAAAGGATTAAAAAAATAAAAGCTCAAGATCACAAAGCTGAGCTGATGTCATAAGACACCCTTTAACTTATGTACTGTACCTTCCAGCTTGTCTGTCAAAGAAAAAAAGACCGGTTCAGAGACTTTGTATTTGATTTAGAATAAGGAAATGAATTTCATCAAGCTTGTCCCACCACCAAGACATCAAAGGCAGTAAAACAATGCGAGTCAGTGCGTGTTAATGATCAGGGTTGTCCACTGAGTTCAATTCTGCCTTTTTTTCTCTATAGCAGCCTGTTTCTTTGAAGTGGGAAAGAAATACCAAAATACATTGGGTGATTAATCCCACTGTGGCAAAATTATTTTCTTCTTCTGTTCTTGATATTCCCTTTCTTACAAGTGTGTCCCTCTGCTTCGGGCTGCGGCTTCCAAGCTGGGGTCAAGTTAACCACTGAAGTACTCAGACAGAATCCCGGAGTCTGGAAACTATTCTTCAATGATCTCGGTATTGAATTGGCATTCACTAAGATCATTTTTTTTTAAATAGCTTGAACATTAATAGGTGTGAATGTTGCAAACGGGCAGACATTGTCAGTGTGAAATGAGTGGATCTCTAAATCTCTAAAAATCACTCCGAAACAAGGGAACTGTTTTGTTGTAGGTCATACTGTATATTTAACCACAATAATCTATTCTTTTGCTGGTAGCAAAAACATGTCACCTATCACAACAATTATTTACAAGGCTTGTAAAAAGCATGGAACAAAATCAGCTCTCTCAAGCTCTGATCATATTATGCAGTTTCAGTATTTTATATGTGATAAGAACTTCCAAAAACATTGTTTGCTTTCAAGCCTAAACAATAATATTTTCATTCGTCTTCTAAGAACCTTCTCCAGCAACTGTTGAAAATGTGTACTTGTATAAATAAATGAAGGCAGCTCTCACTTACACTGAATTTAGGTTATAACTAAATTTGGAGTCAGTGGCAGCGTGTAATGCAAATATTATACAAGATGTGCGAGAAGCAAGGGAGAAACGTTGCAGACACATTAAAGACGACAAAAGGGTTATTCATATAAGTGGTCTAACATTTCACAGGAGCAAGACATTTCCTCAGTGCTCCACATCTGTTTTATCCCTGAAGTTCAGTACTATTGATAAACTCAATCTGGTGGGGCCAGTAACATATCGAGAATTGCTGTAGTGTACTTTAAATCTGAAATGATTTTTTATCTTTTATTTTTTACTATGCAACTGTATCCAAATTTACAATTTCATTTTGGATTGCCATGTTTCTGTTAAATGTATTCTGCTTATGTGTTTTTGTACTGGTATTACAGTTTATTATCAGTGGGAAATTATGATGTTATGATGTCCCATCTTAATAATGACATTATTACATACCATATATATTTTTATGTATTTCTAAAATCTAAGATTTAGTGCAGACTCAAAGGTTGTGAGCTCAAATCCCAGGTATCACACTGAAGTTCCAACTTTCAGTAAAACACCCAGCAACTAAAGTAAGTGGATACAAATATTAGTCAGGTTTGAGAAAGGCAACAGACAAATTCAATCCGTGCATAGTTTTTAATACTAAATATATTGCAATCTTGTACTTTGTGCTTTTGTGGTGTTCTTTCCCGGTAGTTTCATGTTTCATTTCTCAGCTTTTTCTTTCACTCTTAATTAAAGTAACCACTGGAGAGAGATTAAATGTTTGTTTTTCTTCTAAGGCAGATTGTTTAGTTTAGGGCTGGTGTTGCTGAATTGTGTTTCTGACTTATTCAAGGCTCATCACAATCATCTCCTGTCCAGAGGGATAAAATTGTTTTGGCAGGGAGATCAGCAATATCAGATATTTTTGACTTCGCTTTGAAACCGTATCAAATTGTTTGTTCCAAGAGATTCTGCTCGTCTTTCCAAAATTTTGCCCAAGGTTAGTGCTGTGTTGTTTTTTTTTTATTTTAAGAAAGAATGTCCTTGGAGAAGTGGTCCAGAGATCGAAGCAATGAATGGGTTATAAAATCCGTACATAAACTCATATCGACATCAATGTGGGGTTTGCCACACAGATGTAAAAACTGGGGTGGCATGGTCGCACAGTGGTTAGCACTGAGACCTTGGGTTTGGAGTTTGTATGTTTTCCTATCTGTATGGAGTTTGTATGTTTTCCCTCTGTTCCCATGGGTTTCTTCCCACAGTTCAAGTTCAAAGACGTACTGTTAGGTTAATTGGCTTCTCAGTTAACTGACCCCATTGTGAGTGTGTGTGTTTGTGTCTGTGCGCGCCCTGTGTTGGGCTGGTGTCCCATCCAGGGTGTACCCTGCCTTGCTCCCATTGCAAGCTGGGGCAGGCTCCAACTCCCCGCCCCCCTGTGTTGGATAAGGTGGTTAAAAGATGGATGGATGTGAATGTCTTGGGTCCACCTTGGCTCAGCCCTAGCTCTGAGGCTTGACCCATGCCAGTTATAACAATAATACTGTCTGAGGTGTGGCAATATGATACACTATTAGACTGGATGGCAGGTTACACTTGGAGAACATTGCAGCTCAATGATATCTTAATAAGTTAAAATCTTATTTTGCTGAATTCGATCAGGCATATTTTCACAGTAATTTACCTACTTACTTTTTACAATTCAACTCTTGCCCCCATCAGTTCACTTTATTTTTATATTTCAGCCACAATTCTGAATCCTAAAGAGAGGACTTTATCAGGTAAAGAAGAAAACTTTAAAGAAAGTTGCTGTGCACCACATCTTTACTCACACTTGTAGCAGCTAAAAAATGGCCCTGCCTCCCTCAGCTGTGTGAAGATTGCAGACTGTAATAGATATGCAACAGCCAGTTTTGTCCTTTATCAGCTCTGATGTTTAACAGAACCATTTCTCTCAGAAGAATGTTAATGTCAGACAATAAGGGTTCTATGAATTCCTATCTAGATGTTTTATACAGGAAAAATGTAAGATACAGGAAATCTATGCAGTCCTTTAAGATTTTGCTTTTTTGAGCTTCACACTGGTTATATTGCAAGCAAAATAGACTTTGAGGTTTTTCATATTTAAAGTTTCTTGGTTATACTGTAAATTGTCCATTCTTTGTTCTCCTGTGCTTTACATCCTTGCTACTGTCTTTTTTTCTCCCTGAAACCTGAGGAAGATTCAGTGGCCAAAGGTTTGTTTCTACTTTTCAGCACGAAATTAACCTTTACTTGATTTTTGCAGCCACCGCATGGTGATGTAACTTTCCACTTGAACATATTTATTAAATGTTAATAAGGGAGAACTATAACACTTTAAAGATTTTCATGCTTCTCCTGAGACTCTCACAGCTGATGTAATTGATGTTTCCAGTACACCAATAAGAGTATCCATACCTGCTAGCTACTGATATTATGCAAAATCTTCCATACACTAATGATCTATTCTGAATGGAACTGGCAGATGAAGCAAAAAAAAACAACTTAATTTTGCTGTTATAACTGAAAACATACATCAGAATTAACATGCTACTCTTTTCCTACAAACGCAGCTGGACTACCACAGAGCATGACACGATACCGATGTTATGTTTTTTTATATTAGCATCTGTGTTTTTCAATAAGAGGCAACGAGTTACAAGTGTCCATTTAAAGAACTAGCAGTGCTTTAAAACATTATCAAAACCTTGCTCTCTCATTGCATTACTGAAAGCAGTGACTGCTGACTTCTGTATTGTTTCAACACAGCGGGCTCTGTTGTGACTATGCTTTTTATTAATGTTAGGTTGTCTTGCCTGTCCCTCCAGGACCTGGGTTCATGTTTGGACCTCATTCAGATGCATGTTACCTAGTGTGACACCCCAGTTGGTTATGCCATAACAGGATCTTAAAATTGGGAAAACGTATGACGCACAAATGCAGACATAAATTACAAACCAAGTGCTCTCTTAGTGCAGAAAACTAAAACAAAAGCCTAAACTGTTTGGGCTCACAGGACTTCTTCAATGCCCCTCACTAGCACAGCCAGGAAGCTAAGCTCCTTACCAGCCTCAAAACAAGCAATCCTTCAAAACTTCAGTCTCACTCTGAGACTCTTGAATGTATAAGTCTTGAACTGAACTTGCAATACAGTAGTCTTACAAGCTTATACCATAGTCGATCACTTTCTTCTCCTTTCCATCTGCCACCTGGTTTTTAAACTGTCAGCTGACAAATTGTCTTCCAGCAACTGGTCAGGTGACAGAGGACAGCAGCTCACTGACAATGGCTTTCTGGGAAATAGGGTCCAGACGAGGCCTCCATTTTGTCTGAACCTGCTGTACAATCACAAAACATAAGCAGAACAGGTAAATGCCCCCTCAAAAAGGAAACGGACAAATCGCTGCTAAAAAAACAAGGTAAATGAATGGGAGCTAATAAAACAAGCTGACAAATGTTTTTTTGTGTCCAGCAGAACAGCCACAGTCAACTTCAGGGTAAAGCAGTCTGGATTACTATTTCTAGCAGCGTTCTGTTAATAGATTTTCCAATAATAAGCATTTTTTACTTGTATCACTGTTATATTTTGCAAAGCTTACTAAACACTTTTTTCAAGACGCATGGTCTCACCTTAAAAGTGACTACAAAATATCAGAGGCTTGTTTTAATAACCAGTTTGCTTTCCTAATAAGGTGTGCTCCTTGTAGTCCTTTGTTGCTGCTACTAGCATAACTCAGTTTTCGTTTAAGACTTACAGTATCTCCACGGAAGTGTGAAGAGGAAGAAAAACAATGAAACAATGACGCCCTGTGCTCTTAATGAAGCTTCAGTGGTTAGACAAGCCCTGCATAAAGCAAATGATTTTGAAATGTCTTTGGCTTTAACCCACTTGGGCAAAGAGATGGCATCTGGTTTTTGAAGTGGTAGTGCAATAGAAAGGCAGAGCAAATAAGGCATGTCGATGGTGAAGTGGTAACAGATGATTGGTAGGGAAAAAGGGTTCTTAACTTCCTCTCAGATGTTTACTATGACCCCCAATTTTCACACTGAGGCCCCCAGAGATCATGGTTTTATCTTTCCGCGTGCACGATTAACCACTCCACAACATCCATCTGCCACAGAATATGTTTTGGGATTGTCAGGAGGGATGTCTACAAGAGAATATGGAAGAATATTGAAGAGGATGTGCAATAAACAAAAAGGTTTAAATAGTATTGGCTTTTGTGTCATACATGACTTGTTGAAAAATAATATCCCCTTATTCATTCAATTTCAGAAATTGACTAAAATCCACTGTAAATATATAAGAGCATCTTGAGCATCTGTTTTAGCTATTTTCATCTCGAGTGCAAATCGTCTTCCTTGCATTAAATCATTGATGTTATCATCTTCATCCCAGCTGCTCATAGTCTGGGTAGTGTACATCTTTAGAATAGATTTCAGCCATTGTCTGTCATGTTTCAGGTGATAAGATGTAGAGCCGCGACTCATCTCCAGTTTCCTGTGCCATTAAGAAGGCAGGTGAAGATGCTTCAGTGTGCTCAATGCAATATTTTTTTCCAAATCAGTCTCGTCCCTTTCATCACCGGCGCTGCCTGCACGCGAAGCCTCTATCCGTTCCAGCAAGCTGCTGCGAGTCTGAACAGACGGATTTGTCAATTTCACTTCTGGTGTGAGTACCCCTGCTTTCTCAGACACCGCAGTCATCAAGATCCCGAGACTGTGGTGTTTGACGGCAGAGAACCGAAATGTGTGATCAGAGCGCCGGCGGAGCGGCTCTCCCATTACTGCAGCTCCAGCCAGCGCTAAATGAGCAATCAGGGTGAAGTGGCAGGGAGAAATCCATCCTCATCAATCTTCCCGGAGTTCGTCACAGTGATGTCTGATGACCCCTTTCACTCTGCGCTGTGGCGCCAGGCCTGATACAATTGTACTTCCAGCCTGTTTATCATCTCGGTATTAAGGTCAATCCTTTCCTGTCTGTACAGCCCTGGTTATTGTGTTAACGCATTTGCTCCAGCAATTTTGAAACAAGGGGGAAAGAAAAATGTTTTAAGGCTTTGAAGCATGTTTTAGGTGTAAGTATTCGAAATGCCACATTCCTGACTCATTTACAGTATATAGTCAGACTACTTTGACAAGTGAGTGGGGTCTCCGCGTATGCGATAATAAGGTTCGCGAATTTGCTTGCTCGCGATTCGGACAGGCTGACAGGGTCTTGCTTGGATGAACAGCGGAGCAGCATGAAACGGGGCCGAAGGTTGTTAGTCAAAACTTTCAAATTAGCCCTACAACACACTAAGGTCGTGAGACGAATCTAGCTAGTGAGTGAGCCTTTCCCTGCCCCCTGCCCCCTGCCCCCTACCCAAGTACCCACCACCCACCATCCACGTCTCAACATGGTCTTGCTCACAAACGCGCCAGGTTCTGTGTGAGCTCACTGACAGTTTCACCACCCTTTTCATTACAGTGGAGTGTGCTGATCACAGAGGCAAAGCAATACAGACATCGTGTTGTTTATTGTAGCTGATTACTGTACGTTTGTGATTACTGTTGTCTGTTTTAGTTGACCATTGTTGTTTTAATCTACTTAAAGCCAATGCATTAGTACTTGAATTACTGTTGTTACTTAACCGTCCATACTATATGTTGTAGAACATCATGCAACGGTATAGGAGTGGATATGGTTATATCCGAATTTGACTATTCATACCAGATCTCTGCACCAAACCCCCATGAATGTTTTATTTGACAGCTGCTGAATGCGATTCAGAAACTCTCCCCTCTCCTCTTCCTAATCAGAAAGACAGAAAACCTGATTTGCGGTCTCCAGTGTAGTGGTGCTGGAGCTGACGACAGCTGACAGGGTTTGCTCTGTGAAAAGGCTGCCAAATTGTCCGGCGATCCTGCGAGAAGCACCTCCGCCCTGTGGAAGGTGCACAGATTGGACGGTGAGCCGAGTTTCAAAGGGAGGAGGAGGCAGGGACTGGGCTCTCGTGTTTGTTTGAATTACCTTATGGGGCGTTAAGGGACACTTGTAAGCGATTAACAGGCAGCCTGCTGAGCCAAACGGAGGGTGGAATGTTTTCATAATATTGTTTTTTAGCGCGGTGCAGAATTGAAGAATGTGGGTTTTGGCCGGTGTTTAAGGTGTTCCGTAATTCCCTCTGCACGGCAGACTGCTCCAGGGGTGAGGCCCTCGCTCGCCTTGCGGGTCTGAGTCTCTGCTGCTGTTATCAGCCCCCCACAGGAGGACCAGCCATTCCTTCCTTTATATGGCTGCAGACGCTTTTCCCTAATACATCTCAAACATGCTTAAATCCCACGAATCCGTCAAACTGTTCCTGTGCACGCTAGCGTGTTGGAGGAGAAGAGCCAGCGTTGCCTCTGTGTGTTTGCATTGGGTTTCTGTTAATTCTGCTGAGCCCCGGCAGACAGGGTTGTGTTGCTATTAATGTGCGCAGGCTTTAAACAGCCATTCGAAAGGGATGGTAATGGTAGGGAAAGTTGCACAGATCTTTGGTTCACTGAAGCTCTGGGATTTTTTTTTTATCCCATGCTATATTATTCTTTGTTTTCCAGCAGGTTTTCTTGATCCGTTTATGTAGGTAGAACTTTACAACCTGGGCAACTGTAACTATTCCAGTGAAGACTATGGTTCAGTTCACCCAGGGTTTTTAATGAAAACCCACAGGCACGGCGGCCTTCTCACACTGGCATTGGGTATCCCTGGCATACACAGTACCTGCCAAGCCCATAAGTTGCTGCTGGGGTCTGGAGTCCTTCAGTGTCTGATGGGGGACAGGCTGCAGCCTTCATCACGGACACAGCGCAGCCCAGCCATGGGAGTCACGCATGTGTGGTGATCCCAGCAGCCCCTTGCCTTGCAGCGCTCAGGCCAGTTCCACACTGCCAGTGAGGGGCTTAGTCTGAGCATCCAGTCCTCCAGCTGTTGAACTGTTGTAATTCACATGGTGCAGAACGTCCAGCGTCTACAGAATGAATAAAATCACCATCCTAACTATTCGCCAAAGGAGAAAACCAGAGAAATGTGTCCGCTGGTAATATTTCAGCTCAGTCTGTGACCATTGGCTCTAGTGACTGCAGGAGTGGGCTAAATTCTTCTGAGTTGGAGGGCAGATAAGAACATTTACATGACATACTTGAACCTGCTCAAATGGATCAAGTTAATCTCTGTCAAAGATTTACTTTCAGCTCGGTCCCTTTTATGCCCAAACACATTTGAACGAGGACAAGTTAATCAGCTGCAATAGAGACAGAGCGTTCCTTTTCACAGTCAGGTGCTCACCTCTCTCTGACAATTCACTGAAAGCTCAGGTGACTGGCAGACATAAGGGAGCTCTCCAAACTGCACAAGCTGTGGAAAGCAGTAATATGCAACGTATTATCTGAAATGCGTAGTAAAGTGTATTTCCTCTTTGCCTGTGTGTGAAGCTAATTGATTTTGAAAGTGTTTTTAGCATAAAAGCACTGTGGAATGTTTCAAAGAAGAGTGCTACACGCAAGCTGTAATATGTATGTTTTTTTTTCTCGAAACTCAGCAAATGCACTATTTGTTTCACACACCAGTCAGTGCAAACTTTTGAATGTTTTTTTTTAAAACAAGGCACGGCTCCTAATGTGTTTTCTGAGGTATCCACCGATGAAAAGACCTCTGTGAAATGGATTGTGTGACTGCGATGAGGGCAGTTTGTTCTGAGTGAGGTTTATTTTTGCTCTTCGAAGAGCTGTGGTGGAACGGAAAGTTCCCTGCTGACCTGCTGTGTGTGTTTATAAAGTCCTGGGGCAGCTGAAGCTGGTCTTTGGTTGAGCTTCAGCTCCCTGGACCGATGGAGGAAGTATTTAAAAGGTGTTAATGGACAGGCAGCTAATATTACTTTGATGAGGTGATGGCTGTTGTCTGTCCTAGCAGGGTTTTTTTTAATGCTTTTGAAGAACACCTTTGTGCTGCAATGCTTAGTAGTAGTATTTCATGTAGGATTATATTTTATGTATATAAAGGATTTATGTATAATTACTTCAGCGATTTCTGAGTCAGCAATGAATTATAAATCAAAATAGTACTGAGTACTGAAAATACATTTTTTAATGCTTCTCAGTTTGTTGTTACCCTAACTACTATTCATATAAGCAATTTTAAAGTTTATGTTTGACAGCCCCATTCCCCCTATACAGAACCCTTCTATTTATGCTGCACCATAGGTTTATGTCATGAGAAACAGTTAAATTATTTTATTTGGTGGTAATTCACTGAATTATCAAATTAAGGATCTGTATTTTATCACTGACCTGTACTGGAAGTGATAGGCTAGTGTTTTCATGTGCACTGAAAATAATCACTGTGTGTATGAAGATAACATTACACAAGAAAGCACCCACAGATGTCTTAGAGGGATTTTTTTTTTAAGTGCCTTAGATGTGAGACCTAGATATTAAGCATTTCTGGGCTCTATTGCCAGTTTTTATAATATAATGTAAAAAAAAAAACAGAAGTCAAAACATCTCATCTGTACTTTTGTTTCATCTTCTGTTTCTACAGTTTTAGATCAACAGATGTAAACTGCTGTGCAGCTTCTGGAAGATTCTACTGCTGCTGTGAAAGATAAGACGTTGCGTGATTTCAAATTTCACTTCACTGTAACCCAATAATGAGGCCATTGCTAGCTTTTTTTTATTTTATTCATTATATTGTCAATAATAATAAATAATAATGAAACATGCAGTGTTGTATCATTCAGCTGTAGAGTGGTTGAAAATGCCTCCCTCGAGTTTTGCTTCTGCCCCTGGAAGGACTGTAGCAATAGAGAGCAGATGGAGGCCAGACATGTCCTGATCGCCTCATTTTCAGGGTGGTATTTCAATTTGGAAACCTCTCGGGCTGGCGGCTCACTGAAGGGTGGAACCTCAGCGCCAGAGATCTCACTCTCAAAGCATCTTTTCTGTTCGAGACCAGTCAAAGCCTCCTTCTTCCTGGAATCCTTTATGGAGAAATAAACTGGAGGGGGTGGGTGGCGAGGTGAGGCTTGCGTTTTGTTTTCCCCTTGGCTTTATAGGGACCACGGAGGAGAAGCAACGCACAGAACACAGGACACAATTGTGAATTATTCACGGCCTGGGCTAACCCCCGATTTGCATATTCTTGGAAAAGGGACCAAGGGACAAAGGGACCATGTTCTTCTCCATATTCTTGGAAAAAAGACCAAGTTCTCAAACTTACTTTGTCACACTCCTTTGCACAATGAAATGGTCCAATCATTGAATACAATCATTCAAGAGGAAGTTGTCTAATTGAACCGCCTCTACAAACACCTTACATTAATTAACTCCAGTGATCGGACTAGGCTTATGACCGTAACTTTCAATTCTCTTTGGCAGATGTCTGAATGAATTACTTATCATTCCCAGGTTGTTTGTGGTGTGGATTTAATTAATTGATGATGATCATTCACAGATAAGCATAGGGTGGCATTAATAGAGGCATGCTTGAGCTCACATGCTCCCATTTTTATGTACAATACATTATATAATCTCTGTAAAGGTAATTAATGTGCATTAGGAAAAAATGCCTTAGTTAATCAGTTGCTTATAGATATTTTTGAATTAGTTGGCTGTGGAGTCTGTAAGCCAGCGGACTGTAAGCCTCTCATTTCAGAGAAAATACAAATGCACGTATTCTGGGTGTATCGATCCAAAAGACATCAATAAAGAAGTGGACATTAATAAATGAGCTAATTTTTTAAAGATGGTCTTTTCAGGACTCAAGTTCAAAAATATAATTCCTAGAAGCAGTATTGTTTTTTTTTTCCCACTTCTAACATTTCAGCTTTATGTAGAACCAGAGGAACATAAGCCCACAGAAAAACTAGATTCTATTTTGGGGAAATTATTTCTTAATAATTGCTGTTAGAATGCTAGAAACTGGATTATCATCTTTCGGGGCAAAGGCAGAAGTATTAACATCATATTGGATTTGGGGTTAAAATAGCTGAAAAACCATAGTGTTTGATTTTGAAGCTTGTTTTTCGCCTTTGTGAAAACTGTTTTATTATTTATCCTGCAGTTTCGGAGATGGCTCAACATTCTTGTGCCTTGTTATGGCTCTGCTTCTTCAGAGAGGTTTTAGGCCAGGTAAGATGATCTTGCTCAAAGAGCCCTAACTGTTGTGCTGGACAAATGGTACTGACAAGCCCTGGGATCATGTTTGTAGAACTCCACATTTCTTTTCCATGGACAGGAACATTTTGAAAAGGTGGCTCTTTGCCTCTCTGTGGTGTGCTGACCACCAACTTCCACTGCAGCTGTTACACCACAGGCCATTAATCTTGAAGTTTTCTCTACCTTCCAACCATTTCATATGTGCGAATTTGAGCTACATGTCAGTTTTAGTTATGCAGCCCAGTGTTCGGCTGCAAGGGAAGGTTCTTGCAGATGTTGCTCTGCTGGGCTTCAGCAATGGGTAACAAGTTGTTTAGTACAATGTGGTGTACTTGATTATTGTGTGTTATTCATCACAGTGGCATGCTGATTAGCACTGCTACCTCACAGTCCTAGAGTGGGTTCTGGTCTGGGGACCTGGCTGGGAGGTGCCTTCATACTACCCTGTGATTATGGGATTTTCAGAAAGTGATTCTTCCCACCTGTTAAAAACATCCTGGTTAGGTTGGTAGATTTCTCTACGTACTTCGAGAACACTACCGGTGCTTTGTGTCACAGCGCATTTCAGTGAAGAGCTGAAAGAGGTTTATTTAGCAACAAAGTGGCCTCCTGGAGATCTGAGTGACAGAGTATTTCTCTCCCTATCTGATCTGCTTACTGTTCTTCACAAGCACCCTTTTATACTTTAAAACACCTCCTCTATGTACCCAACATGGTATTAGAGAAGCACACATTTTAGGAGTGATATATTTAAAGTTCACCTTTGTTTCTTTCTACAGATTTCCATATTTGTGAGACAGGGATATGCTTGTTCAGCCTATCAGATTCTTTGTGGCTCTGTACAGCATGTTTTTATGTGAAGGAAAAGCTTGCAGACAGGTCAAATCTTACACACAGAGAAAATACTGTTTGCATTTGTTGCATGACAAATGAAAGTTAGAGTTAATTTGGATTGTTGTTTTAAAAGGAAATCCCTGGATTATGTAACAGTAAGTGCTGTTTTATTTCGAAGTTAATTTATTATGTGGAGTTGTGAGAATAATGTCCTTAATTGTGAGTGTGTAGCTTCTTTTTAAACAGAAAATGCTGAAACAATTGTAGACAGATCCACACCATGAACTGCAGAAAAGCTGCAATGACTCATGTATCAACGTGGCCTTGTCTAGGTTGCACTGAATTACGAGAAAGGAACAACGGAACAACAGTTCAGTGGAACAATATGAAATGGAAAAGGTTACTGAAATGGTTGGCAAGATCTGTTTTTTTTTCTTTCTTCCAGCTTTGTCTCGTGGACACTCTTGTCTTGCATGTGGGAAAGCAGCCCGTAGGGGTCACTGGTGGCCAGAGTGAATTTTTCTGCCTGTGCTCAAGACACACCAACTGAGCTTTCTGAATGTGTACATGGAATTCAGGCCTCCCCGAGTGTCCATCATCTTCACAAGTCAACACTGGGTTCAACAAATTGTGTGGTTTATAACAAATTATAATCTGTTTTATGTTTCTTACATGGATGTTATTAGCTGAAGTTTGGAATTAATCTCACCCAGCTGTTCCAATAATGTAATGTTCATGAACATTACTGAAATTAGCTGTATATACTTAATAAAAACACCTCTGTACATCTGTCTCATGCATGTCTCCTTCACCCCATCCAGACCTCACAGGTGCCTCTCGGTTAACCCCTCCCTAAGAATGGGGTTCGAGCCTCCTAGTCCTGTGGTCAGGGGGCTGCCCCTTACCTGGGTTATGCCAAAACTATCCTACCTAAAATACTCAAACATTCACAAAGCATCTGATTTTTGGATGTTGTCCCTCATGAAAGTAAAATGTTATTAAACAGCCAGTGAGCTGCTTCTCTGGATGAATCATACTGAGGAGAGTGATGATGGGGTTTGCTGAACAAGCCTCCAAGTTTAAAAAATGACCTCTAGTGTTACAACTGTCCTATAATCTTACGACTTGCCCTGGTCACTATACCTAATGCTGTAAGTAAAATGACTTAAATCATAATTTCTGGATAGTTTGACATAAAGTGTGTTAAACACTGTTAAAAAGCACCCTGTCCTATCAGCATGTCCTATTTTTACTTCATTGTGCCATATAACTGCTCTTTAACAAATGCAATGGGATGAGAGCACCTGAACAAACCTTAGTTCACTAATTCACTGATCCACAAGATGAAAATAATGAGTGTAACTTGGATCACAAGTGTATAAAAATACTTAGATTTTTTTGCTCTAAATAATGAACTACATCCACTTCTTTTAAGTCTTTTATTGATTCCAGTACCACTGTCATTTTATTGAACAGTGTTTTCTAAGGGCATATATTTATAGATTATATACAGTATTTACATGATTTACATTTCACTGCTATATGGCAAAAAGTATAATCTCTTCCATGCACATATTTGGAAGACTATCTAAATAGTCTAAAAAGCAATACAAATATTAATTCATTACATTTGTATTACAATTACAAGAAAATACAAAATGTAATTTCTAAGACAACTGTTTTGACTGTGAAATTGAATCCTATTCACAATATTCTAAGCATGTGCTCTACTGCAGCTATAAAGAACAAAATGACAGGTGTCTACACTGTCCATCCATTTAAAGATGGGAGGGACTGAAATTGAGCAGATGTGAAATTTTAACCTCCAGAGTGCTGGAATGTAGGTTCAAGTAAGAAGTTTTTTACTTCTGAATCCCAAAGAGCGCAGTTAAATTTGAAAGCATGCCCAGCTTGCTTTTACTATAATTTTGCAAAACAAACATTTGCATTGCATAAATTAAATATCACTGTCTTATAGGAGGGTAATATTGTGTGCCTTAATAATTATAAGCTTACTTCTTGACATTTCTTTCAAAATTCAGCATATTCATTCAGAAACTGTCACACAATGGGCTGCTACTAATATTTCCAGCACCTTGATTAAGTTCCAAAACAGAGTATTTTACCAGTTCTCTGTCTGATTAATAAATAACAGCAATAATAAACATTTCAAGGCACTAAAGCTAGAATATGAATCCCCCTTAAAGCATTATAAAAACACAAGACCCTTTGGAGGATACCTTCTGTGGTCTCTTTAAGCTGAAGAACACAAGCTAACATCTCACAAAACAAACCTAATTCAAATGGAAAGGCGCACACATTTCAACTAAGTGGAAAGGGCACACAGCTACAGTATGTTGTTAGACCTTCAAGGTCATAGAACAGTACAAAACACCAGTTTTTTATCAGAGGATACTTGCACAGAATGAACATGGATGGAGGGGCAAACTGATAAAGTGAAAAGGGTTACAGTCACTTTGATCAAATTAAAGTCTTAAAAAAACTAGAATAAAAAAAATACACACAAAGACAGCAGAAAGCAAAAACAAAACCTAAGAAAAGCCCCTTTCATTTCCTACTGTAGATACAGCTGGGGGGGGGGAGGGTTCAAAAGGAATGTTCCTGGTTCTGTCACTACATATGACAAAAGTACACATTGTGCTCTGCTCACTCCAGTGTTAGTAAGCTTTTAGTACTGGAAGAGAACATGTCCCATTATACACAAATATTAAAAGACATTGGGATGTGTGCACGCTCAGATAACCACAGCTCAAAACGAACCCCTTTAAAGCACTGTGCAACACATGGTACCCCTAAACAAAACATTGCAGTTTATATTGTTTATCAATATACATTTGGCAGCTCGTGCTAGACACCACACACAGGTATTTCCAACAAATGCATATATAATTCCATTGGAATGTGTTAATGTTAGTAGTTTCGAGTAGTTTGAAAAATTGAAGTAGACCAACACTGTCTCACTGCCACTGTTTTCAGATAATTTTCTTTATTTTTGTAAACTGGGCCATTGGACATATCAACTGCTACCTCTTAACTGAAGCATTTTACTAGTACCCTTAGTTCCATCATCCTTAAATGGCTATTACAAAGATGATATAATTTCTTGGTCCTATACACTTACATATGTACGTCCCATGACTGAGATCACAATTGTATACAGATAAATCACTCAAGTTGGTCAATAGAACACAGCTCCATGACAGTAAAGCTACCTCAAGCAACCTGGAAAGGTAAAATGAAGCTTCCCTCAGCTTTTCACCAGTAACTCTACAATATATGTACTGTATGTGTAAACATTTGCAATATTCCTTGCATTGTCCCTAAATTTGAAAAAGTACTCCAGAGTGATATATACACCAGAGGCCAAATGGAAACTACAAACAAGTACATTTAAAACTGAGAACTGCAGGCACATCATTAAACTAAGAGTTGTGAGAGTATGGGACAAGCTACTCATCTATGCTGTAGAAACTGATAACCTACAGTAGTTTCTTTCAAGAAACAGCCAAATGAGATCCTTGGATCTCTCTTGTGTGAAAAGGCTAACTTCCTTCTCTCAATTGTTATCTTTCTTGGGTCCCTGTTGCTTACTTCAGCAAATTTGTACTTTAGAATTTAGAGAGGTACAGTACGTACGGACATATATATTGTTCCGTGCATCTGAATACTTCACGATGCACAGTTCAGAAGACTTGAGAGCTACACAACCTACTGCTCAGAGAAAAGCTTCTCATATTTACAAAAACAGTTTAATGATACTTAAATAATGTCATCAAACCTACTAAAAATGGATGCTGACAGTCTAGCAGTAACAATGTCAATTTACATTCTTTGAAAATCTGAATCAGTTCATAAAATGACTATGTAAATAATATGCTTTCAAATACTGGAGAGCATTTTACAAAGTGCTCTTTGTGTAGCTTAATTCAAATCAGTTTAACAATGAAATATGTTCTTAAAGCATTTAACAAGGTTTTATTACATCAGTATTTATCTTGGAAGAGAGGAAAAAACATGAAAACGATTTTGGTAAAGAAATTCGGACCGAACTTCTAAATTATTTCTGCTGTTACTTTGGTTTACATTGGTCTTTTTTACCCCTGTCCTAGGTAAATTTAATAAAAAAATAATGCTTTGAAATCTGCCGACAGTAAAAAAATGTACACAAACGGTAATAATTTATTGAAAGAAATGGAGACATACACAGGCAGAATCACTTGAGGTACTGGTGTAGTTCTGCTGTTTTAGTTGTAGTTCCTGCTATTTTCCTGAATCCAAGTGAAACTGTTGGTTTAACTTAGAGACAGTTTTGCTTTTGAGGGGAAGGTGAAATTACAACATGGCCTCCTCATGACCAGCACCAAATCTGCCCTGCTCCCACAGTGACACCAGCTCCCGCCTCTCTCCGTCTCTCTCACAGCCTCTGGGAATCATACTGATGGAACCGGTTTAGTTTATCAGGGTCGTTGGACGCCATCTGAGAAAAATCTCGAAAAATATCCTGATAGGTTTCATCCCCTGCAATGAGAAACAAGTCATTTTAATTCGCTGTGGAATTCAAAGTACAGGAATGCATGAAGCACTTTTAATATGCTGTTCTATAAAGCATATTCAAAAACCTACAATTTGTTAAATGCATGCCTGTGTATTGTCTTCCTCCTGTTTTAAACTTGGTGAAGTAGTGTTGAAGTTTTTAATGCACAGATGGTTCTAGATCAAATAACTTGAAGATAATAGGTGATATAACATTATAAATATATTATTAATAAAGAATATATACACTCCTAAAAGATCTTTAAATATTTGTGTTAAAACAAAAGACTTGAGTGTAGCAGAAGAAAACGAGCCATACCTGTGCAAGTGTCAAAGCAGCTCAACAGAGAGAAGCAGAGTTAAGCAGGTTTAAGGAAGAAGGTTTAGAGGAGGCAGATTGAGATTAGGACTAAAGCTTGGAGCCCAAAGTACAATGCAAAGGGTTGCTGGTACAAAATCAACCACTGTCCAAATGTGAATTCCTGAGTAAAATGTATGCATTTAATGCTTCTGAAATCAAACGTTCAAATTGCTTAGATGTAATCATAACTTAACTTTCTCTACGCAGTTCTGATACTGTCTACCTTCTTATCTGATTTAAAGAGTCCACACCATTATGGGTCACTAGTTCAACTGATCTCTAGTGGGCCTATAGATGAGGACTTGAATAACATATGGGAATATTTTGCCAATCTCTCCATACATACAAACATGACAGCATGCATCTATGCACACAATTACTATATTACTAGTACTATAGACCTTTTCTTTCTTCTTTGTTGCCTTCCAAAATTCCAACAAAGATCTGAAACAAAGGGTCTGTAATGGTCCATATTTCATCGCCAGACCAACATGATTTGTAAGTGCATGTTGTTCATGTTTGTATATTTAATAAATGTGAAAAAATGTATGTGAAGCAAATAAACTCTCACTAAAGCAAATTGACTATGGGTTTCAAAATGCACCCCCTAGTTTTTCAGAAAGCATTTTGCGATTTTGGCAGTGGGGGGGTGGTTCTGTTTATTTTTGCTGTGAAAAAAAGGTGAGGCATGTTCACCCATAAACTTAAGTAAAACTAAGTGAGACAGAAAGACATCATGAGCTCCTCTCATTTGTAACTGTTCTGATGTACTTTAAACTCTGAATGTGTCCCAGCATGAGTACCCTTAAAAGGACAGCATGCGGTGTGGTGATAATCTATGGGAGATAAAAAAAATAGTCAAGTTTTTGTTAATAACCTTGTTGTATTTAAAGTGCAGGATTTATGTACAAAAATAGTTGCATTGGCCTCAGGATCTCAAAGAAACAAAAAAAAAAACAGCAAAGGCACAACCTTGAGAGATTAGAGCAACAGATTAGAAGACAGTACAACAGTAACGGAAAGGCCAGTAAACATGGAAAAAAAACATTTTGTGCCAGAAGGTGATCTACATTGCATTGAAATACACAGTAACTCCTCTGATGCTTCTTGCACAGACTCAGGAATGGCCTATTCTAGACAGTTAAACTTCAATAATACTATTTCTTAATTTTGCTATTGGATTCACACTTCACCATAATCTCTACTGAGACATAATGAAAACGCAACAGTCTTATGTTGTACAACAGTGGATTATTAGGCACATAGATATAACTTGTATTTTAAATACTGCGTTTAAATATTATTTTAAAGGTCTGTTGAGCAAGTAATACTGTAACATGGAATAACAAAATACTGAGTCCAAGTCATGTGATTTCTGGATACACAAGTTAAAACTGCAATCTGTAGAAAAACTGTATAAATAAACAATCACAGAAAAACATTATTTTGACTAATATAAGAACAGAAAAACACACAGCTGTGGCCTACATTGAGTAATGACGATTGCTTGGTTTCTATTGACATTAGAAAGCCTAATAGACTGATTTCCAAAAGAAACACTACATTTGAAGCCTATTCCTTAAAAACCAGGAAACTGGCTGCGTGAGGGGATTCTGCTGGAGAGATACTGCAGGAGGATATGACTGGCAGAGCACTAGAACAATCCAGTGAGTGACCACCACTGTAGCCAGCTGCACAGGAAGGAAGATGGAACAACCAAACATCCAAAACAGTGTGTGCAGAGGTGGCCCAGCGGGTCAGCACTGTCAGGACTGTTAGTGCTGTAGAAGGTCATACACTGTACAAATGTTTTAATTTCAAAGGTGGGTCACGTCATAATCAAAAGATTATCGTGATTCTTTAAACTACACTTTTTAGTCACTTTTGCTATGATTTCGTTTGATATCTGTTTAAGATATCTGAAAAATAAGTCATTAGACCTCAATGATGCATTTCTTTTGAGCATCAGTATAGTTTCTACATATACGGTACCAAATACAGCTGGAAGCAAAAAACCCACTCAAGTTCTCACTAAAAGATTTTAGGAATCTGCAACTAGAAGACAACTATCTATATTGCCTAGACATTACTCACTGTCATAGTTTAGAAGACTGATATCTAAACATACAGTAGGTTTTCCTAGACTCCTGAATGAGACTTGCTGTCACAACACTAAACTTGTCTCCTGTAGCATCTTTGGAGTAATGGGGATAACGAATAATTCTACAAATTCGAAAAAATTCCTTGTGTCAATTTTTTTTTTAGACAGATTTTAAATAAATCAGTTTAATAAATTAAAATAAAATGGCCAGTTGACGTGTCAAAACTATACTGAATTGTAAGAAAATGTCGACAAGTGAAAATAAAGCAATATTGCAATCAGACTCCAAGTGTGTGGAGGGCCACAGTCACGTGTTCACACCCCTCAATCAACATCTCAATCCAGATTACACAGATATTGGCCTCCCCTGGTAGGGCAGGTCAGAACTTGTCTACTCACCACCCCCCCCAGCAAAAAATCAATGTTAACTGTGAACTCAGCAGTTTCTCTTTCGGTGTTTTACTAACGTGAATCACAGGACCGATGCCCATACTCGACAAGAAAAGCAGGTCGTGATTTTAGTCCTTGTTTAAATGTGTGATGCCTTACACCTCAGAATAATTGTCCTATATGTTACAAACGCACTTGGTACAAAATAGCATCCATAAAAGCAATAATTAAATAAGATCAGGTCCTCTTTTGAAGCTGGGCAAGAGTATAAGAAAGGTTACAATCAAAAGGAAGCCAATTGGCCCATATATCCCGTTTGGTAGTTAGGAGCTAAAGAATCCCATTGATCTCTGGTTGGTCCAAACAGCCTTATTAAGATGGATAAAAGAGTGATCAAAACGTGCACAGCTTCTTTTAAAAAAATGCTTAGCTACGCTTCTTAAGTATAAATATTTGCCATAGTTTCTAATCCATAAGAAAATGTGCTCAAGTCACATAATCAAAGGCATGTATAAACACGTCTCCACCTTGAATGCCATGCAAGTGAAGGCAACTCACCTCACTCAGAACAGAGATCGGCATTTTTCTGCATTGTTTAATATATCGCCAGGTTTTCAGATAATTTGCTGAAGATCACACTTTTCAGGGTAGTTGGATTAAAAAAACAAACATGTTCACTGCGTCTGACAGTACATTACGAACTATTAACCTTTTGCATGGGAAGGTTTAACTGCGTGTTAGAGAAAGTCTATCTTCTATCTGACTTCTTATAATTCAGGAGGGGCTTAATTACATAAAGTGTTGTGGGAGAATGGAACAAGCAACCTAGCCATGTTGTTAAAGCCGATACCTTGGCTTCTTTAAAAGAACAGCTCGATAAGATCTTTGGATGAATTAGCCACTAAAAACCAAACTGTGGTCCTCGTTAAAAAAAAATAGAAAAATGTATATCTTCATGACTTCCTCGTGTCAAGAAACAACATATCTCCTGTCCATAACAACTACAAATGTCTTTACTGGAAATGAAGATGGTTCCCTACAAGTTAAGAGCAACAGTAAATAAATCTTGTGAATAATCTCACCCACCTTGTTCCAGGAAAATATACAATGGAAATTATTAAGAATAACAAGTTATAAACTCAGTTGACAAAATAGGCTTGCATAATCTTGAGGAAACAGACTAAAAGACTAGAGTGAAGATCCATCTAAGAAAGCATAGAAGGCAATACTGCTTTATGCTTGTGGTATACTTTAAGACACTATATTTCAAAACAAAAATAGTTTAAGGAATATTTTGACAAAGCATGGCTAGCTAATGTCTGAAAACCCTGGCTTCATCGCTCTGACCTGAAACATCGTGACAGGGATATTCAGTGTCCAGTCTTATGGGGGACATTTTTAACACGTGTTGTTGATTCAACCAATTAAAACCAGGCTGCTAGTGTCGAAACCAAGCTGTAGAAGTCCAGTTGTTGCAAACGTTCTGTCATGTCTTGTCCCACTACGAACTGTAGTTTGCTAAATGGCCCCCAGGCTGTTGTGATAACATGAATTATTACATTTTAAGGGGGGAGGGGAAATTAGCAGTCTAGATTGGTGTTTTTGTGACACTGGGCTTGTAGAGTAAGCACTCATATCTATTTTTTTTAATGTTCTTCTTCAGTGCTGCACTGACAGGAAATGCTGAAAAATGTTTTCCCTAACTATCCAACCATCCATTTTCTAACCTCTTTATCCAGTTCAGGGTTGTGGGGTGAGCTGGAGTCTATCCTGCCAAGAAACAGGCACAAGGCAGGGCACACTCGGGATGGGACTCTAATCCACTGCAGGGCAATCTTCCCTGACTAAAGTACCCAAATTCAGATTTAACACCAGCATCTAACCCAGAGATCAGAAAGGTTGTGAAGGGACGCAGAGACACTGATTATATGAGTACTGTCAGGCAATTGTACACTCAATAGCTAAAAAGACCATTAAAAAAAGTTATAAATATAAAGAAGAAAATGCAACTGGAAGATATTTATACCTTAAATATGTTTACATCATCCGCCTTTGTGCAAAGTGTGTACACAATACAGTGATTTACAATACTGTATGAAACCCTTTTCATCTACAATACACTGCTCATTTTCCTATAAAAGACCTTTTAGGATAACAATCCTGTTTTTCCCCCCAATATACATATATATTAATATACAAACATACATGATCTGTACATTGTTTGTATGGTTCCATTGATGCATACTGCCTTCCATTTTAAAACTATCATTAAATCTTATGCTGGCGGTTTTATAACTTAATTTAAAAAAAAGAAATTAAAAAGTTGATCAGTTTTCATCTATGTAAATTACACAAAATCAGTATGCAAGCATGGAACCATAAGAAATACTACTACAGTATGTGTTTGCATATCCACTAAAGCACCCTGACTTGTTATTCTCAGGCTTCAACGCCAGAGCCGTTAAATTCAGACTGCTGTGGTGTTTTTCACTGCAAAATAACAAATGCCATCCACTAGTCACAGCTTTATGGCTTGGTCTCGCATGTTCCTGTGTGAATACATGTCTAGCATGTACCCTGCATTATGTACAACATCCTTTTCAACCTATTTGAGATATGATATTAAAACAAAAAGGATACTTCAGATACTTCACATTAATAATCTCACTGCAGGGTTTAACAAGTACATGGATTTCCAGACACTTCTGTTAAGACTCTTCTAGCTGCAGGCTGATGAACTCCTGTATACACTTCCTGTACTGCATCTCAGTGTGGCTGTTGGTGGAATATTGACCTGTCTGCCCATAGGGGCCCTCGGCTTCCCTCATCTCGTCGTTCATCTTGGCCAGACGCAACCTGCCAGGGGAGAGGCAAGGGGGAAGTTAGTCACGCTGTCCTGCTGCTGCAGCACTGACGTCATTCATCCTGCAAAGCGTCTCCGTCCTCTGCTGGAAGCGGTATGGAACGGTTACCATCAGGTGGTAAAGGGGAACTGCATCGTTGTTTTAAATGTTTGGGGTTTAGAAAGAATTGACCCTGATGAGCGCGTTTCAAACCACAATGAAAGCAAAATGTACTCGGTAACATGTAAAAACTCCAATTTTCATAAAAACAGACAAAATTTCCATTATCTGCGATTCAGAACAAGGCAACAAAGGTTCCAGTGACGCGAGGCAGCCCTATGACACTGCAAACAAGCAGGCTTGAGAACACATCTCCTTTAATCCAACAGAAATATCGCTCCCGACTTCGAGACGGTTTTTCCAACACATACTAATTACTTGTTAACTCTGCATGCAGGTCACGTTGGAACATTTCTGCGGTGAAATGTCTCCTGCATCACCGGCACTTATTCGCTCGCACATCACATCACGCTATTCATTAGAGGCCGCGTGACGTCGGACGAACGCGTGCAAACTCTTGCTCTCACCAGCGGCGAGATTAGGGGGTTTGCAACAAAGTGGAGGCCGGACAGTACTTTCACAGAGTTCACATTTTGTGCTTAATCCAGAATTTGTAAATATTTGCTATACAGTCAATTAAATTATATTGTTACTGAGATTTAATAACTGGTCTGAGAAATTGGGACTGCAGTTCCCCTTAAAGAGAGATGTGCTTTTCACATTAGAAACTGGAATAAAGTTTCAACCTACTTCTGTATCTTCAGAACTGTATCCATAGGACACTTGCATTACTTCTAAAATCCTATTCCTCCTTTCTTTGCGCACTTCAGAATTCATCTTTGGAACGTCTTTCTTACAGTTACTTTTCTTCACCACTAGAGGCTCCCGTTTCCCATTCCTCACCAGTACAGTACTTAAAATACAAAAGCAACAGTGCGAGGTAGCACAGTGCAGAATTGTTTTACTTGGATTTCTGCCTAAATGCAATTCCACTTGCGCATGCAATTCGCTTACATTTCTACATACTGATTTCTACAAAATAAGCAGCCATTCTGAGATGGCTATCAGGACACTTATGTGCTGTACTAGCCAGACATAACAGTGACACCTACTGTTCGTTAATAGTACGTGATTCAAGGATTGTTTCCTACTCGATGGAGATACTTTTACTATGAAATGTTGGAATATAAAAAACGTTTCTAACATCTACACTATCACTAGTATTTAACATTCTTACACCTTTAGCCTTTTGGTATATGCAACCCCCCCACTGCAAAGAGAACACCACAACACCAAGCCCTCATTACTATCAACAGGACAACATGTACTCACAATGTGACTATGTCTGCATTGGCAGCATCCACAGCTATCGACAAGGGGCTCTTATCTTCAACATCCACGGCGTTCTGACTGGCCCCTCTCTTCAGGAACAAGCAAACCTGCCTGTTGCAGAACAAAAATGACCAAACTAAGATGTAAATCTGTTTTTTTATTATCTCTATTTTTAATACATATAAATCTATACATTAAGATTGATATATATATAGATGTATATATTATTATATAATAAAATACTGTATATAAAGTTATATATAATAAATTGTATACAGATTTATTAGGTTATAGATTTATATATATAAAGCATAGCTGCATTTCACTTATTATTTAGCATCTCAGAGGTGAAGTACAATGTCACTAGGGAATGTCACTTAATATGTAACAACTGTCTTTCGAAGTGGGGAACTGTGTCAGCGTGTGAGCTGCAAAGGTACAGTACAAGCAGAGGGAATGTCCATGCTAAACAGCAGAAAGAAGAAAAAAAGCATTTCAGCTGTGAAGCCTTCTTCAGGCATGGAATTAGTTTTATTACTTGACTAGGGAAGATCAAAGAAGGCAAACATCCTAAGACTGTGTCTGATTTGCAGGTTAATCTCCCTCATGCTTAATGCAGCCATTATTCCATTGTACAAGAAGGTGAACTCTAGTAGTTTATATTTAGCTCGTGTTGACATATATCCAAAGAGATAATCTTCTGTTTATTGCTGAATCCTGGATAATTTTTTGACCTGAAATCAAGCCCAGTCTCCAGCAGAAAGATGAAAGAGAGTACATCGAGGTCCTATTCTTCTTTTCAAACAGACAGTAACGGGTCAGAGAGCGAGCAAAGACAGGAACCCCAGAGTGGCAACTTAGTCTCTATAGAAGAGTTCAAAAGCAGTGCAACCAGATGTATTTGGCAACAGGAGGAGATTTAGTTATCGGTCTGATCTGATGAATCAAATAAGAGAAGTGGACTGAATACCCTGTGTGCCCCAGGATAGTGGCGTGGTGGAGGGGTCCTCTGCCGCGAATATCTTGGTGATTGACGTTTGCGCCATTCTGAAGCAAAAACTCGCAGCTCACCAAGGAACCCTGAAAGAGGACATGAACAGCGTGACTGTGAAGTACAGCCTAAGGACAAATGAAGACTGCAGCCCTAGGAACCCGGCTGTTCAAATTAAAGGAGACCCATCCTAAGGGCCTCAACATCACATTTCCAGTACAGACAGTGATAACGGAGCAGAGTGAGATTCCCTGTCAAGGAGTCTCTGCAAGTCAGGTATCTTGTAATCTCAGGCCACAAGCCGTCATGAGGAAAAGTAGTCAACATTTTCTGTCAAATCTAAAAACGAAGCATTAAAGTTTTAGGCCATTGAAGGGAACAGAATCTATATATTCTCGACCTACTCGGACACAGATCCTTCTTCAAAGAAATGTGATATGCAATAGGTTTAAACTGACCAAAAACGTAAGACAGGACAGGATGGTCAGCGGTTTACCGTTGTGGAGACCGTGACTGTCCTTAATTCGAGTAGCTACAACACGAGGTTTGGAAGATGTACATGGACGGGAGGAGTGCTGCTGGAAGCCCCTGCCGCACACTTACCCCGTGGACAGCCTGTATGAGGGGAGTCTTGTTGTCGTCCTCCGTGTTCACCCAGTTCACCTCGGCCCCGTGGGCCAGAGCCTCGGCCATGTCCGGCAGGCTGCGCGCCGAGGAGGCCCAGTACAGCTGTGGGCCCGGAGAGAAATCCCTGGGCTCGGCGAACACCACCAGCTCGGGCCCAGCCAGGGGGGCAGGCGTCTCGGGGCCCTCTGCACGACGGGAGGACGACAGCGTTTAAAAACTCCCAAGCGTGTTCCCTTACGTCAGACACTTCACTCGGACGTCTGGTGGCTTACCCGGTTCGCTCAAGCTGTTCGTGGAGGGGGTGGAGGCCAGCATTTCCCTGCTTCCATCAGCGCTGTTCTGGATCCCACTGTCGGCACTCTTTTCTGCAACAGAGGGGGGCAGAGGAGGTTCCTTAGTCCCGCGTGATGAGCAGCTGCTCTACCAAGCGCACCTGTGGTGGACACCCACAGCGTCTCAGAGAAAATGGGAAGCGCAGCTGGAAGAGTCATTTTTTTGCTCCCACCATCACCTTTGTTGCAACAGCAGCACGGAGGATGTTCTGTGGGTAAAACGCAGCTTTTAAAAATGACCGAACCGGCACGCAAGGGGGGGGGGGGACGCATAACGTGGGGAAGCTGCAAAGTCCAAACGTGATGAGTGACGCCTCGCGTGTACGAGGGGAAACAGCAGCCGATGCCGTCAGCAGAATGGATGGAATGGATGAATTAGGTGGAAAAAAAATGTGGCCAGCCAAAATAACAAATCTGCAACACAGCGACGATGGATTCGGAAATACCCTTATCGTGAGCACCTGACACACCGCAGTATCGTATGAGCGGTGAAGAAACGACGAACAATGACCACAGCTGGAGAGCACTATGATGCAGAAGGCCCGAGCACATGTGGAGGACTGCAGTGAAGGGCAGAGGACACGAGATGAGAATGGTCTGCGAGTGCAGTACTTACTACTCCGCAGCTTTGAGGAGGTATCAAAGTAGGAGAAGAGCGAGTCAAGCTCATCGGGACAGAAGAGAGACTCCCGGCGGGTATCCTCGTTGAAGGTTGCGGCTGCTGGGGAGCGTGTGGGTTAGTACACAAAGCACGAAGCAGGCCAGAGAGAGACGGGGGTGGAGGAGGGAAAGATTCGTTTTGCAGAAGAAAAGGACATGATAAAAGCATGGGTGTTAGTCAGAAATCCAGAACAGGCTTTTCTTGCCTTGAAATTGCCATTAGTTGACCGTGTGACCGCGACAGACATCTGAGGACAGTAATTCAGACATGCTGGTTAGTGTTATTGCACATCCTGAGCCCCTTACATGTTTAGAAAGGTATTTCAGTGCTTCACGGCATAATCACAACATGCCTTGATATGCTGTCAAACCAGGAGCAGATGATTGTCGCGACTTCCTTCTTGAACGGTCAAAGGGTTGTGGAACAGAGCGCCTCTCACCTGACGCATTGGAGGAGGGGTGCTGTTTGGGTGTGGGTGGGGGCGCCCGCGGAGGAAGGTGCTCTGAACTGCTGCTCAGGCGTTTCTCCTGCTTGCTCAAGGCTATGACCTTCGACCTCTGCTCGGCCGCCGTCGGCTTCCGCACAAACCTCTTCTCGACGTACTTCGCTCTTATGTAAGCTTCGATCTCGTGCCTGAAACCGAAAGGGGAAGTCGGGTGAAGTCCCAGTTCAGTCGGCACAACAGCTCCTGGCAGGCAGCGTGAGGAACACGGCCCAGATGGGCTGGGAGAACACGGACATTCTCGGGAATCAGCGCGTTACCTTGGATCGCCAGGCTGTGGCTTTCTGGCTCCGAGCTCCACCCTCCGAGCCTCGTATATTCGGTTAATGACAGAATTCCCCAGCTCACACATCAGCTGCCAGCACAGAGAAGCTCAGTCAAACATCTCGACAATGGCGTATAAAACACAACAGTAATCCTGCAGATTTTTAGTGTCACACAGTTAGAATGTCACAGTCTTTTCTTTCTTGCAGGTGCCAGGGTACTTGTAGTGTACTTGAAATCCGTCGATTATCACATTGAAGAAATAAAGAGAGCTTTTCTGGGTTTCACTTTTCAATCATCCCTACAAACCTTGCTTTTTGGAAGGGCTTTTAGCGTGACACACTGCAAGCGCCCTCTCTTCAAACCAACACTCATTTTTCATAAAGCACTTCTCTATCTGCTTAATGCTGTCTGCTGTCTTGCACTCATGTGTATATTTGAATTTTGCTTCTGCAATCCAAGCCACAACCTGACTCACCTTTAGCAGTTCAGGCTCCCAGGTGTCTAACGTTAGAGATCTGACTTTGGAAAAGTGGACACCTAGACTCCTAAAAAAAAAAGAAAAAATTATATGTTTGCGATACTTGTTCAGCTGCTTTGGACCCGCGCCTCATCCTGTAAAGCTGTTAAGTACTTTGAGTGGAGTGTCCAGAAAAGCGATATACAAGTGTAAGGAATTATTATTATTATTGTAAACATTACTGTTAAGATCACTTTAAGAGTCATGGGTCAGTCATTGAATATGATGTGCATAGGGCAATCAGCAATTACTAATAAGCACAAAAATGAGAAATTCAGTACAGTATCCAACTTTGAAAACGAGAATATCAATTCAGCAAAGAAGCAGCTAGGAGGATAAAGTTTGCATCATTTCATCTAAACTGCAAAGGACTACCACAGACCACTGATCCAGACAATCAGGACATTCCTTTTCTTCTACACACCTTTCACTACCGTCAATAAGAAAGGCTCATCACAGTGCATCTCACTGTTCCTTTTGGACTTGACGGTATTTCACGTTCAGGGAGCTGACACGTTAGAAGCTGGGCCGCCAGCAAGCTGCCTGGGTTACCTGTGGATGCCTGAGCAGTCGATGCACAGCGTAATGCCCAGGTTGATGCTCGCCCAGCGGGGGTCTGCCAGCCCGCAGTCACAGCAGACGGCATTGCCCGGGATGGCCAGCACCCGCTGCAGGGCGCTCTCGCCCTTCAGAGACTTCTCCTTCGGCTCGCTGCCCGAGTCCAGGCTGCCGGTGGACGTGGAAGATTTCCTGTCCAGCTTCTGCAAACACCAGACGCGTCACCTCACATGTATCTGCCTTTCCTGCCAGGATTACTCAAACCCTAACGCTGGTATCGGAAAGCGGATACCCTTGTGAAAAGGGGGCTTTAGAAACAGAATCAACAGAGAAGTTAAAAAGTATTTGCTTGTTTTCACTTTGAAAACACTCCTTTCAATGTCCACAATATTCTCCAGTGCAATTTGCCTCGTGCAACCTGAAACAGATAAACTACAACTTGACTTGAAAACGAAATGAACATTTCCACCTGCGTTTCCTAGGAAAGTGGAAATTATCTTGCAACGTCTTTGGATTACGGTATAAGTTCCAATCTAAAAAACACTTTTTCTCCTCTTGATTAATGTGGATAGCTTTAAACTAAATCTAACCATAGCAAAAAAAAAAAACTATAAAAGTAGAAGACGCCTGTTTTAATGGGTTGGAAAAACAAAGAGCCATGGGATCCATAAAATGCAAGCTGTGGAAGACAAACAGATGTGCAGTGTTTAAGCAGGGGAGGTTGACTGACCTCGGCATCTTCTCCTTTCTCCCTGAATGCCGTGGCGATGCTGTTCTGCACAGCTTTAATCCAGGCCTGCCGCAGTTTCTCCGAGTCGGCCTGCATCATGCAGCTCCTGGAGGGGGGAGAGGGGGGAGGGGGTTGGGGCAGAAATTCATCAGCCCTCCTCTCAGTCAATGTACAGTTTCTGCACCACCACAGCTAGTGGTTTACCTGCTTCCATTGTCAACAGCATTAAGGTGACCAGCCAAATCAATCCCCCTCGCTCAAAATAAACACTGTCGCTATTCCACAACTGTTTGGTATTCAAACAGTGCTCGGAGCTCGGCTGCTACCTCCCCGAGGACAGTCCTGCAAGGTCAATGCTTCTACTCATCACTGGCCTCACAAACTGTAAGCCTTCCTATTGAACACGCAGGATCCAATTTCCTGTGTCAGGGAAACTGTGCCCGCACTAATTAATTAACGATCGAGGGCGCCCTGCACTGGAAAGGAAGGAGGGTGGAACAGCAGGTGTTTCACTGGCGTGTCCATGTCCTGCGCAGCGCCGTCTCGGGGGGGGGGGGGGGGACTCACTTGGTGGGCGAGACCACCTCGAAGCAGAAGCGGCGCTCGATGTCCTCGCAGTGCTTCACCGTGCAGAGCCGCAGGTCCTCCACCACTACCGTGGGGTTGTCCTGGTGGGGGACAAGCCCGGCAGGACAAGGGGTCAGCAGTGCGCCGCACACTGACACAGCACTCACACACCCCAGGGGTCATGACGCGTCTTGGGCCACAGCTACTTCACTGCACTTTTCGTGGTCAAAAAAAGAGGCCAAATGGACACCTCGCGGCTCCAAAAACCACACCCGACTTTGGGATTTCGAACGGGGACTCCCAGAAAGCATACACATGGCCCTATACAGCTCTTTTAGAGATGTGGGCTTTGTAGAAGAAATGGTGTTAACACTTCTCCTGAATACAGGTCAAGTGTTAAATAAGATGCAGAATACAAATCTAGAAAGGCTACACATTAGAATACAGCACAATCTTCTTTTGATAATATACTTTTTTATATGCGTTCTACGCTTAAATATTAAAAACAGAAATTCAGAGGTCTTACCTTAAATTTCTTCTGGTAAACTAGCTGATTATTTTGAATAGAGAACCAGCGCCTGAAGATTTAAATAAACAATGATTAAGTTTATTTAACTATAATAAGGCAAACTCTACAGAGCTTTCGTGGACCAAATGCATAAGATCAGGAAATAAGAACACACAAACTGCAGGTACACCCAATTACTTTTAAAAAAAAGAAAGTGTCTCGAAAGGTACATACGTATTTATTAGATTTGAGATCTATATAAAAGAGAGTTCTTTTTAAAACTACCATAATGATAGACAGCATTTAATTTTTAATTAAATATTTCGTGAAATAAGTACTTATATCATACTAATTCGATAATCTAAGATTATAATAATGGCCTTAGTTTAGCAGTACAGGTTTTATGAATGGAAAGAATGAAAAGTTCTTTTGAACTACACATTTTCTAGTAATTTTACATCATTACCTGCACATACAACCACGTAATTTGACATCATTACCTGCACATAAAACCACATTTTAAAATATTTCAAATTTCTGATTGATTTTTTAAATTTTCCCAGCAGCACACAAAATCCATACACTGTACATCAGATGATGTGCAATTCATGATCAAACACATTACTAACTAAAATGCTAGCAAAGCCACTAAGCGAGTCCTTTTAGATGACAAGCACAGCTTGCTTGTAGTGTTTAGAGATTATTACTATGATTACTCCTTTTTGCTTCCATTTTCACAGACTGCAAAACAACTTCTTTGCATCCCAGCCACTTTTAGTTTTTGCTGAACACCTTACTGGCACTGCACACACAAGTCCACAAAGGCATCAAATCAAAGTGCAACTTCATGTGCTCAAAAAGACAAACCAGAATAGAACCTGTTCTTTCCCCCAAAAAAAGAATCATACCTCATAATTCTTTAACTATTACACTAACAAGAAAAGTTTATAATACCGTTAATGTATTACATCTAATTGGTTTAATAAATAACGATGATCATACACACAAGAGGTACCAGGCTTGGCAAAACAAGCTCTATACAGCAATCATTTTTAAGGGCACTGTATAATTGTATGCACTGTAGGACCTACCATTAAACTGGCTTACTGACATTTATCTGTAAAACTGCTTACAGTACCAGTCCTACAGCAACTGCGAAGAAAGACCGAAACTGTACAATCAAGTCAGTAACTTGTTTAATCCAAAATAAAATGTCTCATAACTGAAATTTGACAAGGAAAATAATGTGGACAAAGCTGCCTTGACTGATGGAGGAAAAAAAAGGCAAAACAATTTATTGAATTGAAAAGTAGTATGGACTCCTTTTCCAGTTTGATAAGGCCCTAGCAAAGCACCTTGTATCATTTAGGGGGGTGGGGGTCAAGTCAGCACAGATCACAACACCACCTCTCACTGGCAGCAGCAGTGTTAAACCGAGTTTAGGATAATACTGTGCCTTCCTCATAAAGACATGGACAAGGTATTGATTTTCTGCCAATTGTTGCAGCCCAAAATAGAAGTAATTAAAAAGGCACCTTTAATATTTTAGGGTTAATTCTGCTAACATATATAAATATTACTATTAGGTTTGTATAACAGATAATGGGTTAGGATCTGAATATTTTATAAAATTAGTATCAGTAACAAGCTGAAAATGATCAGCACAAGAAAATATTTATATACAATACTTGTATATAATATCTGCTGTTTTAAAAAAAAATCTAAGGGCTGAGCTTTACTGTGTCACACATCCAGTGGGCCAGTTAATGTACTGTGCAAAAACCCATGAAATTGCTTACCACACAGTCCCAGGAGACCTATTACAAGTTCCTCAACTTTTTGTTAAAGAAAAAGTAAATAACATGAAGTCTAAGGACAGTCAGGAGAGCTTTCAGCGACCACAGTCACACTGTCTCAGTGTAGATACGCTCCATAAAAAGCAAGGCGACATCACAGAAAGAGCATTTATTTTCCTGCAAACTCACTTCTAGAGGTGTGTCCAGTTAAGCTAGTTTATTTTCATCTATATTCGGCAATCAGGACAATTTCTTTAAACAGTGGCCAGGTACATGATTGCAAGTAATGTGAAGCTCAGCAGGCAGGGGTCAGAGCAGGGATGAAGCACAGGCAGGGATCAGGGTTTGAGGTCAAAACAAGCAGGTCAAGTACCTGTTTTGGGAGGGCTTTTTCCTGGCATGGGACAAATAGGAGGAAGGGTCAAATCATGAGGAAAGTTTAAAACAAACACATACAAAGAGACAAAAAAAACAGGAACATTTGAATATGCTCAAAGCCAGTGATGATGCTAGAGAGGCAATGGCAGAAAAAAAGTGATGACTATTTAAACTGCATATAAAAGCAAAATTTACATGTATGCCACTACAGCTAGATGGGAAGTAATTCATTAAATGGGATTCTATTTGCTTATGTAAACAATTAGCAACAAATGACTCTCAGTGTGAATGAAAGTGATAAGAGTGTTAAATTATCTGTTAAATTATCTACCACTTAGTTCTACAAACCAGCCTACAAAAAAAAACAACAACTTTCAGAGGCTGGCTGCATCATGCAGATTTATCTTCATACTCAAGGACAATTTTTGCTGTGGATTCCAATTTAAATGTCATGCTACGGAAAAGATCATCTGATTTCTGCTTACGACAGTGCCCCGAGACTTATTATCCTGTAAATACCTACTCAGTGCCACAACTAGTCCTTTCAAACGAGCCAGCTGCAACTAAATTATTTTTCAGAGTGGGGTAGCACCATTAATTAATTGTAGCAGCTTGTAAGAATCTGATTAATGCACATGAAGAAATTACTCTTTGTTAGGGATTTGGAATCTCATTCGACTGCCACATAAGAAATTCATTCCTTAACAGTCTCCCACTGACACAACAGGTGATCTCCACCTCATGGTCTCCTCAAAATCAAAAGAAAAAGAGCTGCAGTACAGAAGGCAGATGCAGTCTAACAGGATGAAAGGAGGAATATTTTTTCTGTTGACAGCATCCATTTCCTAAATGTCAACTGATCCGTTGGGATACATTTCCCTGGTTTGGAAGGTGAAATGTCCCTCTCCAGTCTTTTGCCCCAAGTATCCAGGAATTCCTACCTGTTCCATGTTTTGAAGGCATTGCTCGCTCTTTTGAACAGATAACCCTCCATGGCAATTCCATTGTCTGCATCCACATTGTACTCCAGCTTGGTGTCGTCATTCGAGAAGTCCTGAGACGAAAACGAGAGGCATCAGGCAGAGACCAGATCGCCAGGATCCAGCTGCTGAAGTCAGCGTGTTGGATGAGCATGGAATCAAAAGTGAAAACAGACTCCGGACAAGTATACTTCTAGATTCAGGAAGACAATGGCCTTATCGAGATGATCGCCATGACGATGGTGCTTTTTTTTTTTTTACACACTAAACTGCCAACGTTTGTGGAACTGGTGCTCGGTTTCAGATGACTTGTGTAATTCAGCCTGAAGCTATGCCTCCTAACCCAGTTGTAAAGTGTGGGTAGTGGGTATTAAAAAGTGAAATTAAGCTATAAAAGAGGTGTTTGGTGCAACAACTTTCTTTGTAACAAGACTTTTCACCCAAAATGTGACACAAAAGATTGCCGACTATGTGCTGGTTTACAAGCAAAATTACACAAAATATTTAGGGAGAGCAAGAAACAGTAGCTTTTGGGTAATTTTGAAGCAAACAATTAGAAGTTGAAGAAAAACAAAACAAGGAGTTTTGGACAACTTGTTTCAGAAACCATACTTAAATTTGGGACATATAATGTCAGAGGAAATGGTAGGATCAGGATTTCTGGTGATTCAGACCCCTTCATTCATAACATTTATCATCTGATTTATTTTTAGTAGGAAAATGATCTCCATTGAGGACATATGAGCCTTTTCATCCTCACCAAAGTCTCTTTGCTCAGTAATACAATACATGTCATGAAACTCCAATGAGTAGTGACAATGTTTTTGAAATCTACTCCCAACAACCCATAGCATAACAGATTGCGTAAATTAAGAGTTTCACTCACTGTTAATTTGTATGTTTGCCTTTCATTCAGATGCTTCATTTATAAAATAACACAAAAGGCTAACAAATTAAGTTTTGAGACCATCAAAATAAAATTCCTTAAGGAATACAAACATTCATAAACCCCTATTTTCTTCAATCCTTCACTAACCTCCTGTCCTCTAATTCAGTATGTTAACGTATTTTACAATTTTATACACATAGCAGGTTGGAAACCATTATTACTGGAAGGCCCTTCTCTGGCCCTTCTCTGAGTGGTTTTCTTATATGCAGTGGGGAAAACTGTTATAACTTTCAGGGCAATGAATGCCAAAGCGTTCACAGGATGTCCATTCAAAAACCAGACAATAAATGCACCAAAAATTAAATGTAGATCTTACTTCTGGGTCAGTTGCTCAGAAACGTCAGCTCATTGATGCTAGTCAGTAAGGATATACTACTCTGTATGCTTCTTTGCAGAACCAGAATGCAAAATAGCAGAATGCAGAATGCTCTAGCAGAATCTGAAAATGAATTATTCATGGCTTCCAGAATCTCATGTTGGCTCTACTGCTACATTTTTATCACAAAATCTTGACTCCCAGATTGAAGTCAAGGGTTCTTTCTGACTGCTGCCACTTTAGCTTAAGAGTTAAATAAGACAGCAGATGGGAGAAGGGGGTGACGGAACAAACAGCAAGTGTTTCTCAATGCCAGTGTACAGTATGTCTCCAAGTAGGAACTGGTCTCCACAGTGCTGACAAACAGCCAGAAGTAAGCTCCTTGTTCCTCTGATTCTTTGCAATGCACAAATAGAGTCTACAGTTCCCTTCTCTCACCGCAGTTGAGACTACAATGCTAATAAACTGCTTCTCAGTCTAGAATTTTCCATGCTGACCCAGTCGGAGGGAGCAGTTTATTTTTGGAGGCAGAATATTTACAGCTAACACTGCCAGGACCTGTGTTCCTGTTGGAGGATCAGAATCATCTCAGATGAATCAGATCCCCCCCAAGTGCGATTTGTAAAATGTTTATGACTGATCCTCCTGATAACGGGTTATTTTCATTTATCAAAGGGGGAGACTGGTTTAAACTCCAGTCCCCAAAGATGTGATGTGATGTGATCCTGGAACCCAAAACCAATTTTCAAAGCTATCTGAAAAACGTTTTCTCATCACTCTACAGATTTTTAGATGCCATTTGAACTACCATACAATCCTCTTTGGAGCTAGAAGGCGTGTCATTTTGTTTTTGTTGTAACGCTGTATCATAAAAAAGAATAACACACTTTGATTTAACTTAAAATTCTTTAGATACATGCAGGCCTATCTTCTGCAAGCAATGAAAACCTTCTCGTGGAATCAGCAGATTTTAAAACAATCATGGATGGAATCCAGTTAAAATCTCTGGGTATAGGCGATGACTACTCTGAAACTAGATCAGATTCATATTTCTGTTTCAGAAAATAAGAGAAAACAGAGAAACAATGAGGAATGAGTAGGTTCAGACACATTAAAAAGCTACCTACAGCTGTCGAGCTCCAAGCACAAAAGCAGCGGACATCTGGCAATGAATCAGACTCTGCCACCTAAAAGTTTGTATTAGAACAAGGAAAACTGGTTTGGCCAAGAGTCAAAGGGGAAAACACTGTACTGTACTTAAATCAAAATCACAGATGAGAACATCCCCACACGACTGGTCCTGATGGCCTGATGAGACTAGATCCCTAGGCACGTCCACTCTTGAAATACACAGCTTTTTCATCTTTGCCACTAATGCTTCACCGTGAGCAGCTAGTTTACCGCACTCCAGCCCATCATCCCTCACCTCTTAAAACACAGATAAACACAAAGGGTAAACACTTACCAGATACCACACATAATGGAACCTGCTGAAGATTTTCATGCTGCTAGCGTTCTTTGCTTAGGTTTATTCCAACTTAACCAGTGACTGGAATGAAGGCCAGAAAAATTCTGAATCCTGCTCAGTTCAGGGCATCTCTGTGACTGCCCCAGTGCAATGTTCTCTAGAAGCCTGCCCTACAATCGGGGCACATGGTAGGCTTACAAGAGTGTCTATACACTAGCTTCGATCACTACTAGTTGATGTGCATTACAAAGCAGGTCTGAGAGTTCTGAGCTGTGTAACTCAACCAGATGACCTGCTGTCTTAAATTAGCTCCTCCTCTCCACTTTTCAACACAGCAGTATAAAGACCAGTTCTGCATTCAATGAGGTTACTCCTATCCAGACAGCCAGTCAAATTAGTAGTGGCGATTGGAATAACACAACCAGGTTGCAGCAGTGACTTAATAAAGGTTTATCCAGCAATCTGTATATGAAACCTTTTATAATGTCATTAAGAGCATCAAATTTAGAAGCATAAAGGTATTATGTTTCACTGTTATCTGACATGAAATATGATGGTCATAAACAATAATTTGCACATTATACATACGCAGAAGTTAGCTAATTCCATAACTATGGGCTTTTTCATCCACACAGAAGGAAGTGACTGATAGAAATAAACAAGAACCTTCATTAGCAATATATCAACACTAGCTTACAAAATCCCAGGTTTTGGAAAATACATAGTTCATACTGGATAAAGAGCATACTGAGTTCTGTTACAGTAACCTCCTTATTCAAGAAAATATATTGAACTTTCATTCAATACAGTAAGACTGCCAGAGGACTTGAAATATTGAACCTATTTATCGAAATGCATATACTTATTTATGTAACCATACATAAGGTCAATACAGTAAGGACATTCTATTTGTTATTTAGCTAAATTAAATAAATCAAACTAACTTGACTTTAATGTGGATTATATGTCAATACATCCTACCGTATATAACCGAGATCATGCTCTCTGTATAGTGGGAGCTGCACAGTGTAATTAAGCATTCTGCTCCATAGGAGCTACAATCAAATCACTAAATTCAAGGTCTTGGAAGAAGCACAGAAATGAAGATACAATGGCACAATAAAAAGACAAAGGCTTACCTGCAGAGCAGCCTGAGAACAGCAAAGAGGGAAGAAAGAAGATCAGATTATAAACTGCAGATACAGGGAGCGGGAGAGCAGGAGGAAAAAAAGGCACTTGCATAAAAATAGCAGCCTGCACAGAGAGGGGAGGGCCGGGCAGACAAAGACAGAGCCCTCGACACGAGCAGTCAAGGGCAAGCTGGTGTTAGCACCGGCATCACATCCCTCTCTCCCTGTGGGGGTCTGCTTGAGCAACAGCCCGGACCTGACAGCTGCCCTGCTTCTCACCTGTTCTATAGCTTGAAAGAAGAAGTAGATAACACCGTTTATAAATCTGTTGGTTTTTTTACCAATAACCACAACTTTTTGCAAAGAACAACGACTGTTATCTCTACACTAAGAGGTGTCATGGGTACAGGCTGCTTGCAAATGAATGAAAAACGAGAGGATATCTGACACATTCCTATTTGTGCCGCATCACAGGAGCAGGGCTGTAATGGATCCTACCTGTCCTGTATGCATGCCTACCTAATCCTTCCTTTGCACTTTAATAATGCATGACACTGGCTAACAGGATACTGCATCTCTCTCAGGGATAAGATTGCACTTAAAAAAAAGGAGCTTTTCCCAGCAACTGGCATGACAAATTGTTAATTATGCTAATTACTACTGATTTAAAAAAAGCTTACTTAATACTGTATTAGACAGCAGTACAACAAGGCTACCTAATAATGTGTCTGTTCTCATCATCTTAGTTTCCATACGGCAGCAAAAAAGCCAGAAGTCTTTGCTGCACAATTGAAGAGTTTCAGTTAAAATCAGCAGTGCAGTACTAAAGCACAAAATCCTCCAAAATGGAAAATATTTTGAGAGGGCAAGAATTCAACACTGGAGAGAGGGTAACAAATGCAAACTGGACACTGCATACAGTTTAAAGAGTAATCAAACAATGAAAGAAAACACTTTCACTTCACCTTCCAAAGCACTTTCTGACATCAGCATGAACATGGTGAATTCTAATCTGAGAAATGTGTCTTTTATATATCTGAACACTTCAAGAGGATGTCTGTCCAGTTCCTTTTCTCAGATGACTACGTGCAAAAAGTACTATCATGGGTCACATGATTAAGCAGGACAGGCCGAAACTGAAATTCATTCATTTATACCAATACAGCATGCTGCCAGTCATGCTACTGCTGATCACATGACACGTCACCAGTCAGACTAGAGGAAACTATTATGTTGTTATTCTTACAATGGAACATATTAAATGTGGCTGCTTTCCATAAGAGTCAAAATCTTAGTATTTTCAACAACTGAGATAAACCCAGATCCTGCAGATGCTACAGGATTGTCATCTAATTTTCTCTGTGTTTGGCTGATTTTATCTGAAAAAAAAAAACAATTTTCATAGGCTATGCATTTTCTTTAGGTTCAACGCCAGGGACACACGACTTGTATAAAAGATAACAGATGACAAAAATTGATCAAATCAGGGGAGGTGAGAAGCCCTTACCTTCTGCTGGATGGTGGAGTGCTTCTGCTCCATGTCTCGTTTCTCCTTGGCTGCATCCACCACCAGCTGGTCCAGCTACGAGAAGAAAACAAGCCACTGTTCAATCACCTAAGTACAGTTGCAAGAAAAGGTTTGTGAACCCTCTGGAATTACCTGGATTACTGCATTAATTACTCATAAAAATGTGGTCTGATCCTCAACTGAGTCACAATAATAGACAAACACAATCTGCTTAAACTAATAACATACAAACAATTGTTCTTCTTCTTGTTAATATTGAACACATCGTTTAAACATTCACAGTCCAGGCTGGAAAAAGTATGTGAACCCTGGTAGAACCTCCTTTAGCAGCAATAAACTCCACCAAATGTTTCCTGTAGCTGCTGATGAGACTTGCACAACGGTTAGGAGGAATTTTAGACCATTCCTCCTTACAAAACTGTTTCAGTTCATTGCTATTTCTGGAATTCCTTGCATGAACAGCTCTCCAGGTCATGCCACAGCATCTCAATTGGGTTGAGGTTTGGACTCTTGACTTGGCCATTCCAGAACACAAATTTTCTTCTGTTTAAGCCATTCTGTTGTTGATTTACTCCTGTGTTTCAGGTCATTGTCTTGTTGAATCACCCAACTACTATTAAGCTTCAGATGACAGACCGCTACCCTGACATTCTCCTGTAAAATTTCTTGATACAATTTTGAATTAATTGTACCCTCTATGATAGCAAGCTGTCCAGGCCTTGAGCCAGCAAAGCAGTCCCAAACCATGATGCTCCCTCCACCATGCTTCACGGCTGGGATGAGGTTTTGGTGTTGGTGTGCAGGGCTTTTTTTTCTCCAAACATAGCGTTGTGCATTTCTGCCAAAGAGTTCAACTTTTGTCTCATCCATCCGTAGAACATTGTCCCAGAAGCTATGTGGAACATCCAGGTGGTCTTCTGCAAACTTGAGACGTGCAGCAATGTTTTTTTGGAGAGCAGTGGTTTCCTCTGTGGTGTCCTTCCCTTAACACCATTCTTGTTCAGTGTTTATCTTATAGTGGATCTTATAGTGAATCTTTGCAGGATGCCCACTCCTAGGGAGAGCAGCAACAGCACTGAATTTACTCCACTTGTAGACAATTTGTCTTACTTTGGATTGATGAACACCCAGGCCTTTTTCAGCTTTTTCAGCATCTCTACAATTCTTCTTCTAAGGTTCTCTTATATTCTCTTATTTTTCATAGGGCAGGGCACCTCCAAACTCATCTTATTGATTGGAACACCTGACTCCAATTAGCTTTTGGAGAAGTCATTCCAGATTTCAAATGACCAACAGCCGGACACAGTGACAGAAGATACCATTGATATAGCTTGGTACATGACTAAATGCACACATGGGAAGACTGAAAAAGAGGGAGGTGAGTGTCCAGCTACCAGGTTGAATTTGCAACCTACCATAGTCCTTACAGAGAACGGTCACAGTTATCAGCAAATTGTCCCAAGTATCAGCAGGTGGCACTGTGGCAAATCAATTTGATTTTTTTTTCAAAAAAGGATTTGGGAGCATGGAACGAGCTACCCAACCACGTTACTGAAGCCTTCGCTCCTTCAAGAAACAACTGAATGAGATCCTAGGGCTGCTAAACTACTACCCTCCAAAGTTCTCCTCTCATCTGTAACCATGTCTAACTTACGTGAAATGAACGAATGTGTCAAAGAACACTAGTGGAAAGGCTGTACTTCAAAGACAAATCCCTCTCCAGATATCATAAATCTTATTGATATTGTTATTGTGTCAGTCTCTGTCCATTTGCTCTATATGTCTGGCTATCTGGAATGATATGTTTAGGTTGTTTAATTGTTACCTGCTTCATATAAATGTTCATTCTGAAAGCTTACAGTTAACATTAGTCAAAATGGTGACAATTGTGAATACTGTGTTTAGTGTTCTCTTCTGTGATAAAAGCATGCTTAAAACTATTATTACGAGGAAATGTGATTGTACTTCTCAGAGAAACATTTTATTGTAGATGCACAGATGAAAATTAAAATGTGAAGGGCAAACACAAAAAAACTAGGTGGAGGATTAAATAATTTAGAAAAAAATTAATTCCAACCCAGAGGAAGCTGGAAGATAGCCAGCTTGGTGATAAAATCTTTTGTTTATTCAAATCTACATGACAGCAGCATGGAATTTTTCTCTGCTGTAAATCCCTAGATTATTCACTGAATTACGTTTCCTCAAGCTTGTGGTATGGACAATTCGCTGGAAACAAACTTTACCCAATACTTACCTGAAAAGGGGTTTACCATTTTCATTTCAAAAGCAAAAGAAAATTCTCTATGACAGAATTCAAAGGAAGCTATTAGAGCTATAGACCAGAATCACACTGATACAATTACAAACATCATTTCTATGAGCTCACTTGAAAAGCTCCTAACTTCTCTCATTGTACTTTTAATCAAGTTGTTTACATGTGTCATTGCATCTTATATATTATTCTTTTAATGATAGGATATCAATATCGCATTCCCTATTGCCTGTATTGCACTCTACATTTATAGAAAAGCATCTTAAGAATACTTTTAGGACAATCTTCTGAATCACAGAGAATTATCTTCCCATCATTTTATATTTATTTCATTTTTGTCTTTTAGGCAGAACACCCACATTCATGTCAGAATCTATACATAATCACAGTCATTAAATGCAATAAATGACACTGGTTTCAATGCTAGAATACTTCTCTCTCTAGATATAAAATATAAGAGAAACAAGGTGCTGATACTGTATATAACAGAATTGTACAGTCAAGGAAATACAGCAACACGTGTTCAATGGATAAAAAAATCAAATGTATGGATTCAAATGTATGACACAGATTTCTAGTTCCTCAGAGTAGTATAAAGAAATTATCCATTTTGTACAACTAAATTATAATGAACTTTTTCCAGAGCTCTTTCTGTGAACAGACTGGAATACTAGATATCACTAGTAGACACTGTTCACAAACACAACACTTGAGTTAGCCTCCGCTCAATTCAAAATGTGACATCTGTTCCGGTTTCTATCGCTGCTCGACTATTCTATTTCCCCCCTTAATGCTACAACACCGATACAAAGAGCAAAAAGTGAAATGTTAACCTGTGGACAGCTCCTCCACAATTCGTGACACAAGCGCTCCAGTTTCTTCAACCTCATGGTGTAGACAGTGAACTTTCTCCAGAGATCAAAAATTAACTCACAGAGGCTCAGCCTGCCTCCTCGCCACTCAGCCACTTTTTACTAACTGTCATGCTTCCTGACTTGTGCCCTTGCTGACTACAAGACAATCCAGCATTGGGGAATTCCCTCTTCCTATGACAAAACACTCCACGCTAATGTGGACAATTTCCTTTCTCTGTTTCAGGTCAAACACAGAAAAACTGAATGCTTAACAACCTGGAGGACAAAATAGCTGCGGCACATGTCAGTGTATTTGTTATTTTTTAACAAAAGCACATTAAACTTAAAGGTCTGTGGGCCTTGATGGAACACCAGGCTTTCACCCCACCTAGTCACAAATCTAAAATCAGAAAACCAAGAAATTAAAGGACAGAATTCAGAAGCAATCTGTCATCCTAAATCAATGACTAGTACAAGGCCTAGTACAAATAGAACGTTATATTTAAAATAATTATGTGCGACAGTTTAAAGAGAACTGGTAAATGTATTTTATTTTCAAGTGTCCAAAACTAGGAAATTTGGGGCTTTTTTTGTAACTGCTACTACAATCACTGTATTTTGATAATCTCTAGCTTCTTATAATTAATGTACTTTTTGCCTTGAGGCTTCACTTTCAAGGTTTACTCAGCAAATTCCTGGCAAGAAGCCTGCCTTTTGATAATAAAATAGAAGCACAACCATTTGCAGCTGCATTTGGTTACATACTGCTGGAGAATCGCAGACCCTCTTAATATGTCATATGCATTACCATGTGAAGTTACAATCCTACGACGTTATATTTTTTGTTATATTGTTATTCATTAAGGTTTCCAAAATTTACAAACATCCTTAAGAGAGGATATAAATGGAGGGGTTAACTTCTTTCGACTATGGTAAAAAGCAAAATATTTTGTTTTAGTTCTGGGACATGATTTTGGAAAACAAAAACATTACCAGATAATAACTTACAGGTACGTCAACAAGAATGTTGAGTCGATCCCAGAGTTGTGCAGGATCTGGTTAATTCTACATTAGGTGGTGAGAATCCGACTGCTGTTCGGTCTCAATGCAGGTCATAACAGAGACCCAGACAAACTCCAGAGCTCACCTGCCCTCCCAGCTCTTTCATTAATGGGTGCAGCTCACTGAACAGGTCATAGCCCTGATGGAAGAAGGTTAGGTGGGCATACATGAAAGACAGCATCTGCAGAAATTAAACACAAAAAAAAGAGAGACAAGCTTTGATCAGTTTTATCCGCCTTTGATCAGACTATGACATAAACCAGAAAAAATAGAACAAAACAGTGCCAGATACAGACACTTCTGAATGTCTTCTATGCAGTTCTGGTATGCAAACATTTCTTTACTGGCTTTTGGTGTTCTGAATGGACAAAAAAGCAACTCACCGATTTGAGAATCTCAGATCTCCTTTTGGATTGAAGGACATTAATCTAAGGGAAGAAACAATATTTCCACTTTCAGTCACTTGTTTTCTTTTTCCTTCAAGGTTAGTCTTCAGTGAGCTACAGCATATCTATAATGGTGTTTACCTTTGTCAATAACACCTGCATTAAAATATCTCCAGAACAGCACCTGCGCATAGCATCGGTTTGACACTTTATGGGCAAAGGATGAAAATGTATTTATTGGATGTATTGGATTCATCCAATACAAGTCCTTTCACACTCAAGTTATTGATTGCTATTGATGAAGTAATAAAATGAAACAGTAATTTCCTTTCCCTAGGAATCCTGAATATACATACACATGCTGCTAATCATACAGAATACAGATTAGTCACTTTTTTCTGTGAATGTAGAATTCGTTATCCTTCCCTTTTCTGACAGGGAATCACAGATGTATACAAAGAACAGAAAACAATACTTGTTTGCATTAGATAGGTGTGAAGATTGACAAGGTACTAAACCCTAAGGTTAAAAACAGTAGGGAAAATTCAATTCATTCAACTGTTATCAGCATGCAAAAGAGGTATGCTTTTTAATATTTATTTTTACAGCTTATAGACAGACTGTTATTTTTACTGTTATAAACTATTTTTACGTATTTCAATGCACTGTGGTTAAAATGATTTTTTCTACAGGTAGCAGGAAAGCATCATCGACATTTTGCAATTAAAGTTTCACTGCTTATGAAAATATTAATATCATTCACAAACTACTTTTGCTACAAATGTGCTTCTCTGATCTTGAGCTTGGAGATCTCTAAACCAGTTAGTTTAATAGGCCATTGCTTTTAGAGACTGGCAACACCTATAAGCTACAGATTACTCAAGTAATCATTTCAATTAAGAGAACTCTGGTCCTTGAAGGCTGAAGAGTACCAGGACTGTAGTGCTAAATGATCTCTAACTTAATTAGTAAATCACACATTATTATTTGATCACAGTGAAACTGTTCCTTATCTTTACAAATTGGTGATTTCATGGATGATTGGGGCTGTTCAGGACCTGGGTTGGAGATCCCTGTATTATACAAACACACATCACTGAATAGTACTAGTGCAAGTACATTTTCACACCACTAGATGGCAAAAATAACTCATTCTTCATCTTAATGATCCTTAGTAGAGGTGAACAGGCGACAGTACATAATACCAGTACATACACGCACACAGGTGTTTTCCTGGGACAATTTTCCATCACCTCCCATTCTGTTATTTACAATTCTCTACTGTCAAACAAAACTCTACACATGGTAAAAACACATCTAAATCAAAGTATTCTGGCACGTTTATATGTTAAAGAAGGTGCCATTGTGGATTACTAACAATATCACTTACAGTGTAAGGATGGCCCCGCATTTTATATTGGCCAGGAGTTACTATATTTGTGGGGACGCTATCACACATTTTCCGTTTCCATATTGACAGGTAAACATGCCCCCTCCCCCCAACACACAGTGTCATATACCTGTACACCATAGTGAACACAACTGAACTAACCTTCAGTCATGACAGCTGCTTTTTTCTGCCTCTACCTTTACAGTCATGTGAAAAAGAAAGTACACCCTCTTTCCATTCTATGATTTTATATATCAGGGCCTAAATAACAATCGTCTGGTCTTCACCAACTTCTATAATTAGACAAATTCAGCCTCAGATGACAGACAACACATAACAGATTCCACTATGTCATTATTTATTCAACAAAACATAAGCCAACATGCAGAAGCCATGTGGGGAAAAATTAAGGTACATGACTGTACCCTTGATGCACACTGACAGCCACAAATCAGAACCAGGGCTTGTCTAGCTAGGTGGGAGAAACCAATGGCTAACATTCAGTGACCTGTTCACATCAATTTCTTGTAATCACGCCTTATCTGAGGCTATTTTTTTAAAATAAGAAATGAATGGAGCTAAAAGAAAGAGTCCAGCATGCATTTACTAGCATTGCCATTTTTTACACCTGTTGGACCAGCTCTTTTCCGTGACATTTGTGTGATGGGCTTGAAAAGAATGAAAACTAAAAGCCCTGATCAGATGTGTCTTAACTGAGCTCTTACTTACACTAACATGGGGTTTTAAACAAAGATATAAATCTTCCAAAATCCATGCCCTGTATTTTACTTTTTTATCCTGAAAATATTTAGCAGCACATTTATTTTTTTCAGATATAAAACTAGTGACTGGGAAAATCTAGTGAATTTGACAAAGCTAATCCTCTGCAACCTTGCAGAAAATTCAATCTCATCTCGGCCCACAGCGCCAGATAGGTTTTAATAAATGGATCTGATCTCTCATGAATAATGACGGCTCATAAAACAGCCACCAGAAGGCCTTCGTCTCTAAGGCAGGACAGATGTGTGAAATGCTCTCACAGCTGTTGCTGTTGTCATTAGCACATTCCTCCACAATGCTGGATACTCACTGAAAACAATTCTCACTAACATAAAAAGAGCAGGACCTAATTTTAATCCAGAAATATACATCACTCTCTTGAAGCCTCATCTACTTTGAGGATCCGGGTTAATAGTTGCACATAAACATAAGATGAGGACATCTGTAATTATCCCACCAGGGTTAAAATTTCCCTGAAGGAACACCATTATTAGAGCTCTAATATTAAACAATTAAAATTGTTAAAATAGAACACAAATGTGTCAGTACGGAATGCCTTTACACACCAGATCAGAATTATTAATTGCTTTTCAATATGATTCAGACTAACATACACGTGTTCCAAGGTTTATCTTAAATATCACTGGTTTTCACACCCACCTATACAAAACATTTGTGACCCATATGTAGCCACTAATATCAGGATTCACTATTCTCCGGAAATCCCTCAGACTTCAATGACTCTGGCTCAGACAACTGAGCCAATGACTCTAACACCAATAAGGGGTCTGGTGACAATTTTCGCTTGGCAAAGTCTAGAGACTGAATATGGACCCCGTGGACTTCACCTTGCTTTTTAAAAAGTGCTCAGTGTTGGAATACCCTTCTTTGGAGCTCACTGCAACCTTTTCACAAACCAAGAGCAACACAATTGCTTTATATATTACGAGCATTGTATATCAAATGCTGTAAAAGGGCGATGGTTTTACAAATGTTCTCTTAAAGCCATTTCACAGATACTACGTTAGGCCTAATCCATCCTTCTGAACAACAAAAGGTTCCTTCACTAGGTGGATGAGCTGCTCAGTCTTTGTTCAAATAATATGCACAATTATGCTATGGTATGGTTATCACACGCCATGATGTGCTTACTTATATACTGTACCAGGGATAATTTACTAAAGGAGCTTTCTGCAAACCATATCAATGAGACAAGAAGCATTAAAATGATTCCTGGTGTGGTATTCAAGCCTTACATTTTACTTGGTCAAACTCCTGGATTGCTTGAAACCCTACTTGATCTAGAAAACAGGTTCTGTTCTTGGCTGACACTTTAATCGAGGAAGCCCCAAAGACATGCTTGTGCTCGTATTTGAAGACTATCCCCTAGAATGCTCTTTCAGTCACATGGCACAGTAAGATTAATAAGTGTTCTGCCCTCTGCAAACTGCTCCCCCTATGTTCAGTCTGTCTCAACTGAATGCGGATAATATAGGGACGGTGCTAAGAAACAGGCAATGAGACTAGGACAATATCGGAATTTAATCAAATGATAGTAAACAAAAAATAGTAAATGGTTGTGATTTCTTACTCAAGAGCACCTTACCAATTTATGACCTTCCTGAAAAAGCATATTAACATACTTCTGACCTCTAGTCAGAACCATACCGCTTTTTTTTTATTTTAACCATCCTTTAATAAAAGGCTTTATTAAGAAATTATACCACTTCATTTCAGCAGTTCACACGAACAGGTTAACAGGCTAATTTCATGATAACATAATAATAATAATAATAATAAATACAACTGCAGATTTGATCTAATGACCACCCAATATTGTCTCACCTAGGTATTCAAATATCCTAATAGAGGAGAAATTTGAGCTCTGTTTGGCTGCGACAAGGGACAAAAACTAAGAACCAAACTATAACCATGACGGGTTTCTTGACTACAATAAACGTATAGTTCTTATTCTTATAATATGTAGCAGAGGTGCTCATGTCCCTCGTCTTTCATCTTAGTTTCACTCCAATCACTTGTGGAGTCGAAGGTAAAGGTGGGGTGTCGGAAGAGCAGACATCGCTGCCTTCAAGTCAACTCCCATCGTCGTTTTATTGCTATTCAAAGCAGCATGCAAACACATGATTTGCAACCTGGACCCAACGTCCAAAGGAAAAGCACAAAAGAAGACCTGTCATAATAAAGACCAATGACTGATCACTTAAATATTATTCTATTATGAACAAGATTTTAAAGGAAGCTGTAGAACTTGAAAAACTGGTCGTTAAGTAAACGGTTTTGCTGCCACACCCTCATAATATAAATCTTTGACTGGGAAATTACAAAGAAAAAACATCTAAATCATAAGGGTCAGAAATAAACTGACATGCTGTATGGTGGTATAAAAAGTACAAAAATGGTTGTCTAGTCTGCCTCAACTGGATAAAAAAAAACCATTAGAAATAACCAAGGAAAAATGTTATTTTTATCAAAGATTTTATACTGGGCCTTCACAGATAAATTTCTCTGGACATGACAAATTTCTTCAGGTGTTGCTACAATAATGCCGCATATCCACTCATCCCACTTCCTGGGTCTGACCTGCAGCACGTAGTCAAGGGCGATGTGTCGGAAGCACTTCCGGGTCGCGGTGAGGATGTTGGTGGCCTCCTCCACCTCATGCTGTTTGTTGCGTGCCGCCTGAGCATTCTTCACCAGAGCGCCTTCTTTATCCTCGCTCACCTTGTCAAACTGTTTCTTGGCATCTTTGAATTTCCGAATATCCCTGTCAAAACCGCACAGAAGGAACGTGTGGGTTTCTGTCAAACATCTCCATGCAGACCAAAAATTAATAACACTAAGAAAAATCTCAAACACTGGCTTTTATAGTGTTTTACTCAATGCCTTCCATCGCAGTTAAGAGAAAACAATTAAAAGATAAAAATATAAGTTCCTTCTTACAATGCTTTCAAACAATCTGGTGTTAGAATTGGTCTAGAAGCTAATGTCTTGATTTTGCACAAGTAACAAAACACACTCAAATTTCATAATAAGTGAACTCAGGATTGTATGATGCTTTTCCTAGGGTGCACAACTATGCACATCTATGGTGAAAGACGTTTTCACTCATTAATTAAGCAATGTGAACATTTTAATTAGTAAAACTCATAAACTAGTGAAACTATAACTAAACTTTTAAAATACCTTTAGTATCTGAAGTTTTTGGTGCACTGATATGACATACTTATAGCTTTTGTCTTTAACTGAAGATATTTTCTTGTACCATAAAACGGTTCTTTAAAGACATTTCTCACTTGCAAACACTTACTCTTTCACAAACATTTGCAGCTGTGACTTAAGAGATCTCTGGGCTTGGTCAAATAAGATCTGAAATGAAATAACACGCATAACTTTGATCAATTACAGGGTCAGGGTGGGATTCTCCAGGTTGCTAAACAAAGGCACAATACCATACAGAAATGAACCTCCACGTAAAAATTTAAAAATAGCAAACATCCAATTAACATATCCAATAAAAGCAAAAATAGAAGAAAAAAGAACAGGATATTGAAAGACACCTGCAGTTGTACATGGGAATCTATTGTTAACAATACCTGTTAAACAATTACTGTAACATATGAACATTGAAATATTTTGCAAGGATTTCAAAACAGGGATTCAACAACTTTCCCCATTACAGGTCATTTCATCATTCCCACAGTCTTAAAAACAGCTTCGGCCCCATGACTAAAGGCCATGTGCTCAGTGAATTCAATGAGAGCTTTTAGCTCAACTCAGCTGATAGGACCACATCTAATTTTAGTGATTAAGAGTGAGTCACTACCATATCTTTTTCTGCATTTTGCTTTTCCATTTTTAAAATGGCTGTAAACAGAAACAAGTAAAATTGAACAAAAACACAGATTTAATCTCTGCAGCAAAAACCCATCCTAACCCAACACACTTACAGTATTAACCTGCACATGGAAGTTCAAAAGGTTTCTTTTAACAGCGTTAAAGGCTTGGGAGAAAAGTAACATAACAGTGTCTTGTGATCTTAAACTACAGTAATCCCAAAACTAGATGTGGTAAATCCAGTCACGCAGCAGCTTGTAGCTTTATAAATACGGTATCTGTCTAGCTCTGACCTTTTGAGAGGATTTGACAGATGTCATCACTGAAGCAAAAATGCTATAGAAAAAGTCACATGCAGCCAATAGAATGTTTAAATAAGTAATTTGCTAAGAGTCCACAAGTTAGCTTCTGTAATTTCATTTTTATGCTGTTTCATTTCATTTCTGTATTTTCAACACATGACTCTCACATTCCTGCCAAGACTGTGCTCAAAGAGGCTCCTCTTCTGTTATCTTTATATTTATGGCAGGCTGGCTTCTTCCAATACTTGTCAGATCAAACAAGCAAAGAGCAGCTTGATGACAGGAGAGCCAGAAGATATCATTTCAATTAAGAGGATTTATTCTCTGCTGAAAAAAAAATCTAAGAACACAAAAACACATCTATGTCCTACTGGCAGTGCCAATCAGGTGTGGCACTCAAGGAAACTCAAAGATTCAGACAATGCAAACGCAGGAAAACCAAATAATAAGAGGTATGTAAGGTAAGGTGGTCAAGATATTTTCCCCTTCTTTGCAGTTTGAGAAAATCAAATTACATTCCGTGTTTCAACCAGAGCTGAGAAGCACATCCCCCTGCAAATGTTTAATTTCCAACACTTTTGTTAGGATTTAAACCGATTTATTATAAAAGCAATCCACTGAGCCCCACTCTGAGACAGACTTTGGTATATTAGAGAAGGCTAACTTACAGTATGATAATTGATCATCTCCTGCAGACTCTCTGCAAACTTCGACAAACTGGACTGTGTGGAAAAGAAGGAAAACGTGTTAGGAAAAACACAGTGCACAGAAGATTCTACTACAGGCTATCCACAACAGGATATCAGAATGCAAGCATTTAATTACTTCAGGGCAATCCTAATAATATAAATCTAGAACCAATATCTGCCGACAAACATTTACACCAGCTGTACCTTTTGAAACACTTAACACCAGGAAGGATTGTAAAATTTGCTGTGAACTGGCTCTCATGGTAAACATGTTTGACAACGTTTAAATTAAGTGCTCTGGGCACATAAATCAAAGCAACCAGAATGAAAAAAGCCTGGTCAATTTGCTACATTCTTCTTGGATGGAGCAAAAATATAATGGGATGCATTATGGAAAACAAAACCCCGCATTTCTGTGTTTGTAGTCAAGTACAGTATATTATGTAATGATTCGCTACTTGTAAATCCAAGTCATGGACTTACCTCAATGACCACATCTTTCGCAGACTGCTGGGCGAGCTCTCTGATTCCATTAACAAACTGTTTGTTGGCTGTATTGTATGCTTTTCCGGCATCTATCATTCCAATGCACAGCTTTACCAGCTACAAAAAAAAAGAGGAGGATGTTAACTTCTCTGAGCAAATAAGATCTTCAAGGCCCCAGTGGATAGTGGAAGTAATATTATCTGTTTAATTCACTAGAACCATGTGTCAAAACAAACAAGACAACTGAGACACATACTAATACTATCTTGAAACCTGATGTTGAAGTTCAAAAGTTAATCAGTGTTGGTATGGTTAGTACTACGGTGGTAGACCTCTAAGGAAAACTAGGCTGCTAGTGTGAGTAGTGTTTGTGGAGCAGCAGCTGGCCTGGGAAAATTCAAACCGATGTGCCTGTGGTCAGGAACACTGGTGCTTTTGGAGGTGCGGTTCATTGGATGAAACCCCATACTCAGGTCCTGACCACTTGGTCATTAAAGCTCTTTAAAAGTCAAAAAGTTCACTGAAGTAACAGCACTGTTGGGAAGATCAAGGGGCTGTTAACCCCCCAGGATTTTGGTCGAATTCTTCCTTGGTCTAGTGCAATCTGAATTCAACTGTTGAAGCAACTATTTTTACTGTACCTGATCTACTGTGTAGTAGGGTTACTGGTGTACAGTGACTGCCATGTGTCACCCAGGAGGGTGCTACAATCTGGCAGCGGGCTAAGTGCTCCCCCTTCTATGGGAAACATGGTTTATGTGATTGTACGAGCTTAGACTTGGTTGCATCCTCCTCCTGCTGGAGAGTAAATCGGATGCACTTGCGTTAATGAACTGATTTGCCACCTGCAGAATGGAAGAAAAAGGGGTTCATTTGACTGGCCAAGTGCATAACTGGACACTCCTCAGTCAGAGTATATCAGCAGTCAGGTGCAGAGGCTGGGGGCTGCGTCTGAGCTCCGCAGATCAGGGAGGGAGAGTTGTGTAGGTGGAATCCTGAGCTTTAGAGGGCTTAGATAGTGCAGGAGTGTTTATTCAACTCCTGTGCCTTAACCTCAGCAGCCAGATGGCAGTCCTAACACCATTTTAAGAGAGATGACTTAGAAAGAGATAAAGAAAACTTGCAAAGATTTTGTTATGTATTGGATTTGGTAAAGAATGATGGACCCAGAGAGAATTTAGTGTTTGTTATTTTTAGTATGTATTGCTGAATTAATTCTAATTTCTCCAGAGCCTCTATAGCATAGTAGATTAGAATTGTTTATAGTGGGAAACAGGTATGGTGCACTGCTAGGTCTCTGGGGATATGGGGATAATTGTCCTCCAGCTGTGGCGAAGACTGGTTGTGTGTCTAGGGGAACCCAGTTTAGTGTGCCAGGTGTCCCGGAAGGATGAGGACAAGTCCTTTGTTGGAGCAAAAAGGAGTTTAAGGGGACCATGCTCATTCCTGTCCTCTCAACAATTTTCTTTGAAGACCGAAGAGTGGTTTTGCAGGAGGTGAAGAAGAAAGATTGGACAGTGCTTTTAAGGCCTCTGAGCGAAGCCTTAGAAACTGAAGTTTTGGGACTGAGCAGGCTTCTCCGAAAGGAGACCACTCTGGGTTGCATATTGCATCTCGGGGTTTGAGATTCACCACATTTTGGGTTCCTGCCTTCAAAATGAAAAACGCTATATGAGAATTATGCAAAACGCCAGATTGGTTCTTATGTTCAAAATAAATCTCAAAGGTTTAGGAAAAAAAATCTTAAAAGGTGATAAACAAGATAAAGAAATATGTTAAGTCTTAACCATATACTCTTCACAATATTACACATCCCATATTGCACTACAAAAATACTGAGATTAAAAGGAAGTACATTCACCACTACGAGTTTAGAAATTCATTTAGTTTTGTAGAACAATGTAAAGCAATTTGTCCTGTATACATTTGACAAACATCAATAAACAAATATTGGTAAATATAAGCAGTTCTCACACATGGCTATGTAAATGAAGAATGTAAGTTCATTTAATTCAGTTGAATTTCTTGGTAGCCTGAAGAGAAAGAAAAAAAATACTTTTATAAGATCACTTTATTGGCCATATACAATTTCTTGTATTAGGAATTTGTCTTTTTGCATACCCCAGCTTGCTCTCCATGAGACACACAGACAGGGAGAGAAGCTTGGGGTCAGAGCACAGGGTCAGCAATTTATATGGCACCCCTGGAGCAGTTGGGGTTAAGGGCCTTGCTCAAGGGCCCAATGGAGTAGGATTCCTCTGCCGGCCGTGGGATACAAACCAGCAACCTTCCAGCTACAGGTGCAGATCCTTGGCCACAGAGCCACTGCACTGCCCTTTTATGGCTTATATTAAATAAATAAGCTTAAAGACAGATACACCAGAACCCATCTGGGGACCAATGCGATGGATGCAGACACATTAATCTCCAGGAATGACCCCAGTTCAGCTACCTGTTTCAGTAAATCTCATAAATCTGCTCTTTGCCGAAGAAATGTGGCATATCCAAAATAAATTTTTAGCAGAAAAAAGTAGTTATCTAGGTACAGCTGTGGCAATGGGACCATATATTTCAATTTTTGCTTTCCTATAAGAGGAATAACAGAAAGCTGAACAATGTAATGAACAGTGTTGTACAAAACTGCACACAACAAACAGGAGTAAAGCAGACCTGACATTCTGATGAATTTGAAAAAAGGCTACCCTTTTGTTTTGTTTTCAACTTAAACTCAGTATTTCATTTTGGGCTTTATACAGAAACTGGCCTCGCGTTGGTGGGAAGTTAATGATACCAAAAGGGAAGAATTAAAAGCGCAGCTGAACATTGTTTGCTTTCAAATAAGGAAATGAGCAGGACACTTCCCTTCTTGTTTATGTAGATTGCGCGCAGGCTGTCAACGAGAATGACAGAAAGGCAGCGCCCATGTCTCTCCTTGCCCTGCTGCAGGGCTCACAGCGACGCAGGCCTCAAGCACACCGACTCCCACTGGAGTGCACCAGAGAGAGGCACTTGTTGGCCAGGGTGCACAGTAGGAGCTATTCTCCCCGGGGAAAGAGTGTAACAACATCTAACAGCCCTCCCTGCCAGCACTTAATCCCATCAAAGGGGAAGTCAACTTACTTAGGATACTCCGCTAACGACACCCTACCCTCTGTTCATAACTTGTTTGCACTGACTTCTCTGGCTGTATAACTCATAATCAACTTCCACCTGTCTTTCCACACATAGCGCCATTCGGCTTGAGCCTGTTGTTATTATTGTTGTTGCAAATTCAATTTACAAACCAGCAGAGTGAGCAAAGGGTTTAAATATATTTACATCTCATTTACAACGTTATCGTTAATAAAACTGACAGCACAAGCAGATAATTCAGTTTGTTTTAGGATGTATTACCGACATAACTCAGAGCTTGCGATGATGTATTTTTTCCCCACAAACTTTTTCCTGCAAATAACTTTTTTTAACTCAAGATGAACAGAAACGCGCCTAGAAAGAATTTCAACAAAATTGTAGAGAAATTCATCCTGTTATGTTCATTCGGATGCTACAGTCAGTTTTTAGACTTAAAAAGTTTAAATTTTGCAGGATCTCCTCCAGTACACCAGGGCTATCTAAAAAGAAACGTCAGCTCTTCTACGAAAGCCAGAATCCAGAAAGCGAAGCTCCACTGTGCAATATGTACAGTATGTGCATTTCCTTCCTAAGGGAAGTGAGACGGATTGCAGAAACAAGGAGCTCGTCACTGTGCCACACCACGCTCACTGTAACCAGGTGTGCACACAACTGCGCAATACACAACAGAAGTGGAGGAAAGATTTGGTAAAATGCCTTATGCTGGCGCCACACTTCATGACTTTTCCTGTGATTTTCAGGCGTAGCCTTCATTTACATAATCGTAAGAAAATCACAGCGAGTTGTAGAGTCACAGTGCGTGCCCGTTTCCGCCAGCTGTGTAGCGTGACACCCCCAGCGACTCAGTCATAGCGCTCTTAACTGCCCCGATGACAAAGTCAAACTGGTTTGATTTTCTCGTGGCGAGTCGCACGTCATAGGGGTGGGCTCTTGTGTCTGCAACAGTCTACAGCCAATGAGCGCTCAGCCGGAAGTACCACGACCAAAAAAAATGTGGTGAACTCCAAGTTTTGCGACAAATCCTCTTCTTTTTTTTCTCATCACAAAGGAGAGCACAGGCAACAGCTACCTGCTTGTTCTCCACGCTGCTGCTCTGCATTCAAATCGAGAGAAGAGCAACAAGGTACATTCCCAGGTTTACAGAAATGTCCCACATTGAAAAGTCAAAAGAATTTAACCTTTAGTGTCATGATAAAACAACAGGGGGACCCCACTTATTCAAAATCTTCAGAAGCCACTGACAAATACCAGGAAATGAACTTCTTCAGAATCAACCGTGACACACGAGCCCGAGGAAACAAGTGCAAGTGCATTTAAAACTGAGAACTGGAGGCATTTTTGGTGCAAGGGATTTTGGGATTGTGGAACAAGAAACCAGGCCAAGGCCGTAGTAGCCTATTCTCTGACTTCTTTTTAGAAAGGCCTGAATGAGATGCCCCTCTCAATCAGCTACCATCTATTAAAAGTGTTAGATGGGTCAAATGGCCTCCTTTTGTTTGTAACATTACCGAATGTTTCTCCTTCATTCATAATACTGCTCTATAATGTTGCTGCTGGTTAAAGCTCCTGTATCTACAGTACAGGTATATAACCAGAGGGGCTCACCTTATCTAGCTTAGATTCCAGCTCGCAAACGTCTCCCTCTACCTCTTCAATTGCAGCCCTGTTGAAAAACAAAAGAATGTAGTTAAACAGGAGCCAGTCACATCACGTAGGATAAAACATACTGTACCAGTGTCAGTATCAGATATAAATACACAATCACAATTAAAAAAATGTTATTGTTGAGGTAAAAAGTACTCTTTTGTATTAATTATTGATATAACAATAACAGACCAACCAAAAGCAGAAGCTGACATATTACTTAATGAAACAAATGATAAGCATTCTATGGTTTAAGACAATCTGGGGAAACGGAAATCATATTCAAAAGATAGCAAACCAAACAGAGCGTGTATTTCATGTGCAATACTTTACAGTGCGCTTGTGCACTAGCAAGTAGGAAACCGAAGAGAACGCACACACTCAGTCTGAATGGAGGACTGAACCACAGGCATTAGCCTTCCATCAAGAACTTAAAAACACTTGGGATCATTTTCAAATTCCAACAATGACAATGAAAAACGTGGATGCTGGCAACTGATGGTGCTTCAAAACAGAAATGTTGAAATCAAGACAAAATTTGTTTTTAAAAAATCAGCCCAAGGACTGAAATGACATTCCTGGAACAGCAGCAGATTCTACTGAATGTCTTTCAACAAACAGATTGTCCTCCCAGCTCTGCTCTGACAATCTCGGAGCCCAACACCATTAGATACCTAATTCTTTCCCTTCTCACTCCTACACAAGTCCAGTCCAGGTTCTGCTGAAACTTTCATATGGAGCAAGTCGTCACGTCACTAGTAGAGAAAACAGAAAGCTCTATACAACACTCATCTCTGTCTAGGTTCTTTCCTGCATCATGGCCACATAGAAAAAGGTATATTAAAAACAACCTCAAGCACAGACTTTAAGTGATGGAAGTGAAAGAAGCAGATGTCAATTTTTTTTATAAACTTTACAGAGTGCTCTTATGGCCAAAATATGACTTTATAAGGCAAAAAAGCACAGGACCGTTTCTTTTTCTCAAAAAAGAACAGAATAACCATCCCATATTTGTCAATTTGAAATACTGAGGTCAACTTCTCCAACGTCAGGAAATGCAACTGTATAATGCGTGGCATGATGGATAATGGCATTTCTCTCAAGAAAACATTACAGAAAAGAGAGGAGGAAGGATCAATGAGGAAATGAAAATCCTGAAGGGAAGTCCAATAATTCACTTCACAGAAATCTTGACGCTTCAGCTGAGCAACAGTGGAAACTGCCGCAAGTTTTGGTACCGTGTTTGACACCACAGAAGGAAGAACGGAGTTCATTTTATCAAACTTCCCAAGCCACACTGTCCATTTTTACAAATAATAGATTGTGTTATTCACCTACACGACAGAGCTCATACAATTTGGAATATTAATAAATGTACAGACAGGATACACAATTCAAATTGATCTGAAGGCCAGTACGTCATCCAATATGAAAACTGACTGAATACTCAGAGATTCAAGACTCTCCATTGCTGCCTGTCATACCAAACTTCCTTCATACAAACTCTGTCGGTCATGGTTTGCTTTGGGGTTCACTTTGTGAGCACCCTGAGACTACTGAAACCACACGGTTAATTTGTCCAGATGGTTCCAATGCTCGTGTGTTAAGAGTGAAGTGCACTTGTGTCGTCAAACACATGGACACCAGAAAGCATCCCTTCCTTAAACTCTGCAGAGGCCATGGCCACTGTGGTATCCTATTCATGATGGACATCAAGAGCTCTCTGCTCTTATCCTGATGGACACATCTTCACTGCTTTCTGTTTCAGTTAGGTACACCACTGGGGTCCTGCATCTCTGGCTGTATGTGTGTAACTTACAACTACTTTGGTTTCATTTGTGTCCCTATGTCTCTCTTAATGGATAATAAGAGGTTTTTTTCCGGCCTTGTTTTTCAGGCACACAACTTTCCCTTCCTTGGTCCTTCCAGTACAAATTCTGAAGCAGGCTCGGCTGCCCCTGTTTCTAATATGACACGTCCCACCATCCGCCCACAAAAAAGAAGGCAGAAAAAAAAGAGTTTGAGGCCGTGCTGCCAAACACAGGAAACCGAATGCCACAGGGCCTATTTTTGGAGTGGCTTTCATTAATGTAACAAAACAGATCCTTTATTGCCTGCATTGTCAGAGCAGTTACAGCCAGCACAACTAACATTCTGGAACACTGCAAAGAACAAAGCCTGCAGAGGTGACATCATCAGTGGGTGGCGCTTTGGAGGGTGGGAACCAAGATACAGATTACAGTCCTTAGAAGCCACACAGACACCCTGACTGTGTAAATAAATAAGAGGGATTAGGAAAGGCTTGATTAGTGTCATGACATTTGATACCAAACACTAAGGTGTGCAAAAGTGATTGAGAAACAACATTTCTTATGAGTTTACTGTTCAAAGTTAATGAGGAGTACCTAACAAGAATATTGGGAAGTTCAAATATAAAAAAAATAAAGAATAACACTAGGAAACTCTCACATGTACAGTACACTTAGAGAATTAAAAAAAACACAAATGACCTTAACCTCACCAGTTTAGTGGGTCTGCTGATATATAATAGCTGGTATCAGGTGGGGTCTGCACTTTAATGGAGGACTAAGTGGGTCTCCTACTATACGAAAGGCACTTTGGGACCCTTTGGAATGAAAAGTTGTCTACAGATGTACACAAGTATTATTACTGTGCCATGTGTTTAGTGGAGCCTTAGATTTAAAAAAAGCAGTACAATTTCACACACAGGAAAATCTATAATGCATTTACCACACTTCGCTTGCAACTGTGCTCTTAACTCTACAGAAAGATGCTGGTTAATATAAATTTGTCTAAACCATGATCACAAGAACAGATTTCATTTTGTAATTTTCCACAGCTTTATTTCCAATTAAAAGCTTAGCCAGCTCTGCAAATCACTGTTGAGCTTTGCGACATATACACTAAGAATGTACGGGTATCTGCAAATCTCTCTTTTAATACAATTCTGTTACACTGAAGTGCTTTCTTCTCTGATTTTCTCAAAAACAATTTAGAAGAAAATAAAAGCCTCTTATAAAAACAAAAGCAAGTCAAGTCTAACATATTTATGATAATAAGAGCCTGAAGTACAGTTCCTCATTACAGGTGGTAACAGCACAGTCTAAAAATATATCTTTGATACATTCTCCTGTCTCATACATCAGCCTACAAAAACAAGGCTAGTTCTCTTAATCTCAAACTGTGAAATTAATCTAGCGCTATTTCTGTTAGTTCCTGAGGTGTTATCCAAAAGTATCCTTAGCTGACCTAATTTTAATGATTGCCCCGTGATGAACAGGGAAATAAAAACCCTATTGCTCATAAAACAAGATACGAAAGGTCTGTGGCTTGCAAAAGTAATGAATGTTTTTTTGGTCTTCTAGTCCAAGCAGAGCCAATAAAGAGGATGGTGGTAGATGATCTGTGTCGCAGTGAACCAAGGACAGGATATGCACAGTCATGATCTAACGGGGCATTTAATACAAGGTATTTATTTCTACTATTATCCATGAGATTCCCTGCAGCCCCCTGCAAATGTCTTTAATCCAAAAACCATTGCAGCAGGCCCTAACAGACTATTGGAAACCATGTTTATCAGGGTACATGTCCAACATACACAGGACTTCAAGATTTCTTTCTTAATTACATTTAACCTATCTTCTCTCCTTGTCTACAGTAAATTTCAGAAACAGATTTTCAAAGCTTTTTCTGCCTTATACTGCTGACTGTTCTTTGTTACGTAAATAAGTGTGTAGCAATCAAAGGAGGAAGAACAGTTTTCCAAATGTTTAGGATTATCATTGCTATGATAGAGCCATTCTGAGTTCCATTATTCTCATGTCGTACTGCAATTTCTCATTTATTTTCTGTGACACTTCCAGGATCATGTAAATACACGACAGCTGATGAAATATGGAATATCCTGAAACCTGGCCAGAGGACGGAGTCAAACTGCACAACTCATGTGGTTATTTTTCGATTCTAGTACAAAGTAGATGAGGCTTAGCTTTTCATTTCCACAGTAACGCAGGTCTGTGTACTACGTATTATAATATCTGGATTTAATAATTTAATACCATATTTGACCATATCTGTAAGCACAAGAAAGGCTTCCTGAATAGCATCGCAAGCTTTGCAGGCCTTTGACTTTCGGGTGGAACGTTGTGATAACGGGTGGTCAAGAGAAACGGTATTAACCAAAGGTACAGAACTCTATTTCTGACTCGTCTGAAGGGACAAAAAGGAGAATTACCGTACTCGTGGGATTGAAAGCGTGAAGAATTTGCAGCTTTCAGGTCCATTAAGAGTGTGTTTTAACTTCCACCGCAGGTGTAATTATGTCAAGGAGAATACAGAGCGCTGTGCTCCCATGTTTGTTCAGAGTGCAGCCATCTGAGCCATGAGATCGACTCTGCTCAACAGCAATGTCACAGTGTGGATTTTACACTACAAACAAGTATAAACCAATATACACCACTTCTCCCATATATTTCACACTGTCAGATTGGGGAAAACAGATTGATAACGGCTTTTAAGTCTACTATTTAATGAGTTCCGAGTAAATACTAGAAAGCCACTCATGAAAGTAATGGGAAAACAAATTCCCCAACAACATAATGGGGGGGCTTCATGTAGCTTTAGCGGCCTTCTGATGTCATGCTTCTACGTTGAAAGCTTTTCAAGGCAAAATGTCACCTTGGAAAAATAAATTGACAACAAAAGTCACTTCGCCTTGCAAGGAATAGCAAGGAGACAATCCCTCTACATCTGACACAACAAGTGTCCCATTTGCGACACACATCTCCCTGCTGATGGAATCATCAAAGGAAAGTGCTGCGTACAGGATGTGTCAAATACTAATGGATCTGAACTGCTGCCTGGGGAAAGAGGCAAGGTACTGTCACAGCAGGTCACACTTCCTGCAGGAACTCCAGAGAGGAACACGGGTCTGTGAAACTGCACCCTTATCACTATTAACCTCATTTCCTCTTGACGCGCAGATGCACCAATTGTATT